TCTACTGCTAGGCAGGAGATTACCGTAACACAGTAAATACAGTGCCTGCACCCACCCAGTGAGTCAGTAAACACAGTGCCTGCACCCACCCAGTGAGTCAGTAAACACAGTGCCTGCACCCACCCAGTGAGTCAGTAAACACAGTGCCTGCACCCACCCAGTGAGTCAGTAAACACAGTGCCTGCACCCACCCAGTGAGTCAGTAAACACAGTGCCTGCACCCACCCAGTGAGTCAGTAAACACAGTGCCTGCACCCACCCAGTGAGTCAGTAAACACAGTGCCTGCACCCACCCAGTGAGTCAGTAAACACAGTGCCTGCACCCACCCAGTGAGTCAGTAAAAACTGCTTCTCCCCCCTAGCGTAATAGTAAACTCAGCTCTTGCACCATGTCAGTAAACACAGTACCAACACCACACAGTGTGACAGTAAGCACAGTACCAACACCACACAGTGTGACAGTAAACACAGTACCAACACCACACCGTGTGACAGTAAACACAGTACCAACACCACACAGTGTGACAGTAAACACAGTACCAACACCACACAGTGTGACAGTAAGCACAGTACCAACACCACACAGTGTGACAGTAAACACAGTACCAACACCACACAGTGTGACAGTAAACACAGTACCTACACCACACAGTGTGACAGTAAACACAGTACCAACACCACACAGTGTGACAGTAAACACAGTACCTACACCACACAGTGTGACAGTAAACACAGTACCAACACCACACAGTGTGACAGTAAACACAGTACCAACACCACACAGTGTGACAGTAAACACAGTACCTACACCACACAGTGTGACAGTAAACACAGTACCAACACCACACAGTGTGACAGTAAACACAGTACCAACACCACACAGTGTGACAGTAAACACAGTACCAACACCACACAGTGTGACAGTAAACACAGTACCAACACCACACAGTGTGACAGTAAACACAGTACCAACACCACACAGTGTGACAGTAAACAGTACCAACACCACACAGTGTGTCAGTAAACACAGTACCAACACCACACAGTGTGACAGTAAACACAGTACCAACACCACACCGTGTGACAGTAAACACAGTACCAACACCACACAGTGTGACAGTAAACACAGTACCTACACCACACCGTGACAGTAAACACAGTACCTACACCACACAGTGTGACAGTAAACACAGTACCTACACCACACCGTGACAGTAAACACAGTACCTACACCACACAGTGTGACAGTAAACACAGTACCTACACCACACAGTGTGACAGTAAACACAGTACCAACACCACACAGTGTGACAGTAAACACAGTACCTACACCACACCGTGACAGTAAACACAGTACCTACACCACACCGTGACAGTAAACACAGTACCTACACCACACAGTGTGACAGTAAACACAGTACCAACACCACACAGTGTGACAGTAAACACAGTACCAACACCACACAGTGTGACAGTAAACACAGTACCAACACCACACAGTGTTTCAGTAAACACAGTACCAAGACCACACAGTGTGACAGTAAGCACAGTACCAACACCACACAGTGTTTCAGTAAACACAGTACCAAGACCACACAGTGTGACAGTAAACACAGTACCAACACCACACCGTGTGACAGTAAACACTGTACCAACACCACACAGTGTGACAGTAAACACAGTACCAACACCACACAGTGTGACAGTAAACACAGTACCAACACCACACCGTGTGACAGTAAACACAGTACCAACACCACACAGTGTGACAGTAAACACAGTACCAACACCACACAGTGTGACAGTAAACACAGTACCAACACCACACAGTGTGACAGTAAACACAGTACCAACACCACACAGTGTGACAGTAAACACAGTACCAACACCACACAGTGTGACAGTAAACACAGTACCAACACCACACAAAGGTGGTGTGGGTGAGTTGAATGGAATGGAGTTTCGAGATGGTTATTCCGGGCTGCGAAGGGTTCAGAGACTTCATAACAGGCACCATGACGATGGGAGGACCAAGAGCAGTAGTAGCAGTGATATACAGCAATCCAACAAATGAAAGAAGACCCAGGCAAGAGTATGACAGAAACAACATGGCAGTTAACATTATAATTGAGAGAGCAGCCTGTAGAAATCAATTCCATCTGCTTATCATGGGGGACTTTAATCATGGAAGGATAGACTGGGAAAACAGGGAAGCACATGTAGGTGAGGAAACATGGAGAGCGAAAATGCTGGAGGTGACGACTAGAAACTTTTTAAGTCAGCATGTCAACGGTCCCACGAGAATGAGAGGCAATGATGAACCAGCAAGACTCGACCTAGTATTCACGCTGAACGATTCAGACATAAGGGAAATCGGTCTTGAAGCCCTCGTGGGTATGAGTGATCACAGTGTACTGTTGTTTGAATATCTAGTCGAAGAAGGGTTAATGTACTCAAAGAAGGGACCAGAAAGCAAGAGGCCGGCATTCCGGAAGGGAAACTATGAGGAGATGAGAAAATTTCTAACTGAAATAGCTTGGGAAACAGAGCTCAAAGGAAAGACGGTTCAAAACATGTTGGACTACATCACACAGAAGTGTAAGGAGGCAGCAGACAAGTTCGTCCTAGTCCAAAAGGAAAAAATGAAATGGAGATGAGAAACCCATGGTTTAATCAGAGTTGTAAGCTAGCAAAGCAGCTAAGTAAAAGGGCATGGAGAACTATAGAAACAACAGAACACCAGAGAGCAGAGAAAGATACCAGAGCGCCAGGAATGAATACGTCAGGGTGAGAAGAGAGGTAGAAAGGCAATATGAAAATGACATAGCGAGCAAAGCAAAGCCTCAAGACAAACTGTTTCATAGCCACATCAGGAGGAAAACAACAGTGAAGGAACAAGTAATGAAACTGAGGATAGGGGCAGAAAGATTCACTACAAACGACAAGGAAGTGTGCGAGGAACTCAATAAGAAATGCCAGGAAGTCTTCACCTCAGAGCAAAGGAGAAGTCCCAGAGATAAGGGAGGGAACATCAAACTAGACACCACTAGAGGAGTTTATGATTACCAGTGGGGAGGTGAGGAAGCATGTGCTAGATTTGGACGTGACAAAGGCTATAGCCCGGATGGAATCTCACCATGGGTACAAAAGGAAGGAACAGAAGCTCTGTGCCTACCACTCTCCATGGTGTACAACTGGTAACAGGTGAACTACCAACAGGTGTCACTGGTAACAGGTGAACTGCCAAAAATTTGGAAGGCGGCTAATGTAGTCCCAATATACAAGAAGGGGTGATAGGCAGGAGGCACTGAACTACAGGCCAGTGTCCCTAACTTACATTCCATGCAAGATGCTGGAAAAGATTGTGCGAAAAAAGCTAGTGGAACATCTGGAGCGGAAGAACTTTGTAACACAACATCAACATGGGTTCAGAGATGGCAAATCATGCCTAACAGTATTAATTGAGCTCTATGACCAGGCAACAAAAATCAGGCAAGAGAGAGAAGGCTGGGTAGACTGCATATTTCTAGACTGCAAGAAAGCTTTTGACACAGTACCACATAAGAGACTAGTGCACAAACTGGAGATGCAGGCAGGAGTGAAAGGGAAGGTACTCCACTGGATAAGAGAGTACCTAAGCAACAGGACATAGCGAGTTACCGTGAGGCGTGAGGTCTCTGAGTGGCGGGGAGTCACCAGTGGAGTCCCACAGGGATCAGTCTTTGGACCTATACTGTTTCTGATATACGTAAATGATCTCCCAGAAGGAATTGACTCGTTCCTCTCAATGTTTGCTGATGATGAAAAAATTATGATGAGGATCAGGACAGAGGAGGATAGTATGAGGCTACAAGATATGGTTAGTAAAGTTCAGCCCAAGTAAATGTAAGGTAATGAAACTAGGAGGCCAGTCACTGGATACCGAATGGGAGATCGAAAGTTTTTCACGAAACGGACAGAGAGAAAGATCTGGGAGTTGATATCACGCCAAACCTGTCTCCCGAAGCCCACATCAAAAGAATAACATCAGCGGCCTATGGGAGGCTTGCTAACATCAGAACTGCTTTCAGAAACCTGTGTAAGGAATCATGCAGAACCTTGTATACCTCATATGTAAGGCCTATCCTGGAGTATGCAGCCCCAGCATGGAGCCCATATCTAGTCAAGCACAAGACGAAGCTGGGAAAAGTTCAGAGGTATGCCACTAGGCTAGTCCCAGAACTAAGAGGCATGAGTTATGAGGACAGACTACGTGAACTGCACCTCACGTGGCTGGAAGACAGAAGATCTAGGGAAGACATGATCATATGATCTAGGGAAGACATGACCACATACAAAATTCTCAGGGGAATTGACAGGGTGGACAAGAATGGATTATTAAGCACGGGTAGTATACGCACAAGGGGACGCAGGTGGAAGCTGAGTACCCAAATGAGTCACAGAGACATTAGAAAGAACTTTTTCAGTGTCAGAGTAGTTAGTAAATGGAATGCTCTAGGAAGTGATGAGAGGCGGGACCAAAGAGCCAGAGTTCAACCCCCGCAAGCACAATTAGATGAGTACAATTAGATGAGTACACAGTGTATCAGTAAGCACAGTACCAACACCACATTAAGTGTCGGGTGACATTAACTGTTGATAGGGTGCACGCAGTTATTAACTCCTATCGTCATGCTCTATAATATAGAGCATGACGATAATATATAGAGTCTATATATATATAACAATAATATATAGAGTCTATATATTATTGTTTCCTTCATATTGTAGTTCACAAGGTAATGTTCTGTAAGTGACATTGTCTTACTTTATATACTGCTCTTTCCTTCATATTGCTCGGCTCTCTAGATTTTGTATTCATGTTGTCATGAATACATTGTTCTTTAGTTCATATTTATTTATCCCACATATCCACCACGCCCACGTGCCCACCACGCCCACGTGCCCACCACGCCCACGTGCCCACCACGCCCACGTGCCCACCACGCCCACGTACTCAGAGCCGTGCCAGTGCAGCAAGCCACGCCCACTGCGACAGCGGGTGTACGCAAGACAACATTATAATTATGGTAAGTTTCTGTCTGACAGAGCCAGGTGCTCCCTGACAGAGCCAGGTGCTCCCTAACAGAGCCAGGTGCTTCCTGACAGAGCCAGGTGCTTCCTGACAGAGCCAGGTGCTCCCTGACAGAGCCAGGTGCTCCCTGACAGAGCCAGGTGCTCCCTGACAGAGCCAGGTGCTCCCTGACAGAGCCAGGTGCTCCCTGACAGAGCCAGGTGCTCCCTGACAGAGCCAGGTGCTCCCTGACAGAGCCAGGTGCTCCCTGACAGAGCCAGGTGCTCCCTGACAGAGCCAGGTGCTCCCTGACAGAGCCAGGTGCTCCCTGACAGAGTCAGGTGCTCCCTGACAAAGCCAGGTGCTCCCTGACAGAGCCAGGTGCTCCCTGACAGAGCCAGGTGCTCCCTGACAGAGCCAGGTGCTCCTGGCTCTGTTGACAGTACGCTGTACCTCACAGTGCTGACACTGGTACACCAGAGCCAGCTTACAGTGTACTGTACCACACAGTGCTGACACTGGTACACCAGAGCCAGCTGACAGTGTACTGTACCCCACAGTGCTGACATTGGTACACCAGAGCCAGCTGACAGTGTACTGTACCCCACAGTGCTGACACTGGTACACCAGAGCCAGCTGACAGTGTACTGTACCCCACAGTGCTGACACTGGTACACCAGAGCCAGCTGACAGTGTACTGTACCCCACAGTGCTGACACTGGTACACCAGAGCCAGCTGACAGTGTGCTGTACCCCACAGTGCTGACACTGGTACACCAGAGCCAGCTGACAGTGTACTGTACCCCACAGTGCTGACACTGGTACACCAGAGCCAGCTGACAGTGTACTGTACCCCACAGTGCTGACACTGGTACACCAGAGCCAGCTGACAGTGTGCTGTACCCCACAGTGCTGACACTGGTACACCAGAGCCAGCTTACAGTGTACTGTACCACACAGTGCTGACACTGGTACACCAGAGCCAGCTGACAGTGTGCTGTACCCCACAGTGCTGCGAGGGACGGTGAAGAGCGTGGAGACCTACGGTGACCTGACGCTGACGACGGTGGTGGTGAAGGAGGTGGTGGTGACAGGGCGGGTCCTGGTGCTGACTCCAGCTGACGCTCACCTCTGGACCAACAGGTCCTGCATCTGCCCTCCACTCTCACTCAACCAGTAAGTTCTCACACTGCAAGTACCACCACTCTCACTCAACCAGTAAGTTCTCACACTGCAAGTACCACCACTCTCACTCAACCAGTAAGTTCTCACACTGCAAGTACCACCACTCTCACTCAACCAGTAAGTTCTCACACTGCAAGTACCTCCACTCTCACTCAGCCAGTAAGTTCTCACACTGCTAGTACCACCACTCTCACTCAACCAGTAAGTTCTCACACTGCAAGTACCACCACTCTCACTCAACCAGTAAGTTCTCACACTGCAAGTACCACCACTCTCACTCAGCCAGTAAGTTCTCACACTGCTAGTACCACCACTCTCACTCAACCAGTAAGTTCTCACACTGCAAGTACCACCACTCTCACTCAACCAGTAAGCACCACCACTCTCCAAGCCAGACCTTGCTGCAACTACTTCTGCCCACACCAGAGGCTCCTCCTTTTGCTTACTTTGTTCCCTGTCTGGCCTTCTACTTCGAATATGTATATATATATATGTATATATATATATATATATATATATATATATATATATATATATATATATATATATATATATATATATACTGGGTACTGCTATATATATATAGCAGTACCCAGTCATGCGTTGCTGTGGCTCACGCTTGTGCATTGCTGAGCCACAGCAATCTTCCCTGTCCCCCAGTCCTCCACCACCATTCCCCCCCCCCTCAGCCGTCTCCTTGGCCTCCCAACTATTCCCCACTCTACCATCCCCTCTTCCTTCCCTCCATGCCCCACTCCCCTGTCCCTTTCTCCTCCCCACCATTCTCCATTCCCCCATCCACTCGTCTGCACCATCCCAAACTCCCCCTCGTCCATCCCCAGCATTACTCCCTCCCTTGTCCCATCGTCCTCCCCACCATCTCTCACTCCCTCCCCAAATGGTCTGATGTTCCCCATCAGAAAATTGGGAACATCAAGTGATCTGATGTTGCCATCACTGAAATATAAGAAAAACAGTTAAAAAAGGAAATGAAAATATGAAAAAGTAAAAAAAATCAACTATACTCAGGAAATGAACGGTATGGTAAACAACACAGCTCAATTTCAATGCAATTCACACAAAATAATTAAATCAAAATGAAAATAAATAAAAATATATGAAAATATAATCTATCAATGCAATCAGAAACATTGAAATCTAATTGTAACATATTTAGCATAGCATGTGTGTTGCTCTTACATGCAACAGATGGCGCTGTTTTTCAAGAAAAGCATAGTTTTACCTGTCACAGGTGTGGCATCTATATAGTAGGTATATAAAAAGACGCGCATATTCGAATGGAACGTTGTGTCAGAATTTTAAAGCAATTGGTGAAGAACTTTGGGAGATTGCTGCTTGATTGATGAGATTGATGTGTTGCTCTTTCATCCAACAGTTGGCGATGTTTTTCCAAAAAAAGCATGTTTTCTCAGGTCACAGGTAAGGCATGTATATAGTAGGTATATAGAAACACGCGCCTATTCGAATGCAACGTCGTGTGAAAATTTCAAAGCAATCGGTGAAGAACTTTCGGAGATTAGCGATTTTGAACAAACGAACATTTCCATTTATATATATATATATATTATATATTATATATATATATATATATATATTATATATATATATATATATATATATAGTTACTGTGTAACTACCCTATATATAGGTAGTTACTGTGTAACTCACACAGTAACTACCCCATGCCCCACACAGTGACTACCTCACACAGTAACTACCCCATGCCTCACACAGTGATTACCTCACACAGTAACTACCCCATGCCCCACACAGTGACTACCTCACACAGTAACTACCCCATGCCCCACACAGTGACTACCTCACACAGTAACTACCCCATGCCCCACACAGAGACTACCTCACACAGTAACTACCCCATGCCCCACACAGAGACTACCTCACCCAGTAACTACCTCATGCCCCACACAGAGACTACCTCACCCAGTAACTACCCCATGCCCCACACAGAGACTACCTCACACAGTAACTACCCCATGCCCCACACAGAGACTACCTCACACAGTAACTACCCCATGCCCCACACAGAGACTACCTCACACAGTAACTACCTCATGCCTCACACAGTGACTACCTCACACAGTAACTACCCCATGCCTCACACATTGACTACCTCACACAGTAACTACCCCATGCCCCACACATTGACTACCTCACCCAGTAAATACCCCATGCCCCACACAGAGACTACCTGCTCCTGGGGTGGGAGGACGCAGACAACAGCAGACTACTCTACCTGGAGGGAAGCATCGCGCTGCCTTACAAGAGGAAGTACGTACTCAAGATACACCCAAGGTGTGTGGTACACTACCTCCAGTAACACCCATATCTGTGTGGTACACTACCTCAGCAACACCCATGGTGTGTGGTACACTACCTCCAGCAACACCCAACTTTGTGTGGTACACTACCTCCAGCAACACCCAAGGTGTGTGGTACACTACCTCCAGCAACACCCAGGTGTGTGGTACACTACCTCCAGCAACACCCACCTCCAGGTGTGTGGTACACTACCTCCAGCAACACCCAAGGTGTGTGGTACACTACCTCCAGTAACACCCAAGGTGTGTGGTACACTACCTCCAGCAACACCCATGGTGTGTGGTACACTACCTCCAGCAACACCCATGGTGTGTGGTACACTACCTCCAGCAACACCCATGGTGTGTGGTACACTACCTCCAGCAACACCCATGGTGTGTGGTACACTACCTCCAGCAACACCCATGGTGTGTGGTACACTACCTCCAGCAACACCCATGGTGTGTGGTACACTACCTCCAGCAACACCCATGGTGTGTGGTACACTACCTCCAGCAACACCCATGGTGTGTGGTACACTACCTCCAGCAACACCCATGGTGTGTGGTACACTACCTCCAGCAACACCCATGGTGTGTGGTACACTACCTCCAGCAACACCCATGGTGTGTGGTACACTACCTCCAGCAACACCCATGGTGTGTGGTACACTACCTCCAGCAACACCCACACTACCTCCAGCAACACCCAAGGTGTGTGGTACACTACCTCCAGCAACACCCATGGTGTGTGGTACACTACCTCCAGCAACACCCATGGTGTGTGGTACACTACCTCCAGCAACACCCATGGTGTGTGGTACACTACCTCCAGCAACACCCATGGTGTGTGGTACACTACCTCCAGCAACACCCATGGTGTGTGGTACACTACCTCCAGCAACACCCATGGTGTGTGGTACACTACCTCCAGCAACACCCAAGGTGTGTGGTACACTACCTCCAGCAACACCCAAGGTGTGTGGTACACTACCTCCAGCAACACCCAAGGTGTGTGGTACACTACCTCCAGCAACACCCAAGGTGTGTGGTACACTACCTCCAGCAACACCCAAGGTGTGTGGTACACTACCTCCAGCAACACCCAAGGTGTGTGGTACACTACCTCCAGCAACACCCAAGGTGTGTGGTACACTACCTCCAGCAACACCCAAGGTGTGTGGTACACTACCTCCAGCAACACCCAAGGTGTGTGGTACACTACCTCCAGCAACACCCATGGTGTGTGGTACACTACCTCCAGCAACACCCATGGTGTGTGGTACACTACCTCCAGCAACACCCATGGTGTGTGGTACACTACCTCCAGCAACACCCATGGTGTGTGGTACACTACCTCCAGCAACACCCATGGTGTGTGGTACACTACCTCCAGCAACACCCATGGTGTGTGGTACACTACCTCCAGCAACACCCATGGTGTGTGGTACACTACCTCCAGCAACACCCAAGGTGTGTGGTACACTACCTCCAGCAACACCCAAGGTGTGTGGTACACTACCTCCAGCAACACCCAAGGTGTGTGGTACACTACCTCCAGCAACACCCATGGTGTGTGGTACACTACCTCCAGCAACACCCATGGTGTGTGGTACACTACCTCCAGCAACACCCATGGTGTGTGGTACACTACCTCCAGCAACACCCAAGGTGTGTGGTACACTACCTCCAGCAACACCCACTACCTCCAGGTGTGTGGTACACTACCTCCAGCAACACCCAAGGTGTGTGGTACACTACCTCCAGCAACACCCATGGTGTGTGGTACACTACCTCCAGCAACACCCAAGGTGTGTGGTACACTACCTCCAGCAACACCCAAGGTGTGTGGTACACTACCTCCAGCAACACCCAAGGTGTGTGGTACACTACCTCCAGCAACACCCATGGTGTGTGGTACACTACCTCCAGCAACACCCAAGGTGTGTGGTACACTACCTCCAGCAACACCCAAGGTGTGTGGTACACTACCTCCAGCAACACCCATGGTGTGTGGTACACTACCTCCAGCAACACCCAAGGTGTGTGGTACACTACCTCCAGCAACACCCAAGGTGTGTGGCAACACCCAAGGTGTGTGGTACACTACCTCCAGCAACACTACCTCCAAGGGTGTGTGGTACACTACCTCCAGCAACACCCATGGTGTGTGGTACACTACCTCCAGCAACACCCACCTCCAGGTGTGTGGTACACTACCTCCAGCAACACCCAAGGTGTGTGGTACACTACCTCCAGCAACACCCAAGGTGTGTGGTACACTACCTCCAGCAACACCCAAGGTGTGTGGTACACTACCTCCAGCAACACCCAAGGTGTGTGGTACACTACCTCCAGCAACACCCAAGGTGTGTGGTACACTACCTCCAGCAACACCCAAGGTGTGTGGTACACTACCTCCAGCAACACCCAAGGTGTGTGGTACACTACCTCCAGCAACACCCATGGTGTGTGGTACACTACCTCCAGCAACACCCAAGGTGTGTGGTACACTACCTCCAGCAACACCCAAGGTGTGTGGTACACTACCTCCAGCAACACCCAAGGTGTGTGGTACACTACCTCCAGCAACACCCAAGGTGTGTGGTACACTACCTCCAGCAACACCCAAGGTGTGTGGTACACTACCTCCAGCAACACCCAAGGTGTGTGGTACACTACCTCCAGCAACACCCAAGGTGTGTGGTACACTACCTCCAGCAACACCCAAGGTGCGCAGCACATAGATACACCTGCCATAATAATACAACATTCAGGTCTCATAAATACAGCCTTAATAATTAAATCCGTGATTAAAGTTATTGAGTAATACGATTAAAGCCACAAGATTTGCCGTTTTATTACGGTGCTGGTGTAGTGATGTATCGGGTCGGCTCACAGGCAGAGGTCTTGGGCACGATGCCCTTGCAGAACGTAGACGTTTGGGCAATGCTTCCTTTCACCTAATGCCGTTGCTGACCTATCATTAAATAGTTGCCTGAGAATTTGCCAGCTGTTTTCAGTTGTTTTCTGCCGAAGGTCAATAGAGTAGGTGGTCCAGTGGGACCTCAGTAAGCCTAACTAGGTTCTTACGTGCAAAATGTGGACACTAGATCCAATTTGTTGATTTTGACTCTAGTGTCTCTTCTTTTGTATCCCTGCTTGGCGTGGTGCCGCCTGCTTGGCGTGGTGCCGCCTGCTTGGCGTGGTGCCGCCTGCTTGGCGTGGTGCCGCCTGCTTGGCGTGGTGCCGCCTGCTTGGCGTGGTGCCGCCTGCTTGGCGTGGTGCCGCCTGCTTGGCGTGGTGCCGCTCCAGAAATGGGAAGCAGCCGCCAGCCCCAAGCCACCGCCGTTCGAGCCTCCCGTCTCGTCAACTGCCATTCCACCTCTTCCACGGATCCAAACGGGCAGAGGCAGAAGAAGGAAGGGGAAAAACAACCAGAGAAGAAAAAACCTAAAAAGACAGAGGAAGATAAAGAACAAACGAAGGAGAAAACAAAATAGAGAGGGAGGGACTCAGAGTTGAAGAAGAGGTAAATGTGCCTGTATAGTCAGAATTGTTTACGCGTGTGGCTGTCGTGTGCATGTATGGTCTGAGTTGGAGTGGTAGCGTCACCAGGTTCACCACGGTTGTTAAAGACCTTACAAGACCAGGATGTGGATGTAACTAGGCGGGCTTTAACCTCAGAGTGACTGAAGGCAAACCTCAAATCCCAAAATAATTGGGGTTCTGGGTGGCGCCCAGGTGATGCATATATATTCATAAACCCCATCAATATTTGGGTTCTACATTGACCCATGAAGGACCCAGAAGTAACTATTATGTATGAGAGCTGCTGTATGAATAAGTAGGTACTTTACAAATTTTGTCTAGTTACATATTTTACTCTTAGAAGTGGCTCCATATAAGTTTACTTAGGTTGTAATGTAAGTAGCTGTATTTTGTACTTGCGGGAACAAATATTTGCAGTTTCAAGTAAATTTAAACAGATGAAACAATACGTAATTTAAAATGAACAGAGAGATGTAATGTATGTAGCAAGTGTTGTAACCCTGGAGATTAATAACTCCAGCATTTAATGTGATGAAACACTTCTTCCTGGTGGGGTGTTGGACGGGTCCGGTCTGGTCACCTCCAAGCCTCCCGCCAGGTCCTCGTGAGTCATAAGCACCTACTGGCCACCAGGACCTGAATGGTCCCAAGGATGGCCCCACAATAAAGGCAAGAGCAGTCTGTGGACACTAAATCATTTCAGCATTTCAAGCCACGAGGAACATCCACCAGAGGGATAGAACACCCCAAAACATTCTTTTGCCAGATCCAATTGCTGTTTAGTTACACTTCTCCTGCAGCAAGTGAAGGGTCCGGGTCACTCGCAAGCCCCCGCCGGCTGCCTGTGTGGACGAGACAAAACCTCCTAGTTCCTCATTTTCTTCTTCATCTTGATAGTAGGTGCAGTTTGCATAAAAGTTGTCATTTTACATAGCTCTGTGTTTTATTTCAGCTAGGTGTTGCCTTTCCTTTTGGACTTTGCCTTGCAAGGGCCAATATGTGTATTGTTTCTGCTTCACTGTTTTTTCTTTCTAGGTTTACTGCTGTGTTATCCTTGAGTCTTGTGACTAGAGTGTCCTCTAGTCGCCGTTACCTTTCACGGTTTTTCTTCCATGCTGATGTTCAAGAGACTGCTGCTTCAGGTTTCCTTTTTTTCAAAGAGCCCTTGCCCTGGGTTGTGTATAGCCTTCGGTTCCTCCTCAGAGGCGTGAACTACATTATTTTCTTTGGGTTTGGGGTGTGCAGAGTGGGTGCTTATCTAGCTTTCGTACTGGTGGTTGCTAACAACTCCATCCGCAGTTTGTATGGGTGTTCCGCTAGAGGTCTGGTGTGTTCTGGGGTCTGTTTGAACTTTCCCTCTGAGGGTGATGCCGCCGTCTGTGGTTTTCCTGGATGCTATGCAACTTTAGTTCATGCCAATAGTTGTCCTTTCAGTTGAGTTGATAATTGTTTTCATCCCCCGTGCCCATATATATATGGCCTGTGGCGTTTGTCGTCGTTGGGCTACAGTTTTGCTAAATTATTTTGTGGGACATAACTCATTACTGTAGTATCAGGCTGTGACGGTTTTACAGGATAGGGTATCATCATTGGAGCTAAATTAGCGTGTAACAAAGGTGAAGTTGAATTAGACCTATGTATCCCTATCTCTGCTGTCGAGACTATATTGGTCCAAACACTCTGGTCTGATAGGAGATAAATTACTGACTCCCAACGACTGGAAAGCACCAGTATAAAAAACTATGACTTGTTCAGATCTGAAACCTATGTTTATGGGCAGCACAAAACGTCCACCAGACTGTGCGACACAGTGGTTGCCAGGATCAGGTTGGGTTACCGTTACCTGTGGCAGGTGGCTACAGGTGACGGATCTCCCAATCCTGAGCACTCCAGGTGCAAACTCTGTGAGCAGGAACTGGGGCATGACCTTGCACACTACATCACCTAATGCCGTCATGAGACCCGTTGACATGAGATACCTGGTGCTTTGCAATTACTTTGTTCACTCTCGCGTTCTTGAGGATATCCTCATAATGCACCCAAAATTGGTCAGTGCAGGCTACTGAACCTATGACCCAGGATGACTAATCATCCTGCGAGATGGAGACTTTTCGTATCAATACTGAATACCTTATGCACTCTCGTGTTCATTATGATATCCTCATAATGCGCCCAGCGTTTTCCAGTGCAGACTGCTGATCACATGCCTCTGTATGACTAACCATTCTGTGTGATGGGGATTTTTAACATCACGTAGCTAGTTTTATGACACACTCTGTACTCCCCTTCATATAGTCTAAGGCAGCTGCACAAATGCAGATATATCTAAATGTGTTAATAAAAAAAAAGAAAAAATGTTGTTCTGATCTGGCTTGGATGCCCTGGAGTTGGAACCTCTGCTGTTTTATAATTCGCTGGAGCGTTCGCTTCAGCAAGTGTTCAAAGTTTGCTCCTCCTCTGCTTTGGTCCATGCTGGTGTGATGCTTCCCTTCCCCCGTCTTTGCTCCAGAGCACTGTGGCCTTCAGAGCTTTTGGGCCCATCTGGTTTGTGTGTGTGGTGAGCTCTGTGGATGGGCACTTCAGGCTTTGTCCATCTCTTACCAGTGGCAGTGACAAATGACCTAGAGTTTGCTACCAGGAATTCGCAACCCATCCTCTGAACTGACAGTAAGTTTAAATACTAAGTGTAATAAGTACATTTCCTGACTACCATACATAGTACCTAGTTGCACTTTTGCGCTGTTACATTTACCTCCCCATTTATTCTCCTCGTTTTCTGTTAAGACACTCAGAATTTTAGGATGAAGTTTTAAGGCTCAGATTGCTATACACTAGTTTTAAATATTAGGAATTTCTTTTAATATTTTATTAAACAATAGAGATTTTATACAAAATTTTAAAATATCCTGAGTTACTTTACAAATATATTGAAATATTTTAGTTTTGTTTTATTTGTTTTATAAAACTGTAATATCAATATAGCTATAGGTTAAGTAGTAATTGTAATTAAGAAGCAATAAAATGTTTATCTTCAAAAACTAAGACGGTTAGGTTAAGTCGTAGTTTTCTATTCAGGTTTTCAGGTAAACTCAAATATTCACGATATATATTTGACTACGGTTTAATACTAAGTGAAAATAAGTACAATTCCTGACTGCCATATATAGTACATAATTGCACTTATGGGGCTGTTACATTTATCTCCCCATTTTTGGCAACCCGTTCTCGCAAATTTAATAAGTCAATATTGACTTATTAAATATGTGCATAGGTGACATACTTAACATAATAGATACCCTTAAAAAGATTCATAGAAAACACCGACCTTACCTAACCTTGTTAGTATCTTAAGATAAGCATCTTATTGCTCCGTAATTACAATTATTACCGGTTTAAGAATATCCATTTTATACGTTTATATTATTTTATCAGCAATAAAAGTTTGCATTCTAGTTGCAGGAGCAAGTACCTCGTCCTCCTCCTCATTCTCTTCTTGGATTTCAGCTTGGGGGATATCAGGGTGTCCATACGCCAAAGATTGTGTAGGACTCGATACATAACGTTTATCGTCAGGCAAAAAATCCCCGTTATGCAGTTAGACATGTACACATACGCCCTTTGACATTCCTAATTGATCTGTACTAGAACTGTTGCCCTATATTATAAACTAAAGCATATTGAAAAGCCGAATGAGTGAGTTTAGATTGATGATATGTAGGAATAACTTTACAATGGCAGATGTGAACCTGATCTTGAGTGAGGATGGAATACATTTTAGGTTTTAGTGTAATGAGTTCCTAAAAGATTTTTGCCTCAACTTCTGATTTCAGCAAACCCAGCTGACCTTTACGAGATTCATCAAAGTAGGGGTTTTCGGGAGGGAAATTACTGAAATCCACATGCTGACATAAAGACAGTTTATTTAATTCTTAAAAGCATTAGAACAGGTCAATTTGATCGGATAAGAATCCGTATCCATATACAACAATCTAGCTTTGTGTCCATAATGAGCTTTGACGGTATTATACCAAAAATTATACAGGAACCTTTTAGATATTTGCAGGGTAAGGAACCCCAGGTATGTTGGTGTTTTGATTTTAAGGGATTCATTCTTGACCGTGCAAATGACAATGTCTTCACTCAGCAAAATGCAACGTTTGAAGAAAGGTTTACGTGCATGCCTCTGTAACTTGCCTTGAGACATGATTGAATAGTGCTTATCACAATATTTGCTCACATTGGTTAAACGTTTGCCGTAAATTGTGTTACTGACCTGCTTGAAAGATTTAGCTTTAATGGCGCATGGTGATATTTGCACGTTCTCGGGCGTTGTTTCAACAAAATCCTTGAGGTACTTGCTTTGACTAAATTCATAAACTGCATTTATCCTAGCAACTTTCTATCCTAGTTTCATGAGCATCTGTAGAAAATGCTAAACTCACCAAATAATCTTTTTGGGGGAGATAGGAGGCGATCAATTTATTATTTTTCCTAGTGAGTTTCCAATCTTCCGTATTTAAAATGAGTTTCTGTAATCAGACAACAGATCAGCAGAAATATTAGCATGTGAAAGGGTCAAGGGTAAATCATGAGTGTATCAGGCCACCTCAGTTGTGACATGCCTAGTATCACACGTGACCCAATTACCCTTATCCCCATTACATGCAATATTCTCCAATCCTTGCTGGAGCCAATCATTGCGTTCAGCAGTGGATAATTTCCGAATACCTTCTTGAGGAAGCCTTTCTGTTATGCAGGTGGCGTATAGACCATTGAAATTTAAATAAAAATATATTTATCATTGCTAGAGGGATCAGCACCCCCCAATATGTACATTCTCTTCATCCGTGTGTTTAACTACTGAGGTAAATTCGCCTTTTAATTTTTTGCGCAATACATCACAAAAATGGGGATCAGAAATAGAGTCCAAGATGACTTGACCTTTTAACAAGAAGGCATCCCATGCGAAACTGGAGAGCAAGACAATGTCCAACTTGAACAGCTCCAACATTGTCTTATGCCATACAGTAAACACATCACACAAAAGTCCAGTATCCGTTTTCAAATGGACCTTCAAGTAATCCCCAATGGTCTTGCATTTCACCAATCTAAAGACTTCTTCAGCCTGGTTATAATCTTTCTGATTTACAGCCTCGTGCTTTAAACTATTATAGAATGCTTTCGGGGAGCTGGTCGGCCGAGCGGACAGCACGTTGGACTTGTGATCCTGTGGTCCTGGGTTCGATCCCAGGCACTGGCGAGAAACAACGGCAGAGTTTCTTTCACCCTATGCCCCTGTTACCTAGCAGTAAAATAGGTACCTGGGTGTTAGTCAGCTGTCACGGGCTGCTTCCTGGGGGTGGAGGCCTGGTCAAGGACCGGGCCGCGGGGACACTAAAAAAAAAAGCCCCGAAATCATCTCAAGATAATCTCAAGATAGAGAGGAAGAGAGGGTTTATTTAATTTATCCAAAGATGAAATGTAGTCATAACAGAAGATCTGTTATGACTACAGATCTACTAAGTTTATTTAATAAAATGTCTTTAATAAAATGGTGGGCAGCTACAGGGACATCATCTAGCATAACAGAGGGATATCTTGTGGGGTTTACCACTTTTGATATGTTCTTTAGCTAGTTTATCCAGCCCACCATTCAGTAAAGCTTAACTATCCATAAACCGAAGTTTACTAATATTCACTTTCATGAACTTGAATCCATCTTTGGAGGCAATATCGATCTTGCAGTTAGGGAGGTTAGACTATTCATTCAAAATTACCTCGAGGTCATAAGCTGCATTATGCGAGAATGTTTACAAATATTTATAGGAATTCATTCATAGCATGTTACACTGGCGGCAATAAGCTGCTAGATAATTATTAAATTCTATGGCACGGTAATAGTGACGGTGCTTGTCTTTAGCTGTTTCGAAAGGGGCATAACACATTTCACATGTGACTTGCCGTCTGTAAGCTCGCCAATGTACACGTGTCATAGATATTTTATATTTGGGCATGGTAGACCTAATTCTTTTCCATGAACTCTCTAACGTATCTATGAAATGATTAACGGGGTTCAATCCCCATGTTGATTTCTCTACCACCTCCAGGTCCTTGTTAATGATGATATAGTCATATGCCACAACTTTGTGATGCTTCTCGATCATTCCTTTGGGGGATTGGAGGGGTCCAATAAACATTAAAAATCATAATATGCTGATTGTGAAGGTCCAAAGGCATGACCATAATTCTTGAACTTGATTTTATTACTTGCAGGGTAATATTTCAATGTTAGAACCTAGTAAAATAACATACTGGACATGAACCCTCTAGGACACTGCCCCACAATGGCTTTACTGAACTGCAATCACATACGGTGATTGCTCAACACTAGCAACAATCACCATCAAATAACAACCCCCTTTGCAATAACACACACGGCAAGTACTCTAATTTCCAAATATTAGGATACTGCACACACTTACTTACTTACTGTTGCAAATGACCCCTAGAACACAGGTCAATATATATCAATCACCACACAGTAAATAACACAATAACACTGGGCACCGTGACACTACGATTATATATATAATTATAATTACTGCTGACACATGTAGCCTACAGCTATCAAACGTTATTGGGAACACTAAGGAGAATCTCACACTCCTTAAATCACATGGGTGAGTGATTTATCGGTCACGCATGCCGATAAACACTCGAGAGTTACGTTACTCGACAGAGCGGGGGGCGGTCTCTCTAGACGGCCTCGTCACTCACCAAAACTCACCAAAATTACGTTAATTAATACTGCAACCACAATATATATTTATATAAATCACACTTGTCACGGCCCTGGGAACAATACAAGAAATTAAGTCCACACTGTGGTACACTCCACAATAATCATTGCCAGGAATCACTGGCGTTACACATACCTGAGCGCTCAGTGTTGGAATTCCACACCTGCAAGACCACACATGGAAATGATATCACTCCGTCCCACGGACGATCAAAAATGATTACCACAATGAAATAAAAGAATTTATTACATGGACATCCTCTCCGTCCTTGGCTAAACTATGTATCCTGTTCCCGTGTGTACCCACACACACACACTGTACGTCTGTGTACACCAGACTTAAGTCCCTCTGGACTGACAAGATGACAACACAGGTGATTAATCTCCTCGCCCACAATTCACTCCACCTGAACAGGTGCTGCGTGACAATGTGACGGAACACTTGACCTCGAATTCAAGCTTTAGAGACTACTAATCACCAGAAATACACACATAGGTACTTATTCACACTGCCGGCTTTACACCTCCCATACATCAGGCACCCCGCTATAGGTGGCTGGCTCGTCCCAAGTAGCGTAAGCGGCGGTAGTTCTTTACGTGGTACTTATACCGAAAATTGGCGCACACTCGAACCCCTCCCACTCAACACGGCTGAGTTCGCACCCTCGACTCCCCGGTGAAGTGAAGCGTTCATACCCAGGTGACGCGCACGATAGCGTCTCACACAAACACGGGGAAATTTGCCTTAGCACTGACACGAATTTCCCCGTTCCCATCGACTGCTACAGAGCACTAGCAAGTCTAATCAACACTGGTATGGGATCTACGAGTCTGTTGCTGCTTGTATGCACATTCCCCCACGATCCCAGATCACTGTACCTCTACCCCCTGAATAACAATGCCTTAAACCCCTCCAAGCGACGACTTCGGCCGGATTCTGTGACGACCGATGTCGTAGGTGAAGCAGGAAGCATCAGCAGTGAGTAGTGTTTCACTTCACATGACTCTTCATGATCTCGCATAGCATTAGGTGGCAAATGAATTAAGCATAAATGACAAAAAATTTGATTATTTGCCACGAAGTCTGAATGACCTCGTGTGTTGCAAACATTGATTGAAATCTTTAATGAGTACGAGATGCTGATCATCTAGCATGAGGAACGGTACTTCACAGGCAGAATGTTCCCAGCCTTTCCTAGCTAAGCTAATATAGTACCGGTTATCTTCATGAGTCAGCACATAGATAAATATACTTAATTTATTCAAACTTTTGATTTTATTGATATTGTCATACGTTATGGGTATTTCAATATCTTCACTCCAACGGACAAGTCTAAGACACCTGGCAGACTTGGAATATCTGCCGATATTATCGAATGTCATCCCCCTGAGCTAGGCATATATATGCTGCTAAACATTGGATTAAACATACATTTTGTCTAGATACAGTGCGTTGCTCAGCCCTTATGGGTAACTCTCCCTCATAATCAGGTTCATTTTCTTGATTAAGCCGTTATAAATTGAACGAAAAATCTGGATAAATCAATAAGGCAGGAGGGAAATTTGGATGAACGGCACCAAACAAGGATTCTAATTGTCGTATAAAATGATCGCGATATGTAGTTAAATAATGGCCGGGATCTCTGTGGGCATACTTTGGGATACTATATGAATGGCGTTTTTCTCCCATTAACGTTATTGATAACTTCTAGAACTTCAGGTTAAGGAGGAGGAAGTATAGTATCTACCTGCTGCTGCTGTTGCTGAGACTGAGCTGTGCCAGGGGACCAGGTGGTCACCACTGGGGGCTTGTGGCTCGACCCAATCACAGAGGAGGGAGGGGAGCCGAAGGGAGTAGTCAAGAAGGTCAAAGGAGGAGCAAGGTCTGGGCCCAATGTAGTGGGGACTACAAAGTCCGGTCTTCCTACATAGTCCGAGGGGCCTTAGTCGCCCACCCCACGAGCCCAAGAAGGTCAAGAGGAACAGTATTGAACATAAAAACGAGAGGAAAGACTTTCATTTACGAATGTGCCCCCACACCTACCACGGAGCCACAATTAGAGGATAGGACACCCAACAAGAGACATGTTACTGGTTTTGCCGGGGCATCCCTTGGGGGGGAGGGGCGTCGTGAGTATACCTCCTTCAAATGCCACCTTAAGAACTGTCAGTCCATCGAGATCGGGTTCAGTGACGAAAGAAGGATTGAAAATAAAAGTGTCCCCTCGCTTGCAACATTGAGTACCACAGTTCTACGGGTGAGAGAGTATGCCTCCTCAAACACCCAGGTATAAAAACAGAAGAAGGCCAAAAGAATAATCAAAACTGGCAAAAGGTCGGCGGGGAAATGACAATGAGAAAGGAGAAGAGGGGAAGAAAAACGAAACATAAGGAAAAGGAAAAGTTATTCGGCATAATTCGAGAAGACAGCAGCAGGAGCACAAGGCTACAAAAGGACAGAGGACTGCCCCATGGAGCATCACACTCCAGCAGCCGCCCACCAAGCCCCCTCACGCAACAACGGGCCGGAAAGGGAGGGGGGCAGTAGAGTACAAAAATGTAAATAAAAGTTGCACTTTACTGATGTCCATACACAAACACAAGTACTATAATGTAAAGTAACAGCTATTATAAGTACTCACCTAATTGTGCTTGCGGGGGTTGAGCTTTGTCTCTTTGATGTCTGGGTGGGCATCCATTGGTGAGGATCTTGAACAGGTCATCCCTGCTGACGAGGTCGAAGGCCTTTATCAGATCTATGAAGGCTATGAAGAGTGGCTGCTTCTGTTCCCTGCATTTCTCCTGTAGTTGTCTGAGGCAAAAGACCATGTCGATGGTGGACCTGTTAGCTCGGAATCTGCATTGCGATTCTGGGTAGAGTCTCTCTAAGTTCTTGGAACCTCTTCAATGTGACTCGAGCAAACAACTTTCCGACAATACTGAGGAGGGAGATGCCACAGTAATTGTTGCAGTCGCCCCTGTCACCTTTATTCTTATACAGCGTGACGATGTTTGCGTCCCTCATGTCCTGTGGCACCTCCCCTTCTTCCCAGCAGAGGCAGAGGATTTCATGCAGCTCCATGATCAGGTTACCTCTGTAGCACTTCAAGGTCTCAGCTGAAATGCTGTCTTTTCCAGGACCTTTCCCAGAAGCAAGGGAGTCTAGGGCCTCACTGAGTTCTTCGAGGGTCGGTTCACTGTCGAGCTCCATTAACACAGGCAGGCACTCATTGATGCTCAGGGCGTCTTTGGTGACCACATTCTCCCTGGCGTATAGCTCAGAGTAGTGCTCGACTCAGCGCTTCAGCTACAGTGTCTGGTCCTGAATCACCTCGCCTGTAGCAGATTTCAGGGAAGCGGTCTGGTCTTCTTCTGGATTGGGCCGAGGGCCTGCTTGATGCCGTCATACATTGCCTGTATCTGCTGCAGTCTGTATCTGGGAGCAGAGCTGGAGCCAATAGTTGTTGGCTACATCGCCTGGCGCTCTGCTGCACTTGGCAGCGGACGTCCCGAAGGATATGTAAGTTGCGCTGACTTGGGCAGGCTTTGTAGGCTGCCAAGGCGTTTCTCTTCTTTTCGATGACAGGTGTCATTTCTTCCGAGTGAGCCTCGAACAAGTCTGCCGACCTGCTGTTCTACTTGCCAAAGATGGACATGGCAGCGTTGAACACAGAGTCTCTGAAGTGCTTCCATCTTTTACAGGCGATGACCCCAGCCGGGCCAGGAAGAGCGTCCTCGAGCACACATGCAAAATCTTCCACCTTGTCCTGATTACAGGTCTTGCTGGTGTCGGTATGAGGTCTGCCCCCTTTTTCGAGTGATGAATCTATTTTGTTTGCATCTTGACCTTGCTACATACCAAAAAGTGGTCGGTGTCACAGACAGCACTCTGGTAGCTACACATAATCTTGACGCTGGGTAGACTTGCACGCCTGATCAGAATCAGGTCAAGCTGGTGCGAGTGCTTGGATCTGGGATGTCTCCATGAGACTCGGTGTTGAGGCTTTGTGCCGAAGAGCGTGTTGAGACCTTGAAGGCAGCAAAGTTCTAGCAGACGTTGCTCGTTCTCATTCATCCTCCCTATGCCAAATTGACCCAGACAAGGGGCCCAAAAGTTGTGATCGGCACCCACTCTGGCGTTGAAGTCGCCATGGATGAACAGTGGCTCCTTACAGGGATTCTCGCTATGACTCTGTTGAGGTCATCGTATAAGTTTTCCTTTGCCTCTGCTGGGAAAGTGAGGGTTGGAGCATATGCACTAATTACATTGACTGGTCCTTTTTGGGAGTGCAATTGCAGAGACAGAATTCGTTCGGATTCCCCGTCGGTGGCATAATGTCTCCCAAATACAATCCGTAGGAGCTCGAACCTATGCGGTGGGTGTTCACACGAGCACACACACACACTAGCGACTAGCCCACAACATGGTATAAAGAGTGCAACCTGGAGTTCTACTGAACACACGATGGTTTCCTGAGGCTTCTACTGAAGCCTGACCAGCATTTTCCATAGTTTCGAACAAAGAGACATTTGTGTCTGTGGATACAAATGGTAAACTAATGTAAAGCTTTACATCCTGAAATGGCATATTAACACATGAACTGACATATTAATTAACAATGACAATACATATTAGCCCGGTAATCGAAATTAGCATTCCAGTAAATTACTGTAACTGGGGTTTACACCATCATGTGGATCTGTGTAAAGCTTGTCGGCCATCATAGCTACGCTCACACCTGTCTGCCCAACACTCCAGTTTACTTGGCTAATAGAGTGCACCAAAGGGGTATCCCCCTGAGAGAGGGGTCACCCGCTTCTAGGTGTATACAAGCAGTTTACTGAAGCTCTGGAGATCATACTTGCTGTTTGGTCAGTAAGGATTTGTGATGGCCTTGACTCTTTAGAGGTAGAGAGGCATTAAGGCCAACACCAGACCAGACTGTGGCTCTTGAAGCATTCATGGCCACCTTAAGCATCCCAACACCTCTCGCAGGTGAATAAAGTCGCCTAATAAATGTTTATAATGAGACACAGGTAGAGTGTAATGAAAGAAATTGAAAGACAAATGTTTATTCTAAATTTCCTTAAATATAATGAAAATGTTTTGTAGTAATTACAAGACTTAACCTAATATGGTTGTAGCACAGGAAGAGTTAAGGCACGACTCCCCGCTCTCACACCGTCCTCTCCCTCGCTGACGGCTCCCCACTCTCACACCCTCCTCTCCCTCGCTGACAGCTCCAGCAACACCCTCCTCTCCCCTGCTGACAGCTCCACCACTTTGCGTGCCTGGGTCTGAACACACCAAGCCTGGGTCTGAACACACCAAGCCTGGGTCTGAACACACCAAGCCTGGGTCTGAACACACCAAACCTAGATCTGAACACACCAAACCTGGGTCTGAACACACCAAACCTAGATCTGAACACCAAAAATAGGTCAGAACACACCAAACCTGGGTCTGAACACACCAAGCCTGGGTCTGAACACACCAAACCTAGATCTGAACACACCAAACCTGGGTCTGAACACACCAAACCTGGGTCTGAACACACCAAGCCTGGGTCTGAACACACCAAGCCTGGGTCTGAACACACCAAGCCTGGGTCTGAACACACCAAGCCTGGGTCTGAACACACCAAGCCTGGGTCTGAACACACCAAGCCTGGGTCTGAACACACCAAGCCTGGGTCTGAACACACCAAGCTGGGTCTGAACACACCAAGCCTGGGTCTGTGGGTGTGGGTCTGAACACACCAAGGGGTGGGTGTGGAGCCTGGGTCTGAGTCACGGGGAGTGGTTGTGGAGCCTGAGTCACGGGGAGTGGTTGTGGAGCATGGGTTCTGGGTAAGGGTTGGGTCCTGAGTAATGGGGAGGGGTTGTGGGGTCTGAGTCATGGGGAGGGGTTGTGGAGCCTGGGTTATGGGGACGAGTTATAGGGAGGGGTTGTGGAGCCTTGGGTATGGGGAGGGGTTGCGGAACCTGGGTTAGGGGGAGGGGTTGTGGAGCCTGGGTAATGGGGAGGGGGTTATGGTGAGGGTTGGTGCGAAAATATTCAAGGCCAGCTTGAGCGGTGACGCTTCCTAGTCTTCTTGGTGTTTCTCCTGGTGGGCAGCTCCTCCTCGTCGTCGTCCTCGTAGTCGTCCTCCTCGTCCTCGTCGTCGTTACTGGAGCTCTAGAGACGGGGAAACACAACTGCCGTCAGGGAGAGCAGGATGGTGCGGCCAGGATGTAATTGTCTACATTTACAAAGTTACAAAACAAACCGTTTTCAGACAACACACATCCCCTCTGTTTAAATCCCTAAACATGCTAAACATAAACAAGAGCCACATTCTCTTGTGCCATTTGCATGAACAAAACCTTGACATAAATGCAGACCCTGATCTGAAAGTCTTCCTTGACAGATATAATAGAACACATGACCATCACACCGAAAATAAATATATCTCTGATATCCCCAGTCAAACTAAATCTGTGTAAACACTATACTCCCTAAATAAATATGTTTCTGCCTGGTTAAAGTAAGACCATTCCCGGCAAGTTGACTGCATGTACTTTACACAGTACATGGCGATCTACCGAATATATTAGGGGTGTGGGCGGGGTACAGAGGGAGGACCTACCGAGTACACTAGGGGTGCAGGCGGGGTACAGAGGGAGGACCTACCGAGTACACTAGGGGTGCAGGCGGGGTACAGAGGGAGGACCTACCGAGTACACTAGGGGTGCGGGCGGGGAACAGAGGGAGGACCTACTGAGTACACTAGGGGTGCAGGCGGGGTACAGAGGGAGAACCTACCGAGTACACTAGGGGTGCGGGCGGGGTACAGAGGGAGGACCTACCGAGTACACTAGGGGTGCGGGCAGGGTACAGAGGGAGGACCTACCGAGTACACTAGGGGTGCAGGCGGGGTACATAGGGTGCAGGGGGCGCCACATTGACACAGGCGACACCCCAGGTAGTGCGCCGTCTGCCCCTCCACCAGCCTCTGCCCCAACAGCTGCAGGAAGATCCTCCGGTGGTACTTCCTCTCCATTTTGATGTTTTGCATCGAGAACACCGACCCATCCGTCTGTGAATACAATGGTGTTTACGTTAGCCTCGTCTTCATAGATCGTAAGACTGGCCTGCCAGTCTACCTTCCATATGGTCAACATTACTTCTCTTTTACCTTCACTGAAGACCTTTTTTATATGGTCATTTTGATATAAAATATTAACATGAATCATCAATATTGTTATCCATAGGACACAAGATGTGTTTGTCCATTGCTGGAAGGTAGAGGCTAGTGGCTAGTCCCACCCAACTCTCACTAATGGTGCATGGGACCGTCGGAGGTTAGTCACAAGTGGCCCTAGTGCCACACCTTTAAGAAATATTTGCATCTAACCCAACCCCGCCATTAAGATCATTAAGATCTTTGACCAGAAGAGGAAGAGTGGGGAATGTTTGAAGCGACGGGGAGGAGGTGAGAAACGGAAGAGGTGAAGAAGTGGGTCAGAAGGGAGAGAGTGAAGTGCTGGGGGAAGAGTGAAGTGCTGGGGGAAGAGTGAAGTGCTGGGGGAAGAGTGAAGTGCTGGGGGAAGAGTGAAGTGCTGGGGGAAGAGTGAAGTGCTGGGGGAAGAGTGAAGTGCTGGGGGAAGAGTGAAGTGCTGGGGGAAGAGTGAAGTGCTGGGGGAAGAGTGAAGTGCTGGGGGAAGAGTGAAGTGCTGGGGGAAGAGTGAAGTGCTGGGGGAAGAGTGAAGTGCTGGGGGAAGAGTGAAGTGCTGGGGGAAGAGTGAAGTGCTGGGGGAAGAGTGAAGTGCTGGGGGAAGAGTGAAGAGTGAAGTGCTGGGGGAAGAGTGAAGTGCTGGGGAAGAGTGAAGTGCTGGGGAAGAGTGAAGTGCTGGGGGAAGAGTGAAGTGCTGGGGGAAGAGTGAAGTGCTGGGGGAAGAGTGAAGTGCTGGGGGAAGAGTGAAGTGCTGGGGGAAGAGTGAAGTGTTGGGGGAAGAGTGAAGTGCTGGGGGAAGAGTGAAGTGCTGGGGGAAGAGTGAAGTGTTGGGGGAAGAGTGAAGTGTTGGGGGAAGAGTGAAGTGTTGGGGGAAGAGTGAAGTGTTGGGGGAAGAGTGAAGTGTTGGGGGAAGAGTGAAGTGTTGGGGGAAGAGTGAAGTGTTGGGGGAAGAGTGAAGTGTTGGGGGAAGAGTGAAGTGTTGGGGAAAAGGGAAATACTGGGAAGATGGAAGTGAGTGCAGAGGAGGGAGCAGAGGAGAGGAGAGATAGAATGGCATGTTAGGGGAAGAAAGATTAAGAGGTGTAGGGAGAGAGATATGAAGGAGGGGGAAGGGAGGAGAGACCTGGGCGCAGCTGGGCACGTCAACAGGTCTGTCTGCATCCATAAAAGAGAATGTCTGTCTGTCAGTGTAGTGTTATAGGCCAGATGTCAGGCACCAGACTAACGCGACCTTGCAGGATGGCCAGTGACGGTATAGGGGGTGTCAAAGGTGGCTTGCTGGGGTGGCATCTTCTGAGAGAGGGAGGGAGGAGGTGAAGAATAAGGTGCGGTGTGGGCGAGTGAGGAAGGGGAAGCGAGGATTAGGGTCAGTGAAAGAGGGAGAGAATGGGAGGGAGGGAGGGAGGGAAGGAGAGATGAATAAGAAGAGGGCGTGGGGAAGGGGGGGTATAAGGCGCGCCAGAGGTGGGGGCAGCGGGGGCGGGGTAGAGAAGGTAGAGGCCTCACCTGGACAGCCAGCTGGGTGCAGGTGTTGCCGATGGGCGTAGTCAGGTGCTTCCTGATGGCGGTCTTGCCCTGCACCCTCCTCTTGCGGGCGTGAGACAACAGGTAGGCCGTGTGGCCGTCCACCCCTGTGCCAGCAAGCCAACCATTGTAAGTCACCATACTGATGCTCTCCTCACCTCAAGTTACCCTGCTACTATGTATAATGATCTGATATTACAGAGGTACGCTCATATTCCCTAGCTGACACAACAGTCATCTTTACATGCACCTAATGACGTGACGGGATCACAAACTACTTTCCTTTCCAGTTAATTTACAAACACTAGTGACCACCATAAGTCTTGTTCACCATGGGGACACAAACACCACAGTGGACACTCGTGTGCAACAATGGTGACACAAACCCCACAATGACATACCAATAAGCTGTCTCATGGCCTTCTTGGTGAGTCCGTGACGGTTTAGGACAGTGATGGGGTTGGTGGTGACGACGTGTAACTGGACACCTTGGGACAGCAGCGTCTCCCGCAACTTGACGATTTTAGGCGCCGAGATCTGAGAAACAGAGAAAAAACTCTCAGGTCTTGCCCTCCCTCCGTCATATATTATTACTCAAACGCATGTTTAAGTTAGAGTTAAAGACCCTGTATCATTCTGATTCCAGTGTTAAGAGCCATGTATCACCCTGACTCCAGTGTTAAGAGCCAAGTATCACCCTGACTCCAGTGTTAAGAGCCATGTATCACCCTGACTCCAGTGTTAAGAGCCATGTATCACCCTGACTCCAGTGTTAAGAGCCATGTATCACCCTGACTCCAGTGTTAAGAGTCAAGTATCACCCTGACTCCAGTGTTAAGAGCCATGTATCACCCTGACTCCAGTGTTAAGAGCCATGTATCACCCTGACTCCAAACTTTTATACAATACTCCATGCATTGCCCTGATTCCAAGAGTACTACAACTCTCCATATATTACCCTGACTCCAAGTGCTACTCCAACACTTGTCATGATTCTTGGTAGCCTAGCCTGGGCTACATCCTGTCTGAGAGTTGTTCATGTTCTTCGTCCATCATTTGTGTGTTCATTCGTTCTTGCCTGAATGTTTTAATCAGGCTAAAATGGGTAGGATAAGTATGAATGTGTCTAATGGCGCTTAGAATGCAATTATGTGGCGAGAAGGCATCAGGAAGAGGAGGATTCTTTCTCGCCAAGACTCCCAGGGACCTTCCCTTCCCTTCCCAGGGAATCTAAGAGATTCTGTGTGCTAGAGGCTCCAGTTGCTATGGTAACCGTGACGACGAAGACTGAGAACCAATCATAGCGAAGCAAGACGATAACATCCCGCAAGGACAACGTGAGGATTGGCCAAAACAGGTCACTTTACTCCTGAGAGTCAAGGATGTCGCACGTCTGTCCTTTGCCGCTCCATCATTGCTGGACAGATATCGTCAACTGATGCTTGTAAGCAGGACCGACCCCAAAATTATGCTGCTGGTCGGTGATCCTAATGCCAGACACCAACACTTTGATGCCAACTGTCATCAGCCCAATGTCAATGGACAGAAACTGTCACAAAATGTTTGGGGGAAATGAAAATCTTAAATAGTCCTGGGTGATGAACAGCCAACTCAGAGGCGGAATATTGGACTATGCATCTTGCTGAATGTACAGGACATGGATGCCAGTACACACATTGTACACCGTTTATGTGGTGACCACTGGGCACTGATTACTACCGTCGACATGAGCAAGAGAAGGAAAGAGACAAATAAAAGAAAAAGGTTATCACTCGGAACAGATATGAGGCCCACTTCACAAACAAGATGAGTGACTGGTTCACATAATACCAAATCCCTGAGGACATATATAAATTTATTGACGACTTTAATGACCACATTGAGAGCTGTCTCAGAGTCCCGCACCGTATGACTGGGTGAAGCAATCATCGGAAGAAAAAATAAAATGGTATGAGAACAATTACATAAAGATGGTCAATGTAAATATAAGGAGCATTACTAGAGAGTACCGGAGACATCGCACTGAAAGTAACTAAGAGCTGTTAAAAACTGTGTCAAGTAGCCAGGAAAGAGAAGATTAAAGAGCGGGAAAGACAATGACGATTTAACTAGCTCCATTGGATAAGAAACATCTGCAAGATAAGTGTGGGCAAAGATACGGCTAACTAGGGGGAGCAGAACCCTGCCTGTGGCTCACAAAGACCCCCCAGGGTAAAGCTGAGGAACTAATACACAAGTGGTGTGATGCAGCATCCTCTTCCTGTAGAAGCAAGCAGGGAACAGCTCCTGCGACATAATGACAGAAGAATTAGGATAACAAGAGCACAGTCTAGCGATGACAAGTATGGGCAACCAATCACAGCCCAGGAAGTAAAGGGGGGCTAAGAATAAGAGTAAAAGTACAGCACCTGGTGAAGATGGCGTCACCTACGATATACTGAATGCACTGTGTGAGGTGTCTGGGAATCCACTACTCCACCTGTTTAATAAATCATTCCTAAGTGAGGTGTTGCCCACACAATGGAAACATGCAATAATTGTTCCCATACTGAAGCCCAATGACCCCTGACAATTACATATCTATCAGTCTCGTGTCATGCCCATGCAAGATGCTTGAAAGCATCATAAATCGACTATAGCACAAAATAGGCAAGCTAGGTGAAAGTGTCAGTTGATTTGTCAATGGACGAAGCACAGCAAATTGTATAGGTAATTACTTGGCTAATAGCACAGCTAAGTACTCTATCCATTGACATCAAAGGAGCATTCGACAAAGCACAAGTGATTGCGATACTGGACGAGCTTGCATGCATGGGTGTCAAGGGGGAGACTCATGGTAGCTTGGCGTCACTGTCGGCTCTAACAAGGGGAAGAAAGAAGAGCTCAACCAACTCATAAGAACATGTAAAAGTCGTCTCAGGGCACTTTTTTTTTTTTTTGCAGGGATATTCCTGTGCGGGCCCTAAGCCTTTGGCTGGCCTCTGACTCAGGGCACTGAAATCTATGGCCTGGAATGGGCATGGAGCCTCTATTGCTATGCTTAAAATGATGCACACAGCCTATGCGCGCTCCGTCATAGCACCAGTTTTATGTACCTACTCCCAAAGTAATATTAAAAGGCTTGAAAGCATATAAAATGACGCCATAGCAATCATTCTTGGAGTTCCAAGAACTGCCAGAACATTTAATCTACGAGAGGAGTTGAATCTCCTCAGTGTTAAAAGCAGAATTAGGGAACTGAATGTTAATCTTGCAATTAAGATTGCCAGAGATCCCCCATTAACGATTTTGCCAAGAAAAAACCGAGTTCTGTGCTACTTACAGGACGAAACAGGAAAAGCAAAAAATGTTTCACCAGTCAATCTGTTACCTGGAAGAATGTCACCTGCTTGAGCAAGGCTGTGATGTTTTTGTTTTGTTTCGTTCCTTGACACCTTATGCCTCTGTTCACCTAGTAGTAAATAATAAGTAATTACCAAAAGAAGGCGCCATCGGGAACATGTTTACTAGTAAATAGATATCTAGGAAGGGAAGAGAAATTTCAGGAGAAAGTGCCAAGTCATTACGACTACATAGCACTGGGAAGGGATCAGGATATGGGACGGGACGGGACGGGGGAAAGGAATGGTGCCCAACCACTTGGACGGTCGGGGATTGAACGCCGACCTGCATGAAGCGAGACCGTCGCTCTACCGTCCGGTCCAAGTGGCTGGGCTATCTTGGAGTTAGGCGACTGTTGTGGATTGCACACTTTCTACAGGCTGTGAGCTCCTGCCTGTAGAGAGGGTACCCCTCCCTGGGAGGATGACCCATGCAGGACTGTCATCAACAAGGCGACAACAAAAAAGTCAAACATGATACAACAAGAAATGAGGCATAAGTATATTGAGTAAATTTATAAAGAAGCAGGAAACTAATTAGATCAAATCTACACCGATGGATCATCTAATCCTACCAATGGCAGAGCAGGTGCAGCATACACTGTAATTATGAATAATGCCTTTCAACGTGGAAATAAAGAAAAAGCATGTATTGAGAACTATGCCTCTTCAACGCAAGCAGAACTAACTGCCATTGTTATGGCGTTAAGATTCCTTGAAAGAAACTAATGGTGCAGCGATCTGCACTGATTCAAAAGAAACACCACAAAGCCTTAGTAAGAATCAGGCAGAAAACCTTGCGATAGTCACTGAAATAAAGAGAGCTGTGAGAGAACTAACAAATCAGGGAAGAGTCATCAAATTTCTGTGGATCCCCTCCCATGTTGGAATGTGTGGAAATGAACGAGCAGATACCGTGCCTGCTGAGGGTGCTGAAATTAATGAATACTTCATACACAAGACTGCTACAAATTAGAGGTATTATCAGGCAACATCACCGTGACAAGATAACTGAGGAAAACGAACAAACCAGTCAATCTGTATGCTGATGCAATGTGTTTGCAGCTGGCAATCCTAATTATTATGGACGAAGAGGAGGTGGCCATGGGAGAAAATCAGTAGTAGCAAGAATTTTGTCTCGGATACAAATATCCATGGAGACTTGGGATGGAAGCAATAGCTGATCATCGAAGCTGCAGAATCTGTGGTGAGAATGGCGGACACTGCCATGACCACTACTTGAGAGAATGTGAACGTCTAAGACACATTAGAAATATGAGTAGCTTAATAAACCCCACATTGTTTGAGCTAGGAACATAGATTACACCATTTTGCACCCACAAGATTACTTAAGATTTTAAGGGTTGACAAATGTTAATCTTCTTGTTTGATAAGCTGTTCACCTGAAACATTTAAGCTAGTCCCAGCTGTGTCTGTTTACAAGTGACAGGATGAACAACCCAGCGGGCTTCCTTGGTATTGGGGGTGTTGTACATGCTGCTATTGCGGTGTGTCCACTCACAGGATGGATGGCACTGCCCAATAAACTCACGCTTCAGGGCAAAATTAAAATTCCCAAAGGAATTAAGGACAGTATCTAGTAGTGAATGTGACCCCAGGAGCTGACCTCATTCCCAGCAAGTTTGTAGGGGCAATGTAACAAAGCCAAAAGAAAAGGCACACCGCTACGACCGTGAGATTGGACCTAACGTAGAAAGTTTTGTGGTCGTCAGGAAGGACGACTGTACTACTAGAGTAGAGGCGCGCCAGGAAGGGCGCCGAACCAGTGCACCAAAAGGTTGTCACTGTATATGTTGAAAAAAGTGGGTTTGAGAGAAAAACAGAGTTGTGAAAGTGGAATGGGTCAGAGCGGCGACGTGTTCCACTCTGAAGTATCTCAAGTTTAAGAAGTAGAATCAAGCAGGAGGTTCGGAGAGTGGGTTGACTAGAACGACTCGGCAGTTGCCGAGTGCGCGCACCATCAGCAAGCAGGCAGACCCAGGAGCTGCACACACACACCAGCCCGTCCTCAAACAAAGGCCAAAATACATCCATGCGTCCACCAAACCCTGTTTATGAATGAAAAAACGTTTACGCATTAATCAACTGATGACGTCCAAACACTTCCGGGAGAAGTACTTTGCTGACGACTTTTGTTCGAACCACAATGCTGTAAATGTACTACCCACATACTACAAATAAAAATAATCGCCAACGGAACGTAAACAGTGCCTAAATATGCACAGTATACTAATGTATAACAATATTAATTTATATTTGAGATAATTTCCTATTAGACTATCTCTCCAAGTGTTACTATAACACATTTATTGACCCTGGCTCAGTGTTACTATAACACTCCATGTATTACCTTGACTGAGTAGTACTCTAAATCTCCATGTGTTGCCCTGACGAAGTGTTGCTGTCACTGATGTACAATTGAACATGTGTTTTGTTGTTTGTGGTTTACAAGCAAGCAGCAACACAAAACAAACCAATGTGAAGCAGTTCTCTGTTGGCCTATGTAGAACAACTTTCAACTTTCCACTTCCGACATTACTGAAAGTAGTCATTTCCCTGAACCTGGAGGCAGTCCCGTCTTTCATCATTACTATTTTCCTTTGACTGGAGTGTTTTCATTCCTGATCCACGCGAGCTAGTTGACCACCCAGGCAGTATACTTCAAGTCTCAAGATACTTTAGGACTGATGTTAAGTCAGTAATATATACACACAGAAGTAGACATATAACTCTCGGTATTTACCTGAATTCACTGATGGCCGCCATGTGTCTAATGGTATCGATGAGGAAAGAAAACTGACAGCTAATCAGAAATCCCTTCTGCCCCCCACATTTTTCCTTGTTGTATATAAATACCTGCGCCAAGTACCAGCCCCGGTGTAAGTTGACAGGGAAGGGAACTTGTAAGGGCAGGGAACTTGGCAGGGAAGCAACAAGCTATTGTGACTATTGAACTATTAGATGGGGCTATGATATGGATTTCGATGAGGGAAAGGAATGGTGCCCAACCAATTGGACGGTCGTGGATTGAACGCCGACCTGCATGGCAAGACCGTCGCTCTACTGTCCAGCCCAAGTAGTTGGGAATCTAAACGCAGAGAGATGACGAAGCTTCGAGAAATAGCAATGTTCATGAAGCCTCTCCAAGGGTGGCCTTGACCAAGCGCTCTCTCTCGAAGACATTATCTTCCACCTCTGCTTCTCCATAAAGTTCTAACACAAAAAGACTTCAACTTATACCTGTACACCCAAGAGTGTGATGTGGACTATCTTACCGACACGGTGCAGCGAGGGTGGTCACAGTCAAACAAGACGATGGCCTTGAGCGCACGTTCCGAGAAGTCCAGCGTGGCGGCGTTGATGGCAGCGTCCAGCGGCGGCGTCCCGTTGTCCACTATCGTGTCCTCCACGTCTTCGAACGGCCCGGAAGGTGGTGATCCTCGACCGATGTACCGCAACACCACACGGTGAGCCCTGTGGTACCACACTCTTTATCATCTCTTATTTATGGTATAACTGGTACGCGGCCCTATTCACATGACGAATGCCCATCTTCCCTCCTCCCTGTTACCATCTTCCCTATGCACTATCTTCATCATTGTAACTATCTTCCCTATGCACTACCTTCATCACTGTGGCCATCTTCACTACTCACTATTTTCATCATTGTAAGTAACCAAGTAGTTATCAAAGAAGGCAGCCAGCCAGGAAGGTTATGTAGCACCATCAGTTTCCCAGGATATTCAAAAGGCGCTAAATATCACCAAGGATGCCAATACAAAAACAAAAGCGCATAAGGCAAACGATATCGTAGGCATCTGATTCACCAAGGATGCTATCGTGAGACAAATGACCGCGAGGGCCAGTCGGGAAGCAAGACACACGCACATCCTGGAAGTCAGGTTACTCAACAAGGATATGCACGACTATAAAAGGGACAATAAGGAACAGGGTGGCGCTCCATTAAGTGCCCGTGAGTTAAATGTGTATGGCCAATACGCAACTTCGCCAGAGCCGTTTCCCATCACTGGTTATGGTGGTAGGGTTAAGGCCATGGGGACACACTACTCTTAAGAGCGCACAGCTTGTTACCATTAACAGGTGACCAACGATCCTGCCAACGGGCATAGATTGAGGAATGAATAACTGGGTAGAAGTGAGAATAAGGGAACACCTTTACAGGAAATAGAACAAGTGCTGATGGCATCCTTAGCGGCAGCATCCGCATGCTCATTTAAGGACACGCCAATATACCTGGGAACCCAGCAAAACTCCACTGTCTTAAATTTACTGGAGAAAAGAAACAGACAATATTGAATTTCGACTAAGAAAGGATGCATAGGATTAAATTATTCCAGATCCATAAGGGCACTGCAAGTCAACTACAAAGACAAAGGAATGTTGACAGTGAGAAAGCAGTTGACAAAGTGCATACAAAATTGCATAAAGTTCTGCCGTGAAGATGATAGTCTCCGGTGGTAGGCGACACATATCTTGAGTTATCTTGAGGTGTGGTCAGGAAATACAACGGAGTAGCCTACACCGTCGGCAGACTTAGACCCATCAGTGAAGACAGAAATGAAGCAGGAGTGTGACGAAAAGTGAGCACGGAAAAGGCGTTTCAGTAGGAGGGGGTAGAAGCCTTTGCTATGTAAGTGGGTCAAGATTTTGCTAAACTTTGGTAGTGGGACCTTCCATGGGGGGCAAGGAAGAAACACATGAGGAGAAATAATAGTACCACGAACCTAGATCTTGCAAGTGAGACATCCATTCAGAAAAAAGAAGGTGGCAAAAGGGAAGAGCCAAAAGAGAAGTAATGGTCTAGGTACGACATATGAACTCAAAAGTTAGTTAGCTAGTTGTGGGGTTGCATCGTGGCGGGGGTCAGTAATTCAACCTTGGTGGGGGGAACCCTCGATATAAGCGTAACGTGTATAAATACACGCTGGCTGCGTGTCCCCCGACACAATTCATTATAATGGCTATTAGTATTAGCTATACAAACACAGCATTGAACAGCAATCTCAGCAAATTTGAAAACGATACACAAATAGGGCGGGAAACATTCAGAAGACGACTCATAATTGCTTAAGACGATCAATATTTTTAAAAAGTAAGAACGATTAACAAATGCTGAAAAGCAGTTGCCAGATACCAGCTGGACCAGATACCAGATTTCAAGTTATGAAATTTGAATGTGTAAAAGTTTAGGATGTGATGATCAGGAGGGATCTGAAGTCACAAAGTCCAGGCATAAAGGAAGGGAATGACGCCAATAGGACACCGGAGTTATGTCTGGAAGTGTTAGCAGCAAGACATCTATAGTGGTAGTCATCATCTTTATCTTGTGAGTGTGTGAAGAAGCAAGTATACCAGCATAGTTACCTTGTGATGGCATAACCACACACCCCAACATGGAGAAGACCAGGTTTCGGTCCTTCCTCCACCATTACCAAGTCGTGTGTGTTATCAAAACCTTATCAACCACACATGATAATGGTCCAGGACGGACCGAAACGTCGTCGTGTCTCCATCTTGTGATGTGTGGTTTGGTCATCACATCTTCAGCCACGTTATTGTGCCTCATGGTCAGCACAGTTACCTTGTGTCATCTCTGACGAGGGCGGAGACGAGGTCCTGTATGTCGTCGAAGCACTCGAAGTCTGTGATGACAACCACCTGGAGGGCGAGGTCCTCCGTGCCCAGCTCCTCCTCCACCTCAGCTCCCGCCTCAGAACACCCACCTATACAAACACTCGGTGAGTACATACACTTGAAGAAAAGTGTATTAAGCGTGAAGGGTAACTGTTACGACCTGGTTGGTGTATATTCTAATAACCAACGGCTTCAGGGCAATATACACAAGCGTGGGAACCCATGTTGTCCGCTGGGATAGTTTAGGTGGTGACGGCGCCGCCGGCGCCAAGATAATTTTTATAAATGTAAACTATTGGTCATGTTTCAGACTTCGGATGTATTAAGGTATGTTTTAGTTCATGTCTAGTAGGATGATGAAGCTATGTGATATTTTAGTTTGATTTGGCAAAGTTGTCTGTAAGCACAGGACGGTTACTGTACGACAGCTTGTTTTTTGTAAACGCTGCCGGAAGGGAAGTGAAGGGGAATTATCATGGGAAAGCGCCAAGTCATTACGACTATATAGCACTGAGAACCGGTCAGGATAAGGATATTTTTTTTGTTTTGCAGGGATATTCCTGCGCGGCCCCTAACCCTCTGGCTGGCCCACTAATTGTTGCTTGTTTCTGTTTTACTTGGGCGGAGTATGAGTATTTATGACTCGTATGGTCGCTTCAGTAAGATTTTGCCATATGTGTTTAACAACTTCTTCTGCTCTGTTGAATCCAAGTTGAAATCTTAATGGGTTTGTAACTGTGCACTGTGTTAGATAATGTTCCAGTGGTGTGTCGGGCATTTCTCCACAGTGCTGTCATTTCCTCTCATCTTCCGGAACCTGCAAGCCTATTTTCCATGCACATGGGTATCCAAGCCTGATGCGATGTAAGTGTACTTCTGTTGCTCTACTGCCTCCTTTCATCAAACTAAGTGGTTCGTAGTTGGTTGAATTCTTGTACCAACCCGCAGATCCTGATGTTGCAACTGCTGTGTTGTGGTCACTGAATCTTTTGCATTGCTCTGTTTCTAATTACTTTCAAATCTGTGATAGACTCTGTGGTATGTAAATGTCTTCATTTCTTCTCTTAGTTGCAAGTTTTGCAGCTTTGTCTGCAATGTCATTTCCTATTATTCCCACATGACTTGGCACCCAGTTGATAAGTACCCGTCGGCCATGTCGTTTGAGTGTTTGCATTAATGATATTACATTTGTGATCAGTTGTATGTTATCACATGTGTGTTCTTGTTGAAAGGCTTCAACGGTGGTTCTCGAATCTGTATGTATGATAACATGTTGTCGGGGTTTAGGATATGGGGATGGGACGTGGGGAGGATTGAGCGACAGCGAGTTAATTGGTTGTGTCTATAGGCCGGAGTGGTGCATCGTCTCCAAGCTTTACAATTACAATATCAATTAATTCCTGTTCTTCATTCGTGCCACTAGGTTCCATTATTATTTGTAGTATCATATAACATTCCCCTCAAGGGGTCACTCGAGACGACACGAGTGCCCCCTTGTGAGGATATATAGAGGGACTGTTATACGGGGGTCTAATACAGCTTTAATGGATTTCATTGTGATTTAGTAGTGTTGACCATTGTTAGTAATGGGGCAGGATTTAGTGAACTAAACCTGTGTGACCAGTTTGACTTATCTAGTGTCATTTTCTTGGACAACAACAGTGTTTGTAAACAAAGTGTGATCTATCAATGGGGGCCAGGCTTACTTTTCCAGTAAGTTACCGCGGGAGAGCCCTCCCACAAGTTACCGCGGGAGAGCCCTCCCACAAGTTTTGGGTGAACATATATGAAGGTACCACAACCAATTATACTTTAAATAGTCATATTATATAACCCCCACATATAGTCATATTATATAACAGATAGACAGCCAGCGAGAGAGCGAGCGAGCGAGCGAGCGAGAGAGAGAGAGAGAGAGAGAGAGAGAGAGAGAGAGAGAGAGAGAGAGAGAGAGAGAGAGAGAGAGAGAGAGAGAGAGAGAGAGAGAGAGAGAGAGAGAGAGAGAGAGAGAGAGAGAGAGAGAGAGAGAGAGAGAGGAGACCGACCCCCATACAGACAGACAGACAGACAGACAGACAGACAGACAGACAGACAGACAGACAGACAGACAGACAGACAGACAGACAGGGGGGTTTCACTAAGCCAGTACACCGCTAGAGATCACAAACGACATATTGTAATATAAACATAAAACACACAGTGAGTCAGTAAAGTAATGCATATTTATAGATATACAATTAATTTAGCATCAAGATTTTATTTTTTTAGTTCAGTTGATATATTATGTACCATATACCCATCCTATGAGTAGTAGAGAACCCCATACCCATCCTGTAAGTGGAAGAGGACCCCATACCCATCCTGTCAGTGGTAGAGGACCCCATACCCATCCTGTCAGTGGTAGAGGACCCCATACCCATCCTATGAGTAGTAGAGAACCCCATACCCATCCTGTCAGTGGTAGAGGACCCCATACCCATCCTGTCAGTGGAAGAGGACCCCATACCCATCCTGTCAGTGGTAGAGGACCCCATACCCATCCTGTCAGTGGAAGAGGACCCCATACCCATCCTATCAGTGGTATAGGACCCAATACCCATCCTATCAGTGGTAGAGGACCCAATACCCATCCTGTCAGTGGTAGAGAACCCCATACCCATCCTGTCAGTGGTAGAGGACCCCATACCCATCCTGTCAGTGGTAGAGGACCCCATACCCATCCTGTAAGTGGAAGAGGACCCCATACCCATCCTATCAGTGGTAGAGGACCACATACCTATCCTGTTAGTGGTAAAGGACCCCATACCCATCCTGTCAGTGGTAGAGGACCCCATACGCATCCTGTCAGTGGTAGGGACCCCCATTCCTATCCTGTACTACACATTAAGAAGTCGACACCAGCAATCAACAGCCAATTAATACCCAACTATATTCTACCCACTTCAAGACTCCGCATCAATATAGAAGCATCAAGAAATATGGGCCAGTAGGCCCTTTGCAGTTACTTCCATTCTTCCCTTTAACTTACAAAATATTATACCCATTGTTTCGTGTTCTGTATTGTGTTGAAAGTTTGATTTCAACAATCTTCGAAATCTTCGAAATCTTCGAAACCGCTTTTCCGATTGCTTTGAAATTTTGACAACGTTGTATTCGAATAAGTGCGTCTTTTTACATACCTACTATATAGGTGCCCAACCCGTTCTCACACTTGCTTAAAGTCAATATTGGCTTATTAATAAGTGCATATGTGACATACTAATTTATTGTGAATATTTGAGTATCTTGAAACGCTGAATAGAAAACACCGACCTAACCTAACCTTCTTAGTATGTTAAGATAAGCATCTTATTGCTTCTTAATTACAATTAGTACTTAACCTATACCTATATTGAATTTACAGTTATATAAAAATAATAAAACAAAACCAAAATATTTAAATAAATTGTAAAGTAACTCTGGATTTTGTCAAATATTGTATAAAATCTCTATTGTTTAACAAAACTGAGAAAGAAATTCCAAATATTAAAACTGGTCTTTAGCAAATCTATAGGAAGGGTTTGTACCTTAAAAACAAAATATAACTTGGCATATACCACATATGTACTTATTAATCAGCCAAATAGTGACTATAAGCAATAAGTCATGTGTGTACTGTCTTGTGCGAGAGCGGGTTGCAACGCCACCCCTCTGACAGGTAAAATCATGCGTTTTTGAAAAACAGCGCCATCTGTTGCACATAACATGCACATATGTTGCTATTATGTGCAACATGCGTGCTAAATGTAACAAATTCCATTTCAGTGTTTCCGATTGCATTGATAAATATAATTTTCATAGATTTCGATTTATTTTATTTTTTATTTAATTATTTTGTGTGATACCGTGTTGAAATTGAGCTGTGTCGTTTGCCATATCGTTCATTAATAAGTATAAGTATAGATGCCACACCTGTGACAAGTAAAACTATGCTTTTCTTGAAAAACAGCGCTATATATTGCATGTAAGAGCAACTCACATGCTATACTAAATATGTTAAAATTCCATTAAAATGTTTCTGATTGTATTGATAAATTGAGTTTTCATAGATTTTGATTTATTATCATTTTGATTTCATTATTTTGTGTGAATTGCGTTGGAATTGAGCTGTGTTGTTTACCATACCGTTTATTTTGTGAGTACAATTTATTTTTTATTTTTCCAAATTTTCATTTAATTTTTTAACTGTTTTTCTTATATTTCAGTGATGGGAACATTAGACCATTTGGGAAGGCATCGGACGAGGGAGTGGGAGATGACGAGGGGACGGAAGTGAGAGATGGTGGGGAGGACGAGGGGGCAAGGGAGGGGGTAATGGTGGGGAAGGACGAGGGGACGGGGGAGTTTGGGATAGTGGGGACGAGGGGATTGGGGAATGGAGAATGGTGGGGAGGACAAAAGGACAGGGGAGTGGGGCATGGTGGGGATGAAGAGATGGTGGGGAGGACTGGGGGACAGGAAAGGTTGCCGTATTATTATGTAAGGTTGTGTATTATAATCTTTATTGTGTTATATGTCGACTTAGAATAGAAGTTCTTGATCGAGTTATGTCTGAATATGAGCTTGAGATATTTGAAAGTTGAGGGTCAGTTGACTAATGGAGTTGAATACAGTGTCGCGCCTCGGCGAACTTGGCTGAAGGCGGCACTACTATTTGTTCATCTCAGGCGAGAGCATGTGTGTGGCGTTATGGTCCGGGGATTGTGACCTTATGTGTTATTTGACTGCTAGGATGTTAGTCATGTTGCTGTAATGTATTACCATGGATCATTTCTACCGTTGTGTATCATTTATACCAGGTGGAAGGTTTTATATATGTCTTAGTGAAGTGGTATTCTGAGGAACTTAAGTAATGCCAAGGTGCTGTATGTGATATTGTGTCCTCATACCTCATTTGTTACTGGTTGTGACACCACCACCACCCTGTATTGGTATTAGCAGCATATAGGCGCTAGTGTCCCACTGCGCCAGGATAGAGCCTGGTGTCAGCTAGTGCTGATTGTATGCAGTTTCCAAACCTGTTTTGTTGATCATGCCCAGTTGTTGAGAAGCAGGATGAAGTAAAAGTGTGAGAGTTAGTAGACCGTTTCTTTTTTAATAATGTGGATTATATTAATGTCCAGTAAACTGGAATATTTTTTGCTAGCCTTTCACTCCCCTAGAATATTGATGATATTTGGCCAGGCTATGTTTTCCAGTGATGCTGAAGGCTACTCCCTCCTAACATATAAATGGGGGCACTGACCGTGAGCTCATAACAATCCCATATCCATCCTGTCAGTGGTAGAGGACCCCATTACCCATACTGTAAGTGGTAGAGGACCCAAGAGGACCTGTGAGTTGTTGAAGACCCAATACCCATCCTGTGACTGTCAAAGGACCCAACACCCGTCCTGTGAGTGGTAGAGGACCCAATACCCGTCCAGTGAGTGGTAGAGGACCCCATACCCGTCCTGTGAGTGGTAGAGGACCCAATACTCATCCTGCGAGTGGTAGAAAACCCCGTAAGAATTCTGTGAGTGGCAGAGTAACCTATACCTATCTTGTGAGTGGTAGAGAGCTCCCAAACCCATCCTGCGAGTGGTAGTGGACACCCATACTCATCCTCTGAATAGTAGAGGACCCAATACCCATCCTGTGAGTTGTAGAGGACCCCATTTCATCATGTGAGTGGGAGAGAATCCCATACCCGTCCTGTGAGTGGTAGAGGACCCCATACCCATTCTGTGAGTGGTAGAGAACACCATACCCGTCCTGTGAGTGGTAGAGAACACCATACCCCTCCTGAGTCGTAGAGGATCCCATTCACATCGTGTGAGTGCTTCTGGACCCCATACCTATCATGTGAGTGGTAGAAGACCCAGCACCTATTCTGTCAGTGGAAGTGGGTCCAACCCCTATTCTGTGATTGAATAAAGGCTTCTGCAACCCATAATGGGCTCAGGAAATCCACCAAATATTGGTTCATACCAGCACTAGGAACCAGTTACATTGTTAAAACACAACTACTCTCAATTCACTTTTCTGATATCTTTAGCATAATTCCATGGTTACATAGTCACATACGGGGTTAAGGAAGAGTACATGGTTACACTTCCATGGTGCTTACTGCAGGTGTGGTTGTGGTGGAGGGCGTGGTGGGGAACTTACTGCAGGAGGTGAGGTTGTGGTGGAGGGCGTGGTAGTGGCGTCTGCAGGCGTGCAGGTAGGCGGCCTCGGCACCACACTCCCAGCCAGAGCGGCAGGTCTCCAGGTAGGGCGCGGCAGCCACGCTGACGAAACACGACCTGTCAACACAACACTTTCTGTCAATATAGTTCCTGTCATTTATGGTGTGTTTCGTAATATATTTCCTGTCATTTATGGTGTGTTTCATGAAATAGTTCCTGTCATTTATGGTGTGTTTCATGAAATAGTTCCTGTCATTTATGGTGTGTTTCATGAAATAGTTCCTGTCATTTATGGTGTGTTTCGTGATATAGTAAATAAGTAATTATCAAGAGGGGCGCCAAGCCCAGAAATCTATGTAGCACCGTGAAAAGTACGGGATATTCAAAAGGCGCTAAATATCACTGAGGATGCCAGTACGAGAACAAGTGCATAGGGCGAACAACATCAATATCATCCAATTCACCAAGGCTACTATCGAGGGACAAGTGACCGTGTAACACTGTAAAAGTGTTTGGGTTAGTTTATTTAAAATATATATAGAGTACACGAGTCACAGACAAGGATCTGAGAGGCGCCAGTTGTCTGCCTGAGATCTCACACCTCTAACCGTTAATGACCCCAAGTGACCTGAGGTCAGATCATGATAATTTCACCTTGCCTCCGCTAAGCGTATAATTGGAGCCGGGTAGCCTTCAAACATGCCGACGTTTAAGGAGTGGCTTGGTAGTGCCGGAGGCTATCTACTTGTGGGCGGAGTTAGCTACTAGGTTCCCCAATAAATACTCGGAGAACTATCGAGCATAGAGCATTAACAGACAGAGCAGCAGACGAGCCAGGAGAGCAGAGAGAAGACAGCCCTATCAGGGAGGCTGTCGGCCGGCAGGGCGGGAGTCTCTGTCAACTACAGACCCCCCCCCTCTCTATCCAGCTATAGGCAGAGACACTTGGTGAGTTGAGCATTAAGGTGACTTGGTCGTGTTTACATATGTTGTGTGATGATCAGGGGCAGTCAAGTTGTAGGGTTCTCGAATTCTTGGATGATGACTCTCTTTAACATTTGAATTGGATTGCTTATATTATGATACTTCATGTGAAATATAATTATGAATTTATTATTTAAATTGTGTTTAACTTTGTGCCCTAGAGCTTTGAGTTGAGGATTTGAGAAAGCCTCAGTGGTTACTGGGTTCATGATATAAATGAGTACATGTTTGGAGTTGATACATGGTACAGAGGGAACATACTAATAATGAACTCATGATAACATCCTTTGAGAATTTTGTGATACAGGCAAGTTCCATTCCTTGTCTTTTATGTAATGATCATGAATGGATGGTGGCAGCATTTCGTCTTCTACTATCTACTCTTCTACTTCTACTATCTACTCTTCTACTACTACCTATCTACACTTCTCCCTCCACCCCTCTCTAAACTCTCACTTTCAACTAACGACCCTCCTCGCTCCTCCCACCTCTCTACCTCTCACCCCAAACCCTCACTAATTACTTCACTTTTCATTTCTTTCCTTTCGTTTCCTCTTATACGTTTGTGGCTATGATTCAGTATTCTAGAGTTCTCTCTAGAGTTTCGGGTAGCTGATCCAGTTACGGCGCCTTGTAGTCTTAGCACCTAGGTAGTCAAATACCTAGGTTTACAAGGTGTTGAACGAGAGAGGCTGCCTTAGGAACTCTGGAGGTGCTCTAGAATAGTTAGCTAACTGAGGACGGGATAACGGACTAGAGAGAGCTGTTTCCCCTGGCCTCGTTAGTTAACTGGGGGGTGGAATAATGGACAAGATAGAGCTATTTCCCCCACCCCCCGTTACAACCGCGAGGGACAGTCGGAAAGCAAGACACACGCACGTCCTGGAAGTCAGGACAATCAACAAGGATATGCACGAATGTAAGAGGGACAATAAGGAGCAGGGCAGCACTCCATTAAGTGCTCTTGAGTTAAGCGTGTATGGCCAAAATGTAACCTTGCCTGAGGTGTTTCCCAATGCCGGTTACAGTGGTAGGAGGAAGGCCAAGGGAGGAGAGGGGGGAGAACACAACCCTTAAGAGCACGCAGCTTGTTACCAGTAACAGAAGATCAACAACGCTGCCAACGGGCAAGGATTGTGGAATGAATAAATGGGTAGAAGTGAGAATAAGGAACACCTTTATGGGAGATAGGAGAAGTGTGGATAGCCTCCTTAGCAGCAGCAGCGTCCGCACGCCGATTTAAGGAAACACCAATATGTCTGGGAACCCAGCAAAACTCAACCGTCTTAAATCTACTGGAGGTAAGAAACAGCCAAAGATGAATTTCGATGACCACAGAATGGACAGGATTAAAAGACTCCAGAGCCGTGAGGGCACTGAGTGATTCAACAACAACAACATCAAAGGAAGAATTATGATGAGAAAGCTGTTGACGAAGAGCAAACAAAATTGCATAATAAAGTTCTGCAGTGAAGATGCTATAATCTCTGGAGGCAGGCGACACATATAGGTGCAGTCAGGAAACACTGTGGAGTAACCTACACTGTCAACAGGCAGTGTAGGTTAAAGACAGACCCATGTGTGAAGACGTAGATGGAGCTGGAATTTGAAGAAATGTGAGCAAGAAAAAGGTGTTTCAGAACTGTAGGAGTGGTAAAAGCCTTAGTCACGCAGATCAAGGTTTTACAAAACTTAGGAAGTCCTTGGCTCCCCCCCTCCTCCACGAAGGCAAGGGCAGAATGAAATGAGGAGAAACATTGGCAACACGAACAGAGAGAAACCCTTTCTGGCTTGCAAGGTTAAGGCGGTGAAAGGGAACAGGGCCCACGGGAGGGGTAATGGTCAAAGTTCAACATAAGTGAGAGTGAGGGTGTTGAAGGGACCGCAAAAAGTAGCAAAGACAGTAGCGATCACGGCAATCCTGAAGAGACAGGATGCCGGTCTCAACATTCAGGCTCTGGATAGGGGTCGAGCGAAAAGCACCAGGGATAAGATGGCGCTCAGTATGGTGATGAGCATCAAGACGACGAAGGGTGGAGGGAGAGGCAGACGAGTAAGCAGGACAGCCATAATCGAGTTTAAACAGCACAAGAGAAGAGTGTGCACTTATCAGCACCCCAGGAAGTATGGGACAAGACCTTAAGTAAGTTGAATGCCTTAGAGCATTCAACTCAGAGGTAGGAGATATGGGGGTGACTAGGACAAGCAAGTGTCAAAGATTAGCACGAAACGTTTAGCAGAATCCTTATACAAAAGAGGATTACTATAAAGCGACAGAGAGGGGGTTGAAGGACGACATGCTTCCGAATAAAGGTCATAGCACAAGTCTTAGCCAGAGAGAACTTGAACACTCCAGCACACGTGAGGTATCCAGCACGGACGATAGAACTGGCGCAGAAGAAGCACGGGGGACCGAGAAAACCACCAGAGGCGAAGAGGTAGACGAGGCAGAGGTAGAGGGCGGGGGGGGGGGGGGGGGGGGGGGGGGGGGAGGGCTCACACACCACTACCCCGACAACCCCGGGAAGCAGACGGCCGTTTGCAGGAGAAGCAGGCACCACCCCTACAGCATCATACAAGCCCTCCACGGAATCAACTGGCCGCGGATGCACCTCCGCAACCACCGAACGACGGAGATCCGAAGCAGAGCCAAAAGGTCCACAGAGCTCACCGGTGGGGCAGACATACCAGGGCCAGACAAATCAGGGCCAGACGGAACGCCTGCTGAAACCGACGCAGGAACCACACCAGGCACCAGGACAGAGCGAGGCTCCGCCGAGGTAACCCCACACACAGACAAGCAGGGAAAGTCACCCTCCAGGAAAGCTGAAGGGGCCTCAGCACAAGGAGCGTCACAGCCGGCCGCCACATGGCCTTCAGTGCCACACCAGAAACAGGTCCTTGTCTGGCCCTGATAAAATATCCGCAGAGAGAGCCCACGAAACATAACCCTGGATGGAATAAGGGCCGTGACCCGTATGACGAGTGTACGAGCGCCCAGACGGATCCCTTTCAGCCGGCCCGCACTCAGTGTTGAATCAGTTCTTCACCACCACACCATACCGCGTAAATACCGACATAAGCTCCGCCTCAGGGAAAGTCACCGGCACACCGTGAACACTCACAAATTTAAAGGGCCCCCAGGGATCCAAGATCTACACAGTCACAGCCGATGCAGGAATAGTAAGCGAGTGGGCATCCCAGTGCGCCACAAACTCCCGGTAAAGCAGCGACGTGGCAAATGACACCGCCACTCAGGTAGGCGATAGCTTTTCCAGCCCCAGCAAATCAGAGACGTCCACACGGAGCACACCCAAGAGTGCAATCTCCACAATGGGCCAGTCCACAGCACCAGAAAAATCCAGTCTCACAGTGTCAGCCTGCCGGACACGGGTATCACCAGCAACAGCAATACCGCCAGCCGGCTCCCCGGCTAGTGGGCGCACCGCACCTCAAACTGCACCCGCCCCCTCGCAACACCAGGCAGCAACTGGCAGGTCAGGCGAGCACGTCTTAACCCCCTGGAAGCCAACGAGGCAATCTAGACGTAGTGATTAGTTATCAGTCCGTGAGACAGTTAACTAATCACCTGAGTTAATCGGTGTAAGTAGTACTCCAGAGGGAATTCACTTCGTTATGTTATAACTGTTGAGCCAGTGTTGGGGGTAATGTATTCGTGTATAATTAATTATTGATCTTCGAGATAGTAATTGATTGCTCAAGGCAGTTAAGGGTAATTGCCGAGCTCATAGAGCTTTGGACATTGAATTGTAGTAAACTATCGAGAGAGTGATAGTATCCGATAACGTAACTCGTGCTGGGATTAATTAGCTGTCCGTAGTACAGGAATTAAGGGGATTACTCACTGAATGTTTGACGGGTCAAGTGTCTGTGTAGTTCCGAGTTACGAGTGACAGTTGACTTGTCTGTAGGAGACAAGATTAGGTTAACGTAAGTGTTGTTGCAGACTGCTGTCAGCAGTTAATTAACGAAATTGTCACGTTAGTATTAACATAATCAATTAGTCATTGATTGTTGATCGTCCAAGAGACAAAGTGTTAACGTAAGAATTTAATAAGAAGGGTTGCTGGAGTTGCCAGTAACCCAACTAGTCATTGTTGTATCATTGAAGAAGGCTACTAGTTTGATTGCATTGCAATGGATTTGTAGGGGGGCTGCAATGAGCATAAAGTAACTGATATGAGGTTAATGGAGACTTGTAACCTAACCTACCTTGTTGTTGTTGTTGTAATTGTGATTATAAACTAAACTTATAAAATTAATATAATCGATCTTATTGCTTGATTACATCCTCTGTGAGCACTCAGTACAGTTCAAGATAGTTCATATTCCGCCCAACACAATCACAGGTAAGATCCTGCAGTTCTCGGGGCTGGTGTCTAGCTATCGCAAAGGTGTCACAGGAAAGATTCAAGTGACATCAGTGATATTTTTCTTGTTGTAGTAGTTAGTACTTGTTGAATAAACTGTCTTATTAAGTTGAATGCTATCTTTTGTTACACCCCACACTATTAATCATTTACGTATATTCTGCCATGTTGCCTGAAATTATTGCTATAAATCTGAAACTAGTTCTTGAGCCTTGGGCTGAATTCATAGCGCCATATAACAAAATATTGTTGTGAGTTCCTGTGACCTACCCGTTAGATTTGCTCCGGCGAATGACAGAGGTCAGCGGCCTAGTGATAAGGGATCTCAAACTTTTGATGTCTCGGCGTTCGTTCACGCCTCATAACTTTTCTATAGTCTCTAGAGTGGGGTCTGGACTGCTTACTACACTTAGCGTGTTAGCTAAGCAATCCTTTCCTCCGGAGGCCCATCTAGACTTTAAGTTTAAAGTTTACGGATGTACTAGAATTTACAGTTAAGAAAAATCTCAATCAACGTGACTAAGATCAAAATACTTAGTCCATATAGCAGAACCAAACAAAGCCTGAAAAGAAGGAGATTGGGAAGGAATCAAGCGCGAGTGATTGCAATGGCGACGACGCCTAGCATCCCCAGTAAGAGAGGGGGTAAAAGGGTCAAAGGCGCAGTTGTGACAAAAAGAGATTGAGCCACGCCAGATGATGAGATCGTCACCATCGGGGTCATGGGGCTCAACTCCGTCACTGAGAATGGAGGGAAGCAGAAAGAGGGAGATGGGAGAGTCCGAGAAGGAATATAGTCAGGGCCCAAAGTAGCAGGGGTTACAGAGCTCGATCTTCCAACACAGTCTAACTCTGGGGCTTGGTCGCCAACCCCACGAGTCTGGGAAGGAAAAAGAGGGTCAATAATCGGCATAATAACGAGCAGGTAAGAATTTCATTCACGAATAAGCCCCCATACTCACCATGGAGCCACAATTAGAGGATAGGACAGCCAAGAAGACAGGGGGCCCCCCGAAGGGTGTATCGTGAGTATAAGCCTCGCAGTCGCCAACTTAAGAACCGTCAGTCCGTCGAGATCGGGCTCAGCAACGAAGGCGAGGATTGACAATAACAGCGTTCCTTCGCTGGCAACATTGGGTACCATAGGGCTACAGGTGAGAGTGTGTGCCTCCTCAAACACCCGGGCGTCAAAACAGAAGAGGATCGAAAGAATAATCAAGAATGGCAAAAGGTCGGCGGGAAATGACAATTAGAAAGGAGAAGAGAGGGGAGGAAAAATGGAAGATAAGGATATGAAAATAGTTCCTAGCAAAATTAGTGAGGACAGCAGCAGGAGCATAAGGCTTCAGAAGACAGAACACTGTCCAATGGAACATCACACTCTGGCAGCCGCCTACCAGGCACCATCACGACAGCAATGGTGGGGGGGGGGGGGCGGGTTCGTGATATAGTTCCTGTCCTTTATTGTGTTTCGTGATATAATTCCTCTTATTTATGGTACGTTTTGTGATATATGTCTTCTCATTCATGGTATGTATCGTGATATAGATCCTGTCATTTGTGGTATGTTTCGTGATATAGTTCCTGTCATTTGTGGTATGTATCGTGATATAGTTCCTGTCATTTGTGGTATGTATCGTGATATAGATCCTGTCATTTGTGGTATGTTTCGTGATATAGTTCCTGTCATTTGTGGTATGTTTCGTGATATAGATCCTGTCATTTATGGTGTATTTCATGATATATTGCACTTATTTTATCTAGATCAACTTGAAGGGCATTACAATCGTCTGCTCGTCTACGTCTCTTATCTTCCCCAGTAGCTTAGCATCATCCGTAAACATGTTCATATAATTTTGTATTCCTTCTGGTAAATCGTTTATGTAGACGATAAACATTACTGGTGCACGAACTGAACTCTGTGGTACTCCGCTAGTAACACTCCCCCAGTCAGATACATTGTCTCTGATTACTGCCCTTATCTGTCTTAGAAAGTTTTTCATCCATGTCAGAAGTTTCCCTGTCACTCCTCAAGCATGTTCCAGTTTACAGAACAGCGTCTTGTGTGGGACTCTGTCAAAAGCCGTTTTTAGGTTCAGATAGACAGTCAACCCAACCATTTCTTTCGTGTAGAATCTCTGTGGCTCTATCAGAAAAACTAAGTTGATTTGTTACACAGGATCTTCCTGTTCGAAAATCATACTGTTTGTCGGATATTATGTATCACTCCCTCTATGTGTTCAACGTATTTGGTTTTAACTATTGTTTCCAGTGTTTTGACTACCACGCTTGTTAATGACACGGGACTAGAATTTCGAGGTTCCTCTTGACAGCCATTTTTATAAATTTAAATGTTTTTTTCTATATATCTGCTAAGATTCCTGAGCAGAAGGATGTCTGGAATATTAATTAGAGTGGAATGCTCAGCTCAGTTGCACATTCTCGCAGTACCCGAAGGTGAAACTCCATCTGGTCCAACCGCTTTATTTCTTGCTAACCCCTCGAGAAATTTTTCCACTTCGTCTATAGACACTTCTGTGTTCTATGATGTGCTCTGGAATTGGCATTGGGTGTGACTCTCTGAAATTCTTATTTTGTACAAAACACACTTTGAAACTGTTAATTTAGTGTTTCACACATTTCTGGTTCATTCTCAGTAAACCTGTTCCCCGTTCTCAATCTCTGGTTTTTATCCTTTACATGCAGCTTGCTTTTAATGAATTTATGGAAAAGGTCCTGGATCAGCTTTATATTTGTCTGCTATCCCTTTCTCAAAGATCCTCTTTGCCTCTCTACTCACTGCTGTGAAATTGTTTCTTGCTTGCTTGTTGTGCTGGTATGTTTGAGAATTTAGCCTCTTCTTATATTGTTCCCATTTTTTTGTCTTTTCCTCTCTGGTCCTCTCACAATTTCTGTTGAACCAATCCTGTTTACTGGTCGTGCATCTCTATTTTGGTAAGAATGTTTGTGTGCTTTCATCGTATATTTCGATGTAACTATATTTCAGGTAACTGTACCTGAACACTTGGGGGGAGGAAAGATGACTGTCCCTGAACACTGAGGGAGAGGAAGGTAACTGTACCTGAACACTGAGGGAGAGGAAGGAACTGTACCTGAACACTGAGGGAGAGGAAGGTAACTGTACCTGAACACTTGGGGGGAGGAAAGATGACTGTCCCTGAACACTGAGGGAGAGGAAGGTAACTGTACCTGAACACTGAAGGAGAGGAAGGATGACTGTACCTGAACACTGAGGGAGAGGAAGGATGACTGTACCTGAACACTGAGGGAGAGGAAGGATGACCCTGAACACTGAACACTGAGGGGGAGGAAGGATGACTGGGGAGAGAAAGATGACTGTACCTGAACACTGAAGGAGAGGAAGGTGACTGTCCCTGAACACTGAGGGAGAGGAAGGATGACTGTACCTGAACACTGAGGGAGAGGAAGGATGACTGTACCTGAACACTGAGGGAGAGGAAGGATGACTGTACCTGAACACTGAGGGAGAGGAAAGATGACTGTCCCTGAACACTGAGGGAGAGAAAGGATGACTGCACCTGAACACTGAGGGGGAGGAAGGATGACTGTGCCTGAACACTGAGGGAGAGGAAAGATGACTGTCCCTGAACACTGAGGGAGAGGAAGGATGACTGTACCTGAACACTGAGGGAGAGGAAGGATGACTGTACCTGAACACTGAGGGAGAGAAAGGATGACTGTACCTGAACACTGAGGGAGAGAAAGGATGACTGTACCTGAACACTGAGGGAGAGAAAGGATGACTGCACCTGAACACTGAGGGGGAGGAAGGATGACTGCACCTGAACACTGAGGGGGAGGAAGGATGACTGTGCCTGAACACTGAGGGAGAGGAAGGATGACTGTACCTGAACACTGAGGGGGAGGAAGGATGACTGTGCCTGAACACTGAGGGAGAGGAAGGATAACTGTACCTGAAGGAAGGATGACTGTGCCTGACCTGAACACTGAGGGAGAGGAAGGATGACTGTACCTGAACACTGAGGGAGAGGAAGGATGACTGTACCTGAACACTGAGGGAGAGGAAGGATGACTGTACCTGAACACTGAGGGAGAGGAAGGATGACTGTACCTGAACACTCAGGGAGAGGAAGGATAACTGTACCTGAAGGGTGAGGCTGGGTGGTGGAAGAGGCGGGTACAGGGGTTGCCGTGGGAGGGCGGGATGTGGGCGTCGGGCAGCTGGGAGGAGCACTGCTCGGAGGTCGACACCCGCCAGCTCTGCGCCCACTCCTCCTCCGTCGCCGCCTGCAACACAACAAGGTATTCACCAACATGTAACGCTCTCCTCTCTAACATTGTTATGTAGTCATTATAATTTTTCTTTCTATTGTCGTTGTATTTTAATTGCATGTAATCCTCTTTCGAAATAAATAAAGAGGAAATTTTTATATTATATTATATATATATATTGGTGTATACTGGCAGCAGGTTTTCTTGAAAAATGTCTCACCGAATATGACCGCATATTCTGTATTTACTATCTTCTGGTTTAGGGCTTCTATCCCTCTAACTATTATTCTTGCATCAGGGTTAAGTTGAAAGAAGAGTTCTCCAAAACTCATGTTCGTTTTTCAAGGTGAAGAAAAAAAAGTGAATTACTATAAAATGTATTACACTTATTATAGAATTGCACAACGTTTCGAACCTACATGGTTCATTCTCAAGTGATAAGAAATTACAGATCTCGTTAGAGTTATACCAGTACGGAGTCAGGTGAGAAAACAAGTAGAATAATGGAAAAGCCAAGGGGATAGAGGAAAAATAGGGAATAATAGGGGACGAAGCCCATACAAATATTAATCGGGTGTAATAGGCCTATTATTATGTTGAGCAATGTCTTCTGTGTTGGCATCATTATGTTCCGGTCTTGTCCTTACTCTCATGGTGGGTAGAGTAAATAGTTCCGTGATTTGGGTATTCATGGTAGGTTGTTCTATTCTTATGTGAATTGCTTCAAGCATTTCTAATCTTCTTGCATCTTGGGTTTTGTCTATTATACATTTGTTTTTATTCAGCATTTCTCTTGTTAGGGTGATGTCATGGGCTTGTCTCATGTGATTCCTAGGGGCACCGGATTGAAGATGGCATGTCAAACGCCTCGTCAGCTTGGTCGACGTCATACCTATGTACTTAGATTGAAGGTTACATCCTTCGTGGGGGCAAGTGCACATGTATACAACGCTTGACTGCTGTAGAGGGTTCTCCGTCGGCTTCGGGCTGTTTTTAATAAGGAGGTCGGTAGTCTTCTTTGTTTTATAAAATATGATCAGGTCTATGTTTTGGTTAGGAGTATTGCTTTTTACTCCTTTACGAATTATTTCATGCATTTTTCTTTCTTCCTTTTTGTGTTCACTGTGCATAGTTGATTTGTAATATAATTTTATTGGAGGTGTTGTGGTTTCTAGGTTCAGGATTGTACCATCGGTCCAGGTGTCTTCTTATAGCGGTGTTTATTTCCGTGTTGCTATATCCATTGTTCACCAATTCCTGAGTTATTCTTTCAAATTCTTACTCGCATTGCTCCATTCGGAGCAGTGTGTAAGCGCTCGACGAATATAAGCATTGAGAACACTGGTTTTGTATCTTTGGGGGGCACTCACTCTTACCGTTCAGGCATAATCCAATGTTGGTAGGTTTTGTATATACGTTGGTGCTTAAAGAGGTTCCTGTTTTTGTTATTAGTATATCAAAGAATGGCTGACTGTTATTTTCACTATTTTTATGTGTAAATCGGAGTACTGACTCTGTCTAGATGGCGTTTTAGATCAATTAGGTTATCTGAATCTTTTACTATGACGAATATGTCATCTACATAACGGCAGTATACAGTTGGTTTTTGTCTACTACTGAAGACTCTATCTTCGATGGTTCCCATATAAAAATTAGCGAACAACAGTCCTAAGGGGCAGCCCATTGCTACTCCGTCTATTTGTAGATACATGTCCCTGTGCGGGCTGATGAAAGGAACTACCTTTGAACATGCCTTGAGAAGGCTCTTCAAATGTGGCTCGGGTATGTCTAATTTGGGTGTGTTCTTGCCTCTGTATACTCTGTCAAAGTATCATTTTTATGATGGTGTCTACTGGGACGTTGGTAAATAGGGATTCGACGTCCAGGGAAGCAATGATTCCATCGGGCTGTGTAGTTTGATTAATTCTAGGAAATCTGCTGATGATTGTAGACTATAGTTGCTTGGAGTGTATGGAGTTAGGAGTTCATTAAGTCTTTTTGCCAGGGGATAAGTTGGAGTTGGTATTTGGCTGATTATTTTACGTAGTGGGTTACCTGGTTTGTGTGTCTTAACATTGCCATAAGCATACCCTAAGCCATAGTCGCCCTGTAGTTTAGTAAAATGAACACTACCTTTCTTTGCAGTAATAGTAATAGTTTGCAGTAATAGTTTTGTTCACTTTGCGTTTTAGGTCTCCCACAGGATTCCTCGTGATTCGTTGAAATTTAGTGTCATCATTAAGAATGTGGCAAATTTTATTCATGTATTCTTGGGTAGGAATCAATACATATCCTACTGTCTTGTCGACTTTTCTTATTGTTCATCTTCCAGCTTTTTTAGTGGTTTGCTGCTTCTTTGAGTCGTGGGGTTAAGATTGTAGATGAATATGTTCCTCGTTTTTTCCCTGCTTCTGTTAGTAGTTCAGCCTGAAGTGTGTCAGTGGTGATGACTTTTTTGTTGTCTTCTAGCTTATGGATGTCGTCCAGAAGCATTTCGATTTCCAGGCGTTTTAGATGCATCTTTAGTTTAGATATGAATTGACAATTTAGACCAAGATTAAAGAGATCTCGTTGGTCCTGGGTAAGATCATAAGAAGCCAGGTTAATGTAGCCATCTTTAGGACGAGGGATCTTTAACTGTCCACTATTTAGGGTTGTTAACTTACGGAGTGTCTTCGTTTATATATATATATATATATATATATATATATATATATATATATATATATATATATATATATATATATATATATATATATATATATATATATATATTTGGTAGCAGTCTTTCCTGTAGACATATTTATTAAATATGACCGAAAAAGTAAGATTAATAATTCTAACACGAATTTTCTCAATCTTTCGTACATTATGCTTCACTGTTGGAGGTAAATCAAAAATCACTTCTCCAAAATTCATTTTTATTTCTAGTCTGACGCGACACGGGCGCGTTTCGTAAAACTTATTACATTTTCAAAGACTTCACAAATACACAACTGATTAGAACTTGCGTTTCCCTGATTTTATATCTACACAGATATAAAATCAGGGAAACGCAAGTTCTAATCAGTTGTGTATTTGTGAAGTCTTTGAAAATGTAATAAGTTTTACGAAACGCGCCCGTGTCGCGTCAGACTAGAAATAAAAATGAATTTTGGAGAAGTGATTTTTGATTTACCTCCAACAGTGAAGCATAATGTACGAAAGATTGAGAAAATTCGTGTTAGAATTATTAATCTTACTTTTTCGGTCATATTTAATAAAATATATATATATATATATATATATATATATATATATATATATATATATATATATATATATATATATATATATATATATATATATATATATATATATATGTCGTACCTAGTAGCCAGAACTCACTTCTCAGCCTACTATGCAAGGCCTGATTTGCCTAATAAGCCTAGTTTTCATGAATTAATGTTTTTTCGACAACCTAACCTACCTAACCTAACGTTTTCGGCTACCTAACCTAACCTAACCTATAGAGATAGGTTAGGTTAGGTTAGGTAGGGTTGGTTAGGTTCGGTCATATATCTACGTTAATTTTAACTCCAATAAAAAAAAATTGACCTCATACATAATGAAATGGGTAGCTTTATCATTTCATAAGAAAAAAATTAGAGAAAATATATTAATTCAGGAAAACTTGGCTTATTAGGCAAATCGGGCCTTGCATAGTAGGCTGAGAAGTGCGTTCTGGCTACTAGGTACGACATATATATATATATATATATATATATATATATATATATATATATATATATATATATGTCGTACCTAGTAGCCAGAACTCACTTATCAGCCTACTATTCAAGGCCCGATTTGCCTATTAAGCCAAGTTTTCCTGAATTAATATATTTACTATAATTTTTTCTTATGAAATGATAAAGCAACCCTTTTTTCTATGTATGAGGTCAATTTTTTTTTATTGGAGTTAAAATTAACGTAGATATATGACCGAACCTAACCAACCGTACCTAACCTAACCTAACCTATATTTATAGGTAAGGTTAGGTTAGGTAGCCAAAAAAAGCTAGGTTAGGTTAGGTTAGGTAGGTTAGGTAGACGAAAAAACATTAATTCATGAAAACTTGGCTTATTAGGCAAATCGGGCCTTGCATAGTAGGCTGAGAAGTGAGTTCTGGCTACTAGGTACGACATATATATATATATATATATATATATATATATATATATATATGTCGTACCTAGTAGCCAGAACGCACTTCTCGGCCTACTATGAAAGACCCGATTTGCCTAATAAGCCAAGTTTTCCTGAATTAATATATTTTCTCTATTTTTTTTCTTATGAAATGATAAAACTACCCATTTCATTATGTATGAGGTCAATTTTTTTTTATTGGAGTCAAAATTAACTTAGATATATGGCCGAACCTAACCAACCCTACCTTACCTAACCTAACCTATCTTTATAGGTTAGGTTAGGTTAGGTAGCCAAAAAAGTTAGGTTAGGTTAGGTTAGGTAGGTTAGGTAGTCGAAAAACTATTAATTCATGAAAACTCGGCTTATTAGGCAAATTGGGCCTTGCATAGTAGGCTGAGAAGTGCGTTCTGGCTACTAGGTACGACATATATATATATACTGTATATATATATATATATATATTTGTCGTACCTAGTAGCCAGAATGCACTTATCGGCCTAGTATGCATGGCCCGACTTGCCTAATAGGCCGATTGATTTTCTATATTTTCAATAAATTGTTTCCAATTAGTGTATTTGAATCATTAATATTATATTATATTAGGAACATAAATTACTGACAGTTATGTTAGTTTAGGTCAGGTTAAGATAGGTTAGGTTAGGTTAGGTAGGGTTGGTTAGGTTCGGTCATATATCTACGTTAGTTTTAACTCAAATAAAGAACAATTTACTCACACATAATAAATAATTAGCTTTATAATTTCATAAGAAAAAAATTGAAAAAATATATAATTGAGGAAAACTTGGCTTATTTGGCAAATCGCGCCTTGCATAGTAGGCCAAGTACAGCGTTCTGGCTACTAGGTACAATATATATATATATATATATATATATATATATATATATATATATATATATATATATATATATATATATATATATGCAACAATGATCACAAAAACACTGATCCAAGTATGCAGAATAACCACATATGAAAAATAGAAAATTCTTGGTTAACAACTTGGACTTGGTTAACAAGTTGTCTAGTTTGAAATTAAATTATGATTTTAAACTTGTGAGTTTTGATGTGACGGCTCTGTTCACTAGGGTTCCTGTTGATGATCTGTTGTCATTCTTACGGGATCTACTCCCAAGGTATAATTTAACTTTGCCTACTAACACCATTATTGAACTTATAAAATTGTGCATTAAAGATAATTATTTCAGCTTTAATGATTCATTTTATAAACAAACATTTGGCATGGCGATGGGTAATCCCCTCTCCCCTGTTTTGAGCAATCTGTACATGGAATGTTTCGAAATAAATATCCTTCCCAGGATTTTACCCTCAAATTTGCTTTGGTACAGGTATGTTGACGATATTTTGTGCCTGTGGCTGGTTAATCGTGACGAAACTGATTTTCTCAATCAAATCAATTCGCTGGTTCCGTCAATTAAATTCACAATTGAGAACGAAGTGAATGGTGTTCTGCCTTTTTTAGACATCATGATTCATAGAATTGGTAGAAGTTTCAAATTCAATGTGTATAGGAAACCTACCAATGTGTGCTCGTATGTACATTTCTATTCAAATCATCATGTTCAGGTCAAGCGGGCAGTTTTTTCTGGTATGTTTCTCAGAGCACTGAGAGTTTGTAGTCCGGAATTTTTCGATGAAGAAATAGCAAATATATTTGAAATTGGGAAGAAGTTAAAATACCCAAAATCGATCTTGGATCTTGCGTTTGGTCAAGCAAAAAGGACTTTCTACAAACAGACTACTAAGTCGAAACCAGAACTGAAAAATTCGTTGGTATTACCATATTCTGAGGGTCTAGTAAATCTTGCCCCAGCCCTGAAGAACCTTAATATTAATCTAGTGTTCAAAAATGATAATACAGTTAAGTCCATGTTAATTAAGAACTCGCCCTCGTCTGTAGCAGGTTGTGTGTATTCCATCCCTTGTAATGAGGTTGCATGTGTTTACATCGGCCAGACTGGTAAATCTCTTTCCTCGCGTTTAAAACAGCATTCATATGCTATTCGTACAGCCCAGCAATCCAGTGCATTGCATTTACATTCCAGTTTATGTAATCATTCTATCGACTTCACAGGGGCAAAATGTATTGTTAAAAGTAAGGATTTTGTTGAACGAAACGTGATCGAGTCTGCTCTGATCAAACATTGTAACAACAGCCTTAATGTGAGCCCCGGTATGTACAAGTTGGATCCCTATTTAAGCCTCAATATAGCACGTCAAAACAATATAGCAATCATTTAAACACGTATGGCACTTGGAGATATTAAATGGAGCTGCCTTGTATGGGCCAATAGGCCTTCTGCAGTTACCTTCTTTCTTATAATTCCTTTCCTCCACTTATTTTTGGTGGTCAGGTGATCTGCCCAGGCGGATATAAAGGTCTGATCAGCAAACTTATCTTCATTCTACTTTGCTCTGATGAAGGCGAATTAGCCGAAAACGCGTTAAGCATTTTCTATTTTTCATATGTGGTTATTCTGCATATATATATATATATATATATATATATATATATATATATATATATATATATATATATATATATATATATATATATATATATATATATATATATATGCGAACAAGCCTGAACGATCTCCAGGTATATATGCAACTGAAAACTCACACCCCAGAAGTGACTCGAACCCATACTGCCAAAAGCACTCTACAACTGATGTACAGGATCAATTAACCACTCGACCATCACGACCGGACAAGAGGATGGTAGCCGAGGCTAATTCCCCATCCTCCCGCCGGCACTCTGATGGTAATCTTGGGCATGGTATTTTATCAAATCACCTCATTCTTTGGGACACACGTGAGGAACACAAATGCGAACAAGCCTGAACGATCTCCAGGCATATATGTAACTGAAAACTCACACCCCAGAAGTGACTCACAGCAACACAAATTGCTGTACCAGCGTTCCTGTCCTCTTCAGTGGCGTCTGAGAACTTGGTGAAGGAAATCCTACCTGAGCACCTAGTTCAACAGGCAGCGGTACATGATCCCAGCTTCACAGACTGCACCACCAAATGGGTCTCTCTTGCAGGACCAGCACCCCAACCAAAGCCTTCTGAAGCCTGTAAGCAATCCAGCTGGGAACGCCCCATTGCGGACCAAGAAGCTGCGACTTTGCTAGAAGGTGCGACAACACCACTTGACACTGCCCGACTTATAGCTGTAGCAGCTCCCCATGCAGGGGACTTCCTATTAGCAACCCCAATATCAGCAACCGGCACCCGTTTCACACCGCAGGCCCTCCGAATTGCCGTGGCTCTCCGCCTCGCTGCCCTATTCCACACCGAATACAGGTGTATTTGCAGCGAGGCAGTGGCCGACAGGAATGGACGGCATGGCCTTCTCTGCCAAAGGACAGGAGGATGGCATGCAAGACACGGCGAGGTTAACGACATTATTAAGAGAAGCCTTACCACAGCCGGTTGTCCAGCAGAGAGAGAGCCCCGTTACCTAATGTCCCGCAACTCTGATGAGCCTGTCGGTCGCCCAGACGGAATCACGGTGAACCCCTGGAAGAATGGTACACAGTTGGTGTGGGGCTACACTTGCGTTTCAACTTTAGCCAATACTTATGTTGACTTCAGTGCTACATAAGCAGGAGTTATGCCAATCACCGGGAAGCAGCCAAGTCACGTAAATACAGAGACCTTGAGCACCACTACAATTTTGTCCCCATTGCCTCAGAGATACTTGGTGTCTGGGGTACCAAGTATATATATATACATATATATATATATATTATATATATATATATATATATATATATATATATATATATATATATATATATATATATATATATATATATATATATATATATATATATATATATATATATATATATATATATATATATATATATATATATATATATATATATATATATATATATATATATATATATATTACATATATATTATATATATATATATATATATATATATATATATATATATATATATATATATATATATATATATATATATATATTACATATATATTAGCATATTTTGGAAGCAATTTTTCTTGTAAACATATGTTGTTGAATATGACCGAAAGGGTAAGATCAATGATTCTAATACGAATCTCCTAAATATTTCTCATGTGTTTCTTCACTGTCGATGGAAGTTGAAAAATTAACTCTCCAAAATTAATTTTCACACTTTTTATTTTGGTCTGACGCCTAGGGATGCGTTAAGACCGCTAATCTCCTTATAAAGAACACTCCAGACACCAACCAGAACGCCTGAAGACAGACCAACGTCGTCTACGCCTTCACATGCCCATTTGGGGACTGTTAGACCCAAAAATCTCAGTATATTAAACATACTTGAGTGATGAACATAAATTATATTAAACTAAAGACTCAAACGGCATGTAATGAAACAATCAATGAAACAATCGTCATATGATAAAACAATCACCAAGTTTAACAGACGCATCATGCCAGTCACTGGAAAGCGAGTGTTAGAGATGTATAACTTCTTACTTGTAACTTGTAAGAGCAGTAGACAATCAGTTGTGTCATCAGTATCCCAGTACTACTAGTATCAAAGACTGTCAGGTAATATGTATACGGTACATGTACAGTGTACTGTGATAATGGTAATATTGATGTTTTTTCTAAATATTGCTGAGAAAATCCAGTGGGGTTCTTAGGTGACTGTAACCACTGATGTGTATCAGGTTAGTGTGAGTTGTGTGTGTATTGTAAATATGATCTACTGACCATCTCCCAGCCACTAGTCATGAAGTCGGTGTTGTTGTCGAAGTCGAAGACGCCGAGGAGGCCGGCAGTGGCAGCGAAGTGCTCGCCGGTGACAGTGAGGCGACACAGGTCCTGCTCTCTCTCACACTCGAGGCCCAGGCCGGCGGTGGTCACCACGCTCGCCCACTTCCCGTTCCATCTCATCCTCAGCTCTCCTGCCTCCAGAAGCGGCCGTCGGATGTGCTTAGAGTTGTAGGTCATCTGTGGACACACATTCTGGTATGTTACGAGTGAAATTAGATAGTGGCAAAGATAGGAAAGCTCTTATAAAAAAAATATTTCTTCAGATCTGATACCTATATTTATGGGCAGCACAAAACGTCCACCAGACTGTCAGACGCAGTGGTTGCCAGGATCAGGTTGGGTTACAGTTACCTGTGGCAGGTGGCTACAGGTGACGGATTTCCCAATCCTGAGCATTCCAGGTGCAAACTCTGTGAGCAAAAACTGGGTGATGACCTCACACTACATTAATGAATATCCAGTCATTAGAGTCGACCCTTCAGACCTGCCGGTACAAGGTTCCTGGAGCTTTGAAAAATACTTTGTTCCCTCTCATGTTCATGAGGATATTCTCATAATGCATCAAAAGTTCCCCAGTGTAGGCTACTGATCACATGCATGTTTCTGTATGACTAACCATCCTGCGAGATGGGGATTTATTTTTGGTTTAGTGTCTCATAGCTTGACACGAACTATATAACTCATTATATAGTCTAGGGTAGATGCATAAATGTTGATTTACTATATCTATGTCTGTTAATAAACATAATGCTAATTTGCTCAAGGCTTAAGGCCAGACTGCTGGACACAGACGCACAATACCCATTCCCAAGAAAAATTAACTAAAAAAAAAAAAAGTTGGGAGAAGTGACTACAGTGGATTCCCTGGATGTGAAGATGATGACTGGTTGCTTAAAAAGGAGATCAGCCAATGGACTAGTGACCTGAGGTCACGTGATGGGAGGGCCCCTGAGTGGTGTTTGCCAGGCAAGCGTGAAGGCAGTGCAGTCTCTGACGTCATGGGAGGAGGTTCCGAGAATTTGACGAAATTCGGGTGTGCGCCGTGACTGACAAGAGCAAAACGGCGGTGCATACATGGAGCGGCTCCGTACGTCTTCACGGAGAAGATTAATAAGCAGTTCCTTGCTCTTGCAAGTTGGTGCTACATAGTCTTCCCGGCTTGGTGCCTTCTCTGATAATTAATTACTTTTGCAAGTTGGAGTGGAAGTGACGAGACCATGTGGGTCAGGACACATCTGTGCAGGAAGGTGAGAGTGAGTGGCCTCTTCGCAGCTTGAAACTCCAGTAACCATACGGTGTTCCCTAACCAGTCCTGATCAGTGAAGATCTGCGAGTGACAAGATGAACAGTGAATTACAAGTCACCATCCTGCTGCCTTGTGGTGATTCTGTGACGATAACTAGGGTGTATAGTGCATTGTATGCCTACTATGTAGATAGAATGAGTGACAGTGAGGCAGTGACAAGCCTTAAGGTGTGGCAGGTAACCAACTAGTGACAGTGCAGCGTGATAGTGAGAAGCCAAGTGGGCTCATATGGGGGACGTTGCAAGCCGTGAATGTCCAGTAATTCGTTCGCAGTGTAAGGGGCAGTGGCTGAATATTACCCTGTGTAAGGGGTATTAATACCCCAGTGTTAGGGGCAATACCCTGAATAAATATTAAGGGGTGTAAGAGGCCACAATTGTCCCCCGTCCCACTTGTAGCAATTTCACTGAAGCTTTCAGTGTAAGAAACAATTCGCCTTTACCCTTATTGGTAAGGAGAGCCGGAACTGTGTACAGTTTGTTCCCTCAATTACTGTGTGGCCAGTAGCAGCAGCGTGCGGACCAGAGTGCGAGGGGCCAAGCTAAAACAATTCCTTGCAAGACACCAGCAACGGAGGAACATCTAGAGAGAAGCGTGCACACGACGGAGTAGTCAACGCTGGATAGTTGTGAAGGAAGCGAGCTACGGACACGGATCTCCAGTTGTAAAACCAGGTTGTTCCCCTTCCCTCCTCCCCCTTCCCTTGTAACAGGTTGTTATAGGAACAGGTGGGAATTTGTTCTACTTATGTCCATATATGTGCCTCAAGTAGCATTTTAAGGTGATTTTCAGGGTTACGATATTTCTGTGTCGGGGCTACGATTTATGGGAATAAGTTTTGAGAAATTAAATTAACAAAGCACCAGCCTAGTCTCTGGAAGAAGTCCACTGAGAATGAGATTTAAGTTAAACTAAAAGGTTTTCATACAATTAATAGTTGCCTAAGCTTCGAGTTAGTTTTGATTTACTAGCTACCAGAGCACTACATCTAGCTACCAGTGCACTACATCTGGCTACCAGTGCACTACATCTGGCTACCAGTGCACTACATCTAGCTACCAGTGCACTACATCTGGCTACCAGTGCACTACATCTGGCTACCAGTGCACTACATCTGGCTACCAGTGCACTACATCTGGCTACCAGTGCACTACATCTGGCTACCAGTGCACTACATCTGGCTACCAGTGCAATACATCTGGCTACCAGTGCACTACATCTGGCTACCAGTGCACTACATCTGGCTACCAGTGCACTACATCTAGCTACTAGTGCACTACAACTAGCTACCAGTGCACTACATATAGCTACTAGTGCACTACATCTAGCTACCAGTGCACTACATCTAGCTACCAGTGCACTACATCTAGCTACCAGTGCACTACATCTAGCTACCAGTGCACTACAACTAGCTACCAGTGCACTACATCTAGCTACCAGTGCACTACATCTAGCTACCAGTGCACTACAACTAGCTACCAGTGCACTACATCTAGCTACCAGTGCACTACATATAGCTACCAGTGCACTACATCTGGCTACCAGTGCACTACATCTGGCTACCAGTGCACTACATCTGGCTACCAGTGCACTACATCTGGCTACCAGTGCACTACATCTGGCTACCAGTGCACTACATCTAGCTACTAGTGCACTACAACTAGCTACCAGTGCACTACATATAGCTACTAGTGCACTACATCTAGCTACCAGTGCACTACAACTAGCTACCAGTGCACTACATATAGCTACTAGTGCACTACATCTGGCTACCAGTGCACTACAACTAGCTACCAGTGCACTACAACTAGCTACCAGTGCACTACATCTAGCTACCAGTGCACTACATATAGCTACTAGTGCACTACATCTAGCTACCAGTGCACTACAACTAGCTACCAGTGCACTACAACTAGCTACCAGTGCACTACATCTAGCTACCAGTGCACTACAACTAGCTACCAGTGCACTACAACTAGCTACCAGTGCACTACATCTAGCTACCAGTGCACTACATCTGGCTACCAGTGCACTACATCTGGCTACCAGTGCACTACATCTGGCTACCAGTGCACTACATCTGGCTACCAGTGCAATACATCTGGCTACCAGTGCACTACATCTAGCTACCAGTGCACTACATCTAGCTACCAGTGCACTACATCTAGCTACCAGTGCACTACATCTAGCTACCAGTGCACTACATCTAGCTACTAGTGCACTACATCTAGCTACTAGTGCACTACATCTAGCTACCAGTGCACTACATCTAGCTACCAGTGCACTACATCTAGCTACCAGTGCACTACAACTAGCTACCAGTGCACTACAACTAGCTACCAGTGCACTACATCTAGCTACCAGTGCACTACATCTAGCTACCAGTGCACTACATCTAGCTACCAGTGCACTACATCTAGCTACCAGTGCACTACATCTAGCTACCAGTGCACTATAACTAGCTACCAGTGCACTACGTCTAGCTACCAGTGCACTATAACTAGCTACCAGTGCACTACATCTAGCTACCAGTGCACTACAACTAGCTACCAGTGCACTACAACTAGCTACCAGTGCACTACATCTAGCTACCAGTGCACTACAACTAGCTACCAGTGCACTACAACTAGCTACCAGTGCACTACATCTAGCTACTAGTGCACTACGTCTAGCTACCAGTGCACTACAACTAGCTACCAGTGCACTACAACTAGCTACCAGTGCACTACATCTAGCTACTAGTGCACTACGTCTAGCTACCAGTGCACTACAACTAGCTACCAGTGCACTACAACTAGCTACCAGTGCACTACATCTAGCTACCAGTGCACTATAACTAGCTACCAGTGCACTACAACTAGCTACCAGTGCACTATAACTAGCTACCAGTGCACTACATCTAGCTACCAGTGCACTATAACTAGCTACCAGTGCACTACAACTAGCTACCAGTGCACTACATCTAGCTACCAGTGCACTACAACTAGCTACCAGTGCACTACAACTAGCTACCAGTGCACTACATCTAGCTACCAGTGCACTACAACTAGCTACCAGTGCACTACAACTAGCTACCAGTGCACTACAACTAGCTACCAGTGCACTACAACTAGCTACCAGTGCACTACATCTAGCTACCAGTGCACTACAACTAGCTACCAGTGCACTACAACTAGCTACCAGTGCACTACAACTAGCTACCAGTGCACTACAACTAGCTACCAGTGCACTACATCTAGCTACCAGTGCACTACATTTAGCTACCAGTGCACTACATTTAGCTACCAGTGCACTATAACTAGCTACCAGTGCACTACAACTAGCTACCAGTGCACTACAACTAGCTACCAGTGCACTACAACTAGCTACCAGTGCACTATAACTAGCTACCAGTGCACTACATCTAGCTACCAGTGCACTATAACTAGCTACCAGTGCACTACATCTGCTTGATACCTGGTTGATGGGGTTCTGGGAGTTGTTCTACTCCCCAAGCCCGGCCCGAGGCCAGGCTTGACTTGTGAGAGTTTGGTCCACCAGGCTGTTGCTTGGAGTGGCCCGCAGGCCCACATACCCACCACAGCCCGGTTGGTCCGGCACTCCTTGGAGGAAACAATCTTTTTTCCTCTTGAAGATGTCCACGGTTGTTCCGGCAATATTTCTGATGCTCGCTAGGAGGACGTTCAACAACTGTGAACCTCTGATGTTCATACAGTGTTCTCTGATTGTGCCCATGGCACCTCTGCTCCTCACTGGTACCAGTGCACTACATCTAGCTAACAGTTGTGTGTGTGTATATATATATATATATATATATATATATATATATATATATATATATATATATATATATATATATATATATATATATATATATATATATATATATATATATATATGTCGTACCTAATAGCCAGAACGCACTTCTCAGCCTACTATGCAAGGCCCGATTTGCCTAATAAGCCAAGTTTTCATGAATTAATTGTTTTTCGACTACCTAACCTACCTAACCTAACCTAACCTAACTTTTTCGGCTACCTAACCAAACCTAACCTATAAAGATAGGTTAGGTTAGGTTAGGTAGGGTTGGTTAGGTTCGGTCATATATCTACGTTAATTTTAACTCCAATAAAAAAAAATGACCTCATACATAATGAAATGGGTTGCTTTATCATTTCATAAGAAAAAAATTAGAAAAAATATATTAATTCAGGAAAACTTGGCTTATTAGGCAAATCGGGCCTTGAATAGTAGGCCAAAAAGTGAGTTCTGGCTACTAGGTACGACATATATATATATATATATGAGCTTGCATGATTCCCAAGCTATAAATCCCTAAGAACCATCACCCATCAGGGTGTGTCAGTCGTGGTGGTCATGCAAAATCTCCACGACTGACAGCTCCCCGACGACTGTCGCTGTGCTCCTACAGCACATGAGCTCCACGACTGACAGCTCCCCGACGACTGTCGCTGTGCTCCTACAGTACATGAGCTCCACGACTGACAGCTCCCCGACGACTGTCGCTGTGCTCCTACAGTACATGAGCTCCACGACTGACAGCTCCCCGACGACTGTCGCTGTGCTCCTACAGTACATGAGCTCCACGACTGACAGCTCCCCGACGACTGTCGCTGTGCTCCTACAGTACATGAGCTCCACGACTGACAGCTCCCCGACGACTGTCGCTGTGCTCCTACAGTACATGAGCTCCACGACTGACAAATCCTTATAGGCGATCGCTGCTGAAGTGGTTACAGTACAGTGTACGCAGTGGGGGGGGGGTGAGCTCTGGCTCTGCTGGTTCGAGTCCTGGTTGGGTCATTGAGTTCTGAATATTGCGTTGAAGATAACATTATGTGGGAAGGAAAGGGGAGAAATCAGGAGAAAGCGCCAAGCCATTATGACTATATAGCACTTGGAATGGGTCAGGATAAGGATTTGGGATGGGGCGAGGGGGAGGGGGATGGAATGAGGCCAAACCACTTGGACGGTCGGGGATTGAACGCCGACCTGCATGAAGCGGACCGTTGCTCTACCGTCCAGCCCAAGTGGTTGGGAAACATTGTGTGTGAGCTGATATGATTAATATGCAGCAGCGGTGGGATGAGGAAGACAAGAGCAGAACTTCCAAACCTTGAGATCAGAGTCGAGGGTGACGACGTCGGAGCCGCTGAAGAGGGTGAGAACCTGGCGAGGGCTGGTGCTGAGGTCCTCCAGGTGGATGGTGAGGGCCGTGGGCGTGTGGGCGTGCGTCAGCAACACCAGCATGTGATGGCAGGAGTCGGTGAGGAGAGGAGTGACCTGGCGGCCGTCCCAGGTGATGGCTTGGTCCCACCCGAACACCACGGCCTCTCCTGCAACACACACACACATCCGACCCATCACACCGCGCGCCAGTAGTAAACATCTCAGCCACAGGTGCAATATTTCCAACAATGTTGGACAGATATAATATTTAACAACACCTGTAACAGCTTCAAATTCACATATTAAATTAAATACAACAATTATTAGCGTCACTCTGACGTAACTGACGAAGAAAGTGATATGACGTCAAGAAACTGTTTTACTTAAGTAGCCTATTCTAACCTACCAGGGGCCAGACGAACAGAAAACGGAACAGTTTGTCAATTTCCCGATTCGTTACCATTTTCTTGTTGGACAATTTTTGGCCTTCGGTAAGATTATGTCAAAATGCGACGTTCTATTAGGAGGACGCGTTGGAGAGACGGCGCGCTTCCCTGCCACTAGTAACCCAAGCTTGGAACAAGCAGCGTAGTCACCACTACCCTGACACCCGGTGTTGTGGTCTACCCCAGTGGCAGGAGTACCCTGACACCCGGTGTTGTGGTCTACCCCAGTGGCAGGAGTACCCTGACACCCGGTGTTGTGGTCTACCCCAGTGGCAGGAGTACCCTGACACCCGGTGTTGTGGTCTACCCCAGTGGCAGGAGTACCCTGACACCCGGTGTTGTGGTCTACCCCAGTGGCAGGAGTACCCTGACACCCGGTGTTGTGGTCTACCCCAGTGGCAGGAGTACCCTGACACCCGGTGTTGTGGTCTACCCCAGTGGCAGGAGTACCCTGACACCCGGTGTTGTGGTCTACCCCAGTGGCAGGAGTACCCTGACACCCGGTGTTGTGGTCTACCCCAGTGGCAGGAGTACCCTGACACCCGGTGTTGTGGTCTACCCCAGTGGCAGGAGTACCCTGACACCCGGTGTTGTGGTCTACCCCAGTGGCAGGAGTACCCTGACACCCGGTGTTGTGGTCTACCCCAGTAGCAGGAGTACCCTGACACCCGGTGTTGTGGTCTACCCCAGTAGCAGGAGTACCCTGACACCTGGTGTTGTGGTCTACCCCAGTGGCAGGAGTACCCTGACACCCGGTGTGGTCTACCACAGTGGCAGCAGTACCCTGACACCCGGTGTGGTGGGGATAACACAGGTTGTGGTAGGAAGAGAGAGAGATCTTACCGTAGACGTGCCAGGAGGCCAGGTACCGTACACGGGCCCACCACGACGCCAGCCACAGCTCGGCCTGAGAGAGGAGCCGGGGGCCCGCTCCCTCCAGCACCCAGCGCCACACTGACGCCAGGTCCCCCCTCAGGCGTCGGGGCGTCGCCACCTGTCACCCGGTACACGTCATGATGGATGACATTAGTGGTGGATGACATTAGTGGTGGATGACATTAGTGGTGGATGACATTAATGGTGGATGACATTAGTGGTGGATGACATTAGTGGTGGATGACATTAATGGTGGATGACATTAGTGGTGGATGACATTAATGGTGGATGACATTAGTGGTGGATGACATTAGTGGTGGATGACATTAGTGGTGGATGACATTAGTGGTGGATGACATTAGTGGTGGATGACATTAGTGATGGATGACATTAGTGGTGGATGACAATAGTGGTGGATGACATTAGTGGTGGATGACATTAGTGGTGGATGACATTAGTGATGGATGACATTAGTGGTGGATGACATTAATGGTGGATGACATTAGTGGTGGATGACATTAGTGGTGGATGACATTAGTGGTGGATGACATTAGTGGTGGATGACATTAGTGGTGGATGACAATAGTGGTGGATGACATTAGTGGTGGATGACATTAGTGGTGGATGACATTAGTGGTGGATGACATTAGTGGTGGATGACATTAGTGGTGGATGACATTAGTGGTGGATGACATTAGTGGTGGATGACATTAGTGGTGGATGACATTAGTGATGGATGACATGAGTGATGGATGACATGAGTGATGGATGACATGTGTATGATGGATGACATGAGTGATGGATGACATGAGTGATGGATGACATGAGTGATGGATGACATGAGTGATGGATGACATGAGTGATGGATGACATGAGTGATGGATGACATGAGTGATGGAAGACAATAGTGATGGATGACATGAGTGATGGATGACATGAGTGATGGATGACATGAGTGATGGATGACATGAGTGATGGAAGACAATAGTGATGGATGACATGAGTGATGGATGACAATAGTGATGGATGACAATAGTGATGGATGACATGAGTGATAGAAGACAATAGTGATGGATGACATGACTGATGGATGACATGAGTGATGGATGACATGAGTGATGGATGACATGAGTGATGGATGACATGAGTGATGGATGACATGAGTGATGGATGACATGAGTGATGGATGACATGAGTGATGGATGACATGAGTGATGGATGACATGAGTGATGGATGACATGAATGATGGATGACATGAGTGATGAATGACATGAGTGATGGATGACATAAGTGATGGATGACATGAGTGATGAATTACATGAGTGATGGATGACATGAGTGATGGATGACATGAGTGATGGATGACATCTGATATTCACGATGGCTATACACAAATAAAATGAATGTTAATAAACAGATTTATAGAGCAAATAATTATAATTCGGTTAAAAAATGTTAATCCCTAAAAGATTGTGTTGACGATTAAAGGAAACTATTGTTATTGTTAATGTTATTAAGGTTGTTATTGTTATCTTTAAATAGTTAAGCAGTGCGTGATAACGAGGGATAGTTCCCTTGCCAAAGGAATGAATGGGAGAAGCCTGGAGTATCTCTCCAGGTCGATAACAAGTGATGACCTTTGAGATTAGGAAGTACTGACCCTGATCTTGAGCGCGGTGCTGTGTGGCATAGCGACGCTGAAGGTGGTGACCTGACGCAGGTGCTGAAGGAGTTGGCTGCCCTTAGCCCTCAGGTGCTCCCAGCGGGCCGCCTGCACCAGCACCTGTCATCACAACCTCGTGTTAATGGCCTCCCACGATCACTCTCTGCTGGTGTGTTAATAACATCTCATGTGCTGTCACGGGCTCCTGTTTTTTTGGTCCTTGAACCTAGGCTTCGTCTCAGGGGCAGTGTCCCGTGGTCGTACTCCCAGGGGCAGTGTCCCGTGGTCGTACTCCCAGAGGCAGTGTCCCGTGGTCGTACTCTCAGGGGCAGTGTCCCGTGGTCGTACGCCCAGGGGCAGTGTCCCGTGGTCGTACTCCCAGGGGTAGTGTCCCGTGGTCGTACTCCCAGGGGCAGTGTCCCGTGGTCGTACTCCCAGGGGCAGTGTCCCGTGGTCGTACTCCCAGGGGCAGTGTCCCGTGGTCGTACTCTCAGGGGCAGTGTCCCGTGGTCGTACGCCCAGGGGCAGTGTCCCGTGGTCGTACTCCCAGGGGTAGTGTCCCGTGGTCGTACTCCCAGGGGCAGTGTCCCGTGGTCGTACTCCCAGGGGTAGTGTCATGTGGTCGTACTCCCAGGGGTAGTGTCCCGTGGTCGTACTCCCAGGGGTAGTGTCCCGTGGTCGTACTCCCAGGGGTAGTGTCCCGTGGTCGTACTCCCAGGGGCAGTGTCCCGTGGTCGTACTCCCAGGGGTAGTGTCCCGTGGTCGTACTCCCAGGGGTAGTGTCACGTGGTCGTACTCCCAGGGGTAGTGTCCCGTGGTCGTACTCCCAGGGGTAGTGTCACGTGGTCGTACTCCCAGGGGCACTGTCCCGTGGTCGTACTCCCAGGGGTAGTGTCCCGTGATCGTACTACCAGGGGTGGTGTTACGTGATCGTACTCCCAGAGGTGGTGTTACGTGGTCGTACTCCCAGGGGTAGTGTCCCATGGTCGTACTCCCAGGGGTAGTGTCACGTGGTCGTACTCCCAGGGGTAGTGTCACGTGGTCGTACTCCCAGGGGCAGTGTCACGTGGTCGTACTCCCAGGGGCAGTGTCACGTGGTCGTACTCCCAGGGGCAGTGTCCCGTGGTCGTACTCCCAGGGGTAGTGTCATGTGGTCGTACTCCCAGGGGTAGTGTCATGTGGTCGTACTCCCAGGGGTAGTGTCATGTGGTCCTACTCCCAGGGGTAGTGTCACGTGGTCCTACTCCCAGGGGTAGTGTCACGTGGTCCTACTCCCAGGGGTAGTGTCCCGTGGTCGTACTCCCAGGGGTAGTGTCCCGTGGTCGTTCTCCCAGGGGTAGTGTCACGTGGTCGTACTCCCAGGGGTAGTGTCCCGTGGTCGTACTCCCAGGGGTAGTGTCCCGTGGTCGTACTCCCAGGGGTAGTGTCCCGTGGTCCTACTCCCAGGGGTAGTGTCACGTGGTCCTACTCCCAGGGGTAGTGTCCCGTGGTCCTACTCCCAGGGGTAGTGTCCCGTGGTCCTACTCCCAGGGGTAGTGTCCCGTGGTCCTACTCCCAGGGGTAGTGTCCCGTGGTCCTACTCCCAGGGGTAGTGTCCCGTGGTCCTACTCCCAGGGGTAGTGTCCCGTGGTCGTACTCCCAGGGGTAGTGTCCCGTGGTCGTACTCCCAGGGGTAGTGTCCCGTGGTCGTACTCCCAGGGGTAGTGTCCCGTGGTCGTACTCCCAGGGGTAGTGTCCCGTGGTCGTACTCCCAGGGGTAGTGTCCCGTGGTCCTACTCCCAGGGGTAGTGTCACGTGGTCCTACTCCCAGGGGTAGTGTCCCGTGGTCCTACTCCCAGGGGTAGTGTCCCGTGGTCCTACTCCCAGGGGTAGTGTCCCGTGGTCCTACTCCCAGGGGTAGTGTGGTGCACGCAGCGAGCTGAGTGCACCACCGTCAACATATATCTACGTATATATTGTGTCTCTTTAGACAGACAAACTATGACACCAACTCTGTACACAAAACACTGCATGTTGGGGATAATATTCGTAAAACAAAATATCACTAATGTGCTGACATCACTAATGTGCTGACATCACTAATGTGTTGACATCTCTAATGTGGTAACATCACTAATGTGCTGACATCTCTAATGTGCTAACATCTCTAATGTGTTGACATCTCTAATGTGCTAACATCTCTAATGTGTTGACATCTCTAATGTGGTAACATCACTAATGTGCTGACATCACTAATGTGCTGACATCACTAATGTGCTGACATCACTAATGTGCTGACATCTCTAATGTGCTGACATCTCTAATGTGGTAACATCACTAATGTGCTAACATCTCTAATGTGCTAACATCTCTAATGTGCTAACATCTCTAATGTAAATCCTTCACAAAATATTGAGCATTTAAAATCTTTGCCCACGTAATTTGTAAGCTCATTCAAGTGTGGAACAAGTGGTACTTTGTAAGTGTGGAACAAGTAGGACTTTACAAATGTGGAACTAGTAAGACTTTACAAGTGTGGAACAAGTAAGACTTTACAAGTGTGGAACAAGTAGGACTTTACAAGTGTGGAACAAGTAGGACTTTACAAGTGTGGAACAAGTAGGACTTTACAAATGTGGAACAAGTAAGACTTTACAAGTGTGGAACAAGTAAGACTTTACAAATGTAGAACAAGTAGGACTTTACAAGTGTGGAACAAGTAGGACTTTACAAATGTGGAACAAGTAAGACTTTACAAGTGTGGAACACGTACGAATTTACAAATGTGGAACAAGTAGACGAGCCCTGGGCATCACCAGTGGTGTGTCTAGGGTATGGCAAGTGTGGCACGAGCCCTGGGCATCACCAGTGGTGTGTCTAGGGTATGGCAAGTGTGGCACGGGCCCTGGGCATCATCAGTGGTGTGTCTAGGGTATGGCAAGTGTGGCACGAGCCCTGGGCATCATCAGTGGTGTGTCTAGGGTATGGCAAGTGTGGCACGAGCCCTGGGCATCACCAGTGGTGTGTCTAGGGTATGGCAAGTGTGGCACGGGCTCTGGGCATCACCAATGGTGTGTCTAGGGTATGGCAAGTGTGGCACGAGCCCTGGGCATCATCAGTGGTGTGTCTAGGGTATGGCAAGTGTGGCACGAGCCCTGGGCATCACCAGTGGTGGGTCTAGGGTATGGCAAGTGTGGCACGGGCTCTGGGCATCACCAGTGGTGGGTCTAGGGTATGGCAAGTGTGGCACGGGCCCTGGGCATCATCAGTGGTGTGTCTAGGGTATGGCAAGTGTGGCACGAGCCCTGGGCATCATCAGTGGTGTGTCTAGGGTATGGCAAGTGTGGCACGGGCTCTGGGCATCACCAGTGGTGTGTCTAGGGTATCGCAAGTGTGGCACGTGCCCTTGGCATCACCTGTAGTGTGTCTAGGGTATGGCAAGTGTGGCACGGACCCTGGGCATCATCAGTGGTGTGTCTAGGGTATGGCAAGTGTGGCACGAGCCCTGGGCATCACCAGTGGTGTGTCTAGGGTATGGCAAGTGTGGTACGGACCCTGGGCATCACCTGTGGTGTGTCTAGGGTATGGCAAGTGTGGCACAGGGCCTGGGCATCACCTGTGGTGTGTCTAGGGTATGGCAAGTGTGGCACGGACCCTGGGCATCACCTGTGGTTTGTCTAGGGTATGGCAAGTGTGGCACGGAATCTGGGCATCATCAGTGGTGTGTCTAGGGTATGGCAAGGACCCTGGGCATCATCAGTGGTGTATCTAGGGTATGGCAAGTGTGGCACGAGCTCTGGCCGAAAGAAATGCCTCAACTTACAAGCGCAGTTGGAACATGCACAGAAAGGCTGACAGATTGACAGCAAGACTGACAGACTGATAGCAAGACTGACAGACTGACAGCAAGACTGACAGACTGACAGCAAGACTGACAGACTGACAGCAAGACTGACAGACTGACAGCAAGAGCAGCTGTTATTTCCTTTAATATGTCATACGAACTTTCATCGGAAATTGGAGCGGACGGTTCAATTGGCCAAGGAATTTGGTGGATTCGAACCACTGTTTACGGAGGGTGTTCATCGGCCCTACATAACAGTTGGAACACACGAGGTAGTTAAAACACTAAACATTTGTTGGATTTAAGAATGTTGTGTTGGTTACTCCTGAAATAAGAACAAGTCAAACAAAGGTGTTTAAGTATCCAAGATGTCTGGAGGCGGAGTACCTTTACTTAGGTTATGAAAATGTTGTGTGGACGAGGAGGAATGTTGAACCTGGTGACAAACAAGGCCAGGTAATTGCCCTATTGAAAAGTAAGGCTCCAGGTAGACTTTTTGTCCAGGGACTTGACTACAGGAAAGCGGCTAAATATATACACACAGACATCACAATAGCGTGATATATCAAATGAACAAGTCCACAAGGGCCGTGATGAGGGTTCGAACCTACGCACGGGATGTTCCCAGCTGCGCCTTAGTGAATTAAGTTATTTGCATCCTTATTGCAGATTTTCATCTGCATACTTAGTTAACCATATCGTGGCACAGTTGACTAAGGCCCAGCTGGGAACATCCCGTGCATAGGTTCGAACCCTCATCACGACCCTTGTGGATTTGTTCGTTAAATATATATTGAAGGACCTATATTAAGCATGAAGTGTTCTCAATGGGTACATATGCCTTGGAGATTCCAGTTTGACCCTAGATGTCGGTGCTGCGTTAAGAAGCATGACTCGCCAGTGTGTAGAGTCAAGATTGGAGAAGGAGAAAAGTTCTTGTGAGGGTGTTGCAATCGTCGAGGCACTCACCATGCTGGTTGCTCTCTATGCCCCCATGAAGCCCCGTCTGAGAGATTACAAGCCACCTCCCACAACCAGGATATATGAAACACCGAAGAGAAGGGCGATAGATCCTCAGTAGACACAGTGGAGGGACAGCCATAGCCGCTGTGACCAACGTCTGGGAGGAAGGGACGACGCCGATCAAGGTTCGTCTAGTGGCAGTAGGAGAGGAAGGCGGGAAAAGGTACCATCGTGGTGATGAGGAGCGGAGCAACGAAGAGGGTTGAGCACTAGGACAAGATAGCTATGGCAGGTAGACGGAGGGAAGCGGGGAGGGGGGGAGGGAAGCGGGGAGGGAAGCGGGGAGGGGGGGAGGGAAGCGGGGAGAGAAGCGGAGGGGAAAGGAAGCAAGGAAGAGGATGAGTATCACAGGTGGAAGTGACTCAGGAACATGTACTCGCCTCTGGTGATGCCAGAGCTCAACTCTGTGCTTGAATATGTTGTAACGAAATATAAGAAAAAGAGATTTAGTCAAATAGAAGTGGAGGAGATAATAGTTAAGAATAATGCAGAAAATGGTAAAGTTAGGAGTTTGAAAACTCCTCATGGAAAACATATGGAGCGAAGATAATGCCTGGAACATTAAGGTGTTGAAAAATAGAGCGGCGATTGTGCATTATCATCATATTCTCAGAGAGAATAATGACTGTGGTGGAGAGAATACTTGGGAGGACCACACACTTTGCCCTAAGAGTGTAATACTAAGATTCTCGTTATATATATTGTAATATGTACTCCGTAAGTACTATTTAATGAAGGCATATGTATTTGTAATGTATATTATTATTTGTCTACTGTATGGAATTATGAGCCGCTTGAGGGACTTGAAGTAGATGAGAGTAGAAAGAGCCTAATCTACTCTATCCTTCTGGGATATATTGAATTATCTCAATAAACGTCGGTGGGGATACACAGTAGCTTAACTTGCAGGAGTCAGCTGAAGCAGACGTCCGTGCAGTAGAGGCTTAACAAGGACGCTAAAGTGTACGTGCTGGGCGTCCGTGGCCCAGCTGGTCGTTAAGCAGTGTACTGGCGTGTGTGTGTACTCTGGTGGCACTCTCCCCAGTGCCACTCTCCCCCAGTGCCACTCTCCCCAGTGCCACTCTCCCCAGTGCCACTCTCCCCAGTGACGTTACAATGACCATTGTACCGCCGGAGGAGGAGGAGGAGGCCCGTCTCCTGAGCACTCCCGGGACATCTCACGTGACAGTCTCCGCAGACCGTGAGTCACGGTAACAGTCACAGTAACAGTCACAGTAACAGTCACAGTAACAGTCACAGTAACAGTCACAGTAACAGTCACAGTAACAGTCACAGTAACAGTCACGGTAACAGTCACAGTAACAGTCACAGTAACAGTCACAGTAACAGTCACAGACAAACGACGACGTTTCGGTCCGTCGTGGACACACGACTTATTAATGGTCCACGACCAGTCTGAACCGTCGTTGTGTCTCCACCTTGTGATGTGTGGTCTGGTCATCATATTACATTATATAAACAGAGGAGTTAGGACCGTGCACGGTCCAGTGTGGACGGTCCAGTGTGCACGGTCCAGTGTGGACGGTCCTGTGTGGACGGACCAGTGTGGACGGTCCAGTGTGGACGGTCCTGTGTGGACGGACCAGTGTGGACGGTCCTGTGTGTGCACGGTCCAGTGTGTGCACGGTCCAGTGTGCACAGTCCAGTGTGCACGGTCCAGTGTGCACGGTCCAGTGTGCACGGTCCAGTGTGCACGGTCCAGTGTGCACGGTCCAGTGTGCACGGTCCAGTGTGCACGGTCCAGCGCGCACTCTCACAAAATCCACACTGGCTGCTAAATGCAACTGCTTCACGTTTCAACATTAAACCGGCGGCAATTACCATTCTCTCACATAGTGTGATGGTACAAGTTGGGGCATGATGGTACAAGTTGGGGCATGATGGTACAAGTTGGGGCATGATGGTACAAGCTGGGGCATGATGGTACAAGTTGGGGCATGATATTACAAGTTGGGGCATGATGGTACAAGTTGGGGCCTGATGGTACAACTTGGGGCATGATGGTACAATTTGGGGCATGATGGTACAAGTTGGGATATGATGGTACAAGTTGGGGCATGATGGTACAAGTTGGGGCATGATGGTACAAGTTGGGGCATGATGGTACAAGTTGGGGCATGATGGTACAAGTTGGGGCATGATGGTACAAGTTGGGGCATGATGGTACAAGCTGGGGCATGATGGTACAAGTTGGGGCATGATATTACAAGTTGGGGCATGATGGTACAAGTTGGGGCCTGATGGTACAACTTGGGGCATGATGGTACAATTTGGGGCATGATGGTACAAGTTGGGATATGATGGTACAAGTTGGGGCATGATGGTACAAGTTGGGGCATGATGGTACAAGTTGGGGCATGATGGTACAAGTTGGGGCATGATGGTACAACTTGGGGCACGATGGTACAAGTTGGGGCATGATGGTACAAGTTGGGGCATGATGGTACAAGTTGGGGCATGATGGTACAAGTTGGGGCCTGATGGTACAACTTGGGGCATGATGGTACAAGTTGGGGCATGATGGTACAAGCTGGGGCATGATGGTACAAGTTGGGGCACGATGGTACAAGTTGGGGCACGATGGTACAAGTTGAGGCATGATGGTACAAGCTGGGGCATGATGGTACAACTTGGGGCATGATGGTACAAGTTGGGGCATGATGGTACAAGTTGGGGCCTGATGGTACAACTTGGGGCATGATGGTACAACTTGGGGCATGATGGTACAAGCTGGGGCATGATGGTACAAGTTGGGGCACGATGGTACAAGTTGGGGCACGATGGTACAACTTGGGGCACGATGGTACAACTTGGGGCATGATGGTACAAGTTGGGGTATGATGGTACAAGTTGGGGCATGATGGTACAAGTTGGGGCACGATGGTACAAGTTGGGGCATGATGGTACAACTTGGGGCATGATGGTACAAGTTGGGGCACGATGGTACAAGTTGGGGCATGATGGTACAAGTTGGGGCATGATGGTACAAGCTGGGGCATGATGGTACAACTTGGGGCATGATATTACAAGTTGGGGCATGATGGTACAAGTTGGGGCCTGATGGTACAACTTGGGGCATGATGGTACAATTTGGGGCATGATGGTACAAGTTGGGATATGATGGTACAAGTTGGGGCATGATGGTACAAGTTGGGGCATGATGGTACAAGTTGGGGCATGATGGTACAAGTTGGGGCATGATGGTACAACTTGGGGCACGATGGTACAAGTTGGGGCATGATGGTACAAGTTGGGGCATGATGGTACAAGTTGGGGCATGATGGTACAAGTTGGGGCCTGATGGTACAACTTGGGACATGATGGTACAAGTTGGGGCATGATGGTACAAGCTGGGGCATGATGGTACAAGTTGGGGCACGATGGTACAAGTGGGGCACGATGGTACAAGTTGAGGCATGATGGTACAAGCTGGGGCATGATGGTACAACTTGGGGCATGATGGTACAAGTTGGGGCATGATGGTACAAGTTGGGGCCTGATGGTACAACTTGGGGCATGATGGTACAACTTGGGGCATGATGGTACAAGCTGGGGCATGATGGTACAAGTTGGGGCACGATGGTACAAGTTGGGGCACGATGGTACAACTTGGGGCATGATGGTACAAGTTGGGGCATGATGGTACAAGTTGGGGCATGATGGTACAAGTTGGGGCATGATGGTACAACTTGGGGCATGATGGTACAAGTTGGGGTATGATGGTACAAGTTGGGGCATGATGGTACAAGTTGGGGCATGATGGTACAACTTGGGGCATGATGGTACAAGTTGGGGCATGATGGTACAACTTGGGGCACGATGGTACAAGTTGGGGCATGATGGTACAAGTTGGGGCATGATGGTACAAGTTGGGGCACGATGGTACAAGTTGGGGCATGATGGTACAACTTGGGGCATGATGGTACAAGTTGGGGCATGATGGTACAAGCTGGGGCATGATGGTACAACTTGGGGCATGATGGTACAAGTTGGGGTATGATGGTACAAGTTGGGGCCTGATGGTACAACTTGGGGCATGATGGTACAAGTTGGGGCATGATGGTACAAGTTGGGGCATGATGGTACAAGTTGGGGCATGATGGTACAAGTTGGGGCATGATGGTACAAGTTGGGGCATGATGGTACAAGTTGGGGCACGATGGTACAAGTTGGGGCACGATGGAACAAACAGAGAAGTGATGGTACAAGTTGGGGCATGATGGAACAAACAGAGAAGTGATGGTACAAGTTGGGGCATGATGGAACAAACAGAGAAGTGATGGTACAAGTTGGGGCATGATGGTACAAACAAAGAAGTGATGGTACAAGGTGGGGCATGATGGTACAAGTTGGGGCATGATGGTACAAGTTGGGGCACGATGGAACAAACAAAGAAGTGATGGTACAAGTTGGGGCATGATGGTACAAGTTGGGGCTTGATGGTACAAGTTGGGGCATGATGGTACAAACAAAGAAGTGATGGTACAAGTTGGGGCATGATGGTACAAACAAAGAAGTGATGGTACAAGTTGGGGCCCGATGGTACAAACAAAGAAGTGATGGTACAAGTTGGGGCACGATGGTATAAGTTGGGGCTTGATGGTACAAGTTGGGCATGATGGTACAAAGAAGTGATGGTACAAGTTGGGGCATGATGGAACAAGTTGGGGCATGATGGTACAAACAAAGAAGTGATGGTACAAGCTGGGGCACGATGGTACAAGTTGGGAATGATGGAACAAGTTGGGGCATGATGGTACAAGTTGGGGCATGATGGTACAAGTTGGGGCATGATGGTACAAGTTGGGGCATGATGGTACAAGTTGGGGCATGATGGTACAACTTGGGGCATGATGGTACAACTTGGGGCATGATGGTACAACTTGGGGCATGATGGTACAAGTTGGGGCATGATGGTACAAGTTGGGGCATGATGGTACAAGTTGGGGCATGACGGTACAAGTTGGGGCACGATTATACAAGTTGGGGCATGATGGTACAAGTTGGAGCATGGGGCATGACAAACAGAAGAGATGGTACAAGATGCGTGAGGATACAAGAGGAGGTAACTCACCTTCTCCAGCCTAGTGAGGAGCTGGTTGGTGAGGAACCCTGAGGCTCCCTGGCAGCGGCCCACACGCCTCTCCACCTCCCCCATCACTCGGGACACCAGAGCGTGCAGCGTCTAGAAGGCAAGCACACACAACCTCACTAACTACCGGGGTCCAGGAGCCGGAGCTCTACACTGTAGCCACAAATGAGTGAGGACACACTTAACCCCCAATAGTAAGTGCTGATAATTATTGTAGCGATTAACTTAATAATTAAGGTGCAATACCATCAATGTTGATGGTGGGATGGACTCATATATTGTATTCATCTACATGTATGTACTCATCTACATATATGTGATGAGTATGTGTGTGTTAACAGATGGTTTAATGCAGTTTCTTCAACTGTTGTATATATTAACACATTACATGTGATGGGTTAGCATTAAATCCTTTCACTGATAACTTCAAAGACAGTCCATCCCTGTGTCACAGTCCATCCCTGTGTCACAGTCCATCCCTGTGTCACAGTCCATCCCTGTGTCACAGTCCATCCCTGTGTCACAGTCCATCCCTGTGTCACAGTCCATCCCTGTGTCACAGTCCATCCCTGTGTCACAGTCCATCCCTGTGTCACAGTCCATCCCTGTGTCACAGTCCATCCCTGTGTCACAGTCCATCCCTGTGTCACAGTCCTTCCCTGTGTCACAGTCCATCCCTGTGTCACAGTCCAACACTGTGTCACAGTCCACCCTTGTGTCACAGTCCACCCTTGTGTCACAGTCCAACACTGTGTCACAGTCCAACACTGTGTCACAGTCCACCCTTGTGTCACAGTCCACCCTTGTGTCCCAGTCCACCCTTGTGTCCCAGTCCACCACTGTGTCACAGTCCACCACTGTGTCACAGTCCACCCTTGTGTCACAGTCCACCACTGTGTCACAGTCCACCACTGTGTCACAGTCCACCACTGTGTCACAGTCCAACACTGTGTCACAGTCCACCCTTGTGTCACAGTCCACCCTTGTGTCACAGTCCAACACTGTGTCACAGTCCACCCTTGTGTCACAGTCCACCCTTGTGTCACAGTCCAACACTGTGTCACAGTCCAACACTGTGTCACAGTCCAACACTGTGTCACAGTCCACCCTTGTGTCACAGTCCACCCTTGTGTCCCAGTCCACCACTGTGTCACAGTCCACCACTGTGTCACAGTCCAACACTGTGTCACAGTCCAACACTGTGTCACAGTCCAACACTGTGTCACAGTCCACCACTGTGTCACAGTCCACCACTGTGTCACAGTCCACCACTGTGTCACAGTCCAACACTGTGTCACAGTCCACCACTGTGTCACAGTCCAACACTGTTTCACAGTCCACCACTGTGTCACAGTCCACCCTTGTGTCACACTCCACCCCTGTGTCACAGTCCACCCTTGTGTCACAGTCCACCACTGTGTCACAGTCCACCCTTGTGTCACAGTCCACCACTGTGTCACAGTCTACCACTGTGTCACACTCCACCCCTGTGTCACAGTCCACCCTTGTGTCACAGTCCACCCTTGTGTCACACTCCACCCCTGTGTCACAGTCCACCCTTGTGTCACACTCCACCCCTGTGTCACAGTCCACCCTTGTGTCACACTCCACCCCTGTGTCACAGTCCACCCTTGTGTCACACTCCACCCCTGTGTCACACTCCACCACTGTGTCACAGTCCACCACTGTGTCACAGTCCACCACTGTGTCACAGTCCACCCTTGTGTCACACTCCACCACTGTGTCACAGTCCACCACTGTGTCACAGTCCACCCTTGTGTCACACTCCACCACTGTGTCACAGTCCACCACTGTGGCACAGTCCACCACTGTGTCACACTCCACCCCTGTGTCACAGTCTACCACAGTGTCACACTCCACCCCTGTGTCACAATCCACCACTGTGTCACAGTCCACCACTGTGTCACAGTCCACCCTTGTGTCACAGTCCAACACTGTGTCACAGTCCACCACTGTGTCACAGTCCACCCTTGTGTCACACTCCACCACTGTGTCACAGTCCACCACTGTGTCACAGTCCACCACTGTGTCACACTCCACCCCTGTGTCACAGTCTACCACAGTGTCACACTCCACCCCTGTGTCACAATCCACCACTGTGTCACAGTCCACCACTGTGTCACAGTCCACCACTGTGTCACAGTCCACCACTGTGTCACAGTCCACCACTGTGTCACAGTCCACCACTGTGTCACAGTCCACCACTGTGTCACAGTCCACCACTGTGTCACAGTCTACCACTGTGTCACACTCCACCCCTGTGTCACAGTCTACCACTGTGTCACACTCCACCCCTGTGTCACAGTCTACCACTGTGCACACTCCACCCCTGTGTCACAGTCCACCCCTGTGTCACAGTCTACCACTGTGTCACACTCCACCCCTGTGTCACAGTCCACCACTGTGTCACAGTCTACCACTGTGTCACAGTCTACCACAGTGTCACAGTCCACCACTGTGTCACACTCCACCACTGTGTCACAGTCCACCACTGTGTCACAGTCCACCACTGTGTCACAGTCTACCACTGTGTCACAGTCTACCACAGTGTCACAGTCCACCACTGTGTCACACTCCACCACTGTGTCACAGTCCACCACTGTGTCACACTCCACCACTGTGCCACAGTCTACCGCAGTCTGTTCATTATACGTAAACTTTCATAGATTTTCAAATTAATTTTCAATCAAACGTTGGATGAGATCGATTATAACCTATTTGTTTGACGTGATATTTGCCAACAAATAAATAAATAATATAAAAAACATGTATAATTAAAGGAAGATGTTTTAGGTAATGTTACCTGGTCATCGTTGATGGTGATGGCGTGCCAGGCGGCCAGAGCTTGTAGCAGTGGTGGACGACGTGTTGGCGCCACAACTGCCTCCACCAGCATGCTTGGCGCGGCCTCCACCACACCTGTCGATACCCAACACATGGATTAATTGTTTCCCAAAGGTGTTTGAGCCACAATTCACGTGGAAGTTCAGTCATTCGCAGGTCTAAAGTGGGTCATTAAAGTAAGTGTTCATCTATCCATGATAGAAGAACAACTGGTTGAACTTCATCGTGAAGTGATGCAAAAATACACAGATCAACACTGGAGTCCCAAAACTCTCAAACACAGCAGCATTGTTTAAACTAATTATCATTTCCAACAAATCGTTCACCATGTGGCCACAGGTGAAACAGCTCAGCGCTCTCCCTCTCCACACCTGTCATGGACACCATGAGGCGACAGGTGTAGCAACAGTTGGAAATTCCGACACTAAGATACTTACATTAGTCATAAAAGGATTACAGAAAACGAGAAATCTGTGACGTCATCAAGATATTCATTTACTTAATACATATCCTTAAACTAGTCTAGACATTAGAAATAATACAAATTTATTCTCTATTACTGGATCTAATATAATGTATATAAATAAAAATGAAAAATTTAGTTTTCTTCAAAATCGCTAATCTCCGAAAGCTCTTCACTGATTGCTTTTAAGTTTTGACACAACGTTCCATTTAAATACGCACGTGTTTAAATATACATGTTTTTATATACCTATTATATAGATGTCACGTCTGTGACAGGTAAAAACATGTTTTTTCAAAACTGTGTTTTTCAGGTGAGTTTTCATGTGAGAAACATTTGCGAAAGCTCTTTACCGATTGCTTTGAAATTTGACACAACGTTGAATTCATATACGCGATGTTTTTATATACCTACTTTAGACATGACACACCTGTGACAGGTAAAAACAAGCTTTTTTGGAAAAAAAAAGGAGCACCATCTGTTGGACGTAAAAGCAACACAGGCTGTAATCTCCGAAAGTTCTTCACAAATATCTTCAAAATTTGACACAACATTGCATTCGAATACGCACGTGCTTTTATATACCTACTTTATAGATGCCACATCTGTGAAGGGCAAAAACAGCTTTTTTAAAAACAGCGCCATCTTTTGGACGTAAAAGGAACATTGCCTATACAAAATATTTTATGATTCCATTTCAATGTTTCCGATTGCATTGTTAAATTGAATTTTCATAGATTTTGATTTATTTTAAATTTTATTTAAATATTTCGTGTGACATTATGATGGAATTGAGCTGTGTCTTTACCATACCGTTCATTTCGTGAGAATATTGATTTTATTACTTTTTTATTTTTTTTCATTTCGTTTTGTTAATTAATTGTTCTTATTTTTCAGTGATCGGAACATCAGATAATTTGATGTTCCCATTTTTCTGATGGGAACATCAGATCATTTGGGAACACATCGGATGGGTGAGTGGGGGATGATAGGGAGGACAGGGGAGTAGGGAATGGTGGGGAGGACACAGGGATGGGGAGTGGGGGATGGTGGGGAGGACGAGGGGCGGGGGATGGTGGGGAGGACGAGGAGATGAGGAGGGGGGAATGATGGGGGAGGACAAGGGGACGGGGAGGGGGAAATCGTGGGGAGGCTGAGGGGATGGAGGAGTGGGGAATAGTTGGAAGGACGTGGCGGGGGATGGGGAAGGGGGGAATGGTGGGGAGGACAAGGGGACGGAGGAGGGTTGCTGTGGTTCAAGTATGTGGCTGAGCTACATACTTACTGTACCTGGCCAGGTCCAGATAATATTTTATATATATATATATATATATATATATATATATATATATATATATATATATATATATATATATATATGCGAACAAGCCTGAATGGTCCCCAGGACTATATTATGGGTATAGTCCTGGTCCCCAGGGGACCAGGTCCTGGGGTCCTGGGGACCAGGACTGGGTATAGTCCTGGTCCCCAGGACTATACCCAGGACTCTGGGGTGTGAGTTTTCATTCATATATATATATATATATATATATATATATATATATATATATATATATATATATATATATATATATATATATATATATATATATATATGTCGTACCTAGTAGCCAGAACTCACTTCTCAGCCTACTATGCAAGGCCCGATTTGCCTAATAAGCCAAGTTTTCATGAATTAATGTTTTTTCGTCTACCTAACCTACCTAACCTAACCTAACCTAGGTTTTTTTGGCTACCTAACCTAACCTTACCTATATATATAGGTTAGGTTAGGTTAGGTAGGGTTGGTTAGGTTCGGTCATATATCTACGTTAATTTTAACTCCAATAAAAAAAAATTGACCTCATACATAGTGAAAAGGGTAGCTTTATCATTTCATAAGAAAAAAATTATAGTAAATATATTAATTCAAGAAAACTTGGCTTATTAGACAAATCGGGCCTTGAATAGTAGGCTGAGAAGTGAGTTCTGGCTACTAGGTACGACATATATATATATATATAAATATATATATATGAAAAATCTTGACCCCTGAAAGATTCGAACCCAATCAGCCAGGTCCTCCATGCCCTTTGGCATGTCCAGTACTATTAGCACTCAGCCACAGACTGTACAAAAGTATTGGAGAGTCGTCTACCTCTATGTATCCAGGTCACGAGTGCTGTCGGATATTGGGTTAAGGGTCATATGACTTCCAGTACTTTTGTACAGACTGTGGCTGAGTGTCATAGTTAATTTATGAAGATTTCAAAGATTTGTTATCAGCAAGAAGATTATTACTCTGATGTGAGCTAGTGATATGTTGTGTGAGTAATAAGACTATAATCACAGCTGCACACCCTACCATATACATTGTATAACAGTGTATAACCACAGCTGCACAACCTACCATATACATTGTATAACAGTGTATAACCACAGCTGCACACCCTACCGTAAGCATCAGAAATTTCCTCGACTAGTAAGTCCAGCAGGTCGTCTATTTCCTCTATGATGTCATCGAGGAGATCCTGGAGGGCTTGCAGGCCCTCGTCTAATGTTGCAGCACCTAGGTTGATGAGAGGCAGCAAGTGCGTCCTAAGTGCCTCGCTAGACACCTGTAACACTTGTCGAAGGTTGGTGGGGCACGTCTCTAGCACCGCCATCACCCTGCACATGTTAAACATTTGCCTTTAATATAAGACATATTTAACTAATGGAATTTATAGTGATTAATAGCTAAATGAATAGTGATTGATCCATAAATGAGTGACCGATCCATACATGATGTTGATTGATCCATAAATGACGGCGATTGATCGATAAATGATGGTGATTGATCCATAAATGACCATGATTGATCCATAAATGACGATGATTGATCCATAAATGACGGCGATTGATCCATAAATGACGGTGATTGATCCATAAATCACCAAGATTGATCCATAAATGACGGTGATTGATCCATAAATGAGGTGATTGATCCATAAATGATGGTGATTGACCTATAAATGACGGTGATTGATCCATAAATGACGGTGATTGATCCATAAATGACAGTTATTGATCTATATATGAAGTGATTGATCCATAAATGATGGTGATTGATTCATAAATGACAGTTATTGATCCATAAATGAGGTGATTGATCCAAAAATGACGGTGATTGATATATAAATGATGGTGATTGATCTATAAATGATAGTGATTGATCCATAAAATGACGGCGATTGATTCCTAATATATATAGCATTTGATTTCTAAATCAATGATTGATTCCTTAATTTCAGTGATTGATTCTTAAATGACAGTTATTGGTCCCTAAATGAGATTTTAATCACAAAATGACAGTGATTAAAGTCTTAATGATAGTGATTGATCCCTAAATGACAGTGATTAACGTCTTAATGATAGTGATTGATCCCTAAATGACAGTGATACAGTCGCTAAAGGATTCATAACTATATGAAAGTGAGCACTATATATATAAGATGATCTTCATGTTTGCCATCACGTGAAGGTGAGTCAGTATATCAGTGTTACTTGGCTCCATCACGTGAAGGTGAGTTGTGGACCAACAGGTGTCTGGGGGACAAGTGTTGTGGACCAACAGGTGTCTGGGGGACAAATGTTGTGGACCAACAGGTGTCTAGGGACAAGTGTTGTGGCCCAACAGGTGTCTGGGGACAAGTGTTGTGGCCCAATATGTGTCTGGGGACAAGTGTTGTGGCCCAACAGGTGTCTGGGGGACAAGTGTTGTGGACCAACAGGTGTCTGGGGGACAAGTGTTGTGGACCAACAGGTGTCTGGGGGACAAGTGTTGTGGACCAACAGGTGTCTGGGGGACAAGTGTTGTGGACCAACAGGTGTCTGGGGGACAAGTGTTGTGGCCCAACAGGTGTCTGGGGGACAAGTGTTGTGGACCAACAGGTGTCTGGGGGACAAGTGTTGTGGACCAACAGGTGTCTAGGGACAAGTGTTATGGCCCAACAGGTGTCTGCATGGGGACAAGTGTTGTGGCCCAATATGTGTCTGGGGACAAGTGTTGTGGCCCAACAGGTGTCTGGGGGACAAGTGTTGTGGACCAACAGGTGTCTGGGGGACAAGTGTTGTGGACCAACAGGTGTCTGGGGGACAAGTGTTGTGGACCAACAGGTGTCTGGGGGACAAGTGTTGTGGACCAACAGGTGTCTGAGGGACAAGTGTTGCGGCCCAACAGGTGTATAAGGTGGATAATAACAGTAATAACTTGAGGTATACTACCCTCGACAGCTTACACTTGAGTGGAGGTGGCGGCGGTGAGGTGGAGGGCCTGGTGGAGGAGCTGTGTGGTGAGGTCGAGGAGCGGCCCGAGGCCCAGGGCGCCCTGCACCCTGACCCTGGTGGAGGTCAGGTCCCGCGCCGCCCCCGCCACCGTCCGCCCGCGCCACACCAACTCTTCCTGTCGCACAGAACACAACTTTAAACACACCAGCTGCTGACACCACTGGTTACACTATAGCTGCTGACACCACTGGTTACACTATAGCTGCTGACACCACTGGTTAGACTATAGCTGCTGACACCACTGGTTACACTATAGCTGCTGACACCACTGGTTAGACTATGGTTGCTGACATCACTGGTTAGACTATGGTTGCTGACATCACTGGTTAGACTATGGTTGCTGACACCTCTGGTTAGACTATAGCTGCTGACACCACTGGTTACACTATAGCTGCTGACACCACTGGTTACACTATAGCTGCTGACACCACTGGTTAGACTATAGCTGCTGACACCACTGGTTAGACTATAGCTGCTGACACCACTGGTTAGACTATAGCTGCTGACACCACTGGTTAGACTATAGCTGCTGACACCACTGGTTAGACTATAGCTGCTGACACCACTGGTTAGACTATAGCTGCTGACAACACTGGTTAGACTATAGCTGCTGACACCACTGGTTACACTATAGTTGCTGACACCACTGGTTAGAATATAGCTGCTGACACCACTGGTTAGACTATAGCTGCTGACACCACTGGTTACACTATAGCTGCTGACACCACTGGTTAGACTATAGCTGCTGACACCACTGGTTACACTATAGCTGCTGACACCACTGGTTACACTATAGCTGCTGACACCACTGGTTACACTATAGCTGCTGACACCACTGGTTACACTATAGCTGCTGACACCACTGGTTACACTATAGCTGCTGACACCACTGGTTAGACTATAGCTGCTGACACCACTGGTTAGACTATAGCTGCTGACACCACTGGTTAGACTATAGCTGCTGACACCACTGGTTAGAATATAGCTGCTGACACCACTGGTTAGACTATTGCTGCTGACACCACTGGTTACACTATAGCTGCTGACACTACTGGTTACACTATAGCTGCTGACACCACTGGTTAGACTATAGCTGCTGACACCACTGGTTACACTATAGTTGCTGACACCACTGGTTATACTATAGCTGCTGACACCACTGGTTAGACTATAGTTGCTGACACCACTGGTTAGACTATAGCTGCTGACACCACTGGTTATACTATAGCTGCTGACACCACTGGTTAGACTATAGCTGCTGACACCACTGGTTAGACTATAGCTGCTGACACCACTGGTTACACTATAGCTGCTGACACTACTGGTTACACTATAGCTGCTGACACCACTGGTTACACTATAGCTGCTGACACCACTGGTTAGACTATAGCTGCTGACACCACTGGTTACACTATAGCTGCTGACACTACTGGTTACACTATAGCTGCTGACACCACTGGTTAGACTATAGCTGCTGACACCACTGGTTACACTATAGCTGCTGACACCACTGGTTAGACTATAGCTGCTGACACCACTGGTTACACTATAGCTGCTGACACCACTGGTTACACTATAGCTGCTGACACCACTGGTTACACTATAGCTGCTGACACCACTGGTTACACTATAGCTGCTGACACCACTGGTTAGACTATAGCTGCTGACACCACTGGTTAGACTATAGCTGCTGACACCACTGGTTAGACTATAGCTGCTGACACCACTGGTTAGACTATAGCTGCTGACACCACTGGTTAGACTATAGCTGCTGACACCACTGGTTAGACTATAGCTGCTGACAACACTGGTTAAAAAAGTTGCTGACAACACTGGTTAAATTAACTGGGTACAACAATGGTTCAACTAGTGGCAGACAACACTAGTTAAACTTTCTGCTGACAACACTGGTTAAACTTTCTGCTGATAACACTGGTTAAACTTGCTGGTGTTTAAATAGTTTGTAATTATCATTAAACTCAGAATTTTGGCAGAGCTGAACTTTAAACAATTGAACCTGAAGCAGAGAAGAGTTTACGGTTGTAATCATCAAGCCAGACTGTTGCTTGCAATCATCAAGCCAGGCTGTTGCTTGTAATCATCAAGCCAGGCTGTTGCTTGCAATCATCAAGCCAGGCTGTTGCTTGCAATCATCAAGCCAGGCTGTTGCTTGCAATCATCAAGCCAGGCTGTTGCTTGCAATCATCAAGCCAGGCTGTTGCTTACAATCATCAAACCAGGCTGTTGCTTGCAGTCATCAAGCCAGGCTGTTGCTTGCAATCATCAAGCCAGGCTGTTGCTTGCAATCATCAAGCCAGGCTGTTGCTTGCAATCATCAAGCCAGGCTGTTGCTTGCAATCATCAAGCCAGGCTGTTGCTTGCAATCATCAAGCCAGGCTGTTGCTTGCAATCATCAAGCCAGACTGTTGCTTGCAATCAGGCCAGGCTGTTGCTTGCAATCAGGCCAGGCTGTTGCTTGCAATCATCAAGCCAGACTGTTGCTTGCAATATCTGATATGTTTTGAAACCGGTGGCTTGGCGTCTATTGATAAGACCTGAAAGCAACATACATTGCCGAACCATGCAATAACGTAAGCACTCAACCATGCAATAACGTAAGCACTCAACCATGCAATAACGTAAGCACTCAACCTTACAATAACGTAAGCACTCAACCATACAATAACGTAAGCACTCAACCTTACAATAACGTAACCACTCAACCTTACAATAACGTAACCACTCAACCATGCAATAACGTAACCACTCAACCTTACAATAACGTAACCACTCAACCTTACAATAACGTAACCACTCAACCATGCAATAATGTAACCACTCAACCTTACAATAACGTAACCACTTAACCATGCAATAACGTAACCACTCAACCTTACAATAATGTAAGCACTCAACCTTACAATAATGTAAGCACTCAACCTTACAATAACATAAGCACTCAACCATAGAATAACGTAAGCACTCAACCATAGAATAACGTAAGCACTGAACCATACAATAACGTAAACACTCAACCATACGATAACGTAAACACTCAACCATACAATAACGTAAGCACTGAACCATACAATAACGTAAGCACTGAACCATACAATAACGTAAGCACTGAACCATACAATAACGTAAGCACTGAACCATACAATAACGTAAACACTCAACCATACAATAACGTAAGCACTCAACCATAGAATAACGTAAACACTCAACCTTACAATAACGTAAGCACTCAACCATAGAATAACGTAAGCACTCAACCATAGAATAACGTAAGCACTCAACCTTACAATAATGTAAGCACTCAACCATAGAATAACGTAAGCACTCAACCTTACAATAACGTAAGCACTCAACCATACAATAACGTAAACACTCAACCATACAATAACGTAAGGACTCAACCATACAATAACGTAAGCACTGAACCATACAATAACGTAAGCACTCAACCATAGAATAACGTAAGCACTCAACCATACAATAACGTAAGCACTCAACCATACAATAACGTAAACACTCAACCATACAATAACGTAAACACTCAACCATACAATAACGTAAGCACTCAACCATACGATAACGTAAACACTCAACCATACAATAACGTAAACACTCAACCATACAATAACGTAAGCACTCAACCATACAATAACGTAAACACTCAACCATGCAATATCAATACGACTGACACTTGTTACACTGTAACCGTGGTGTTACTTAGCTTGAGGCTGAGGTGAGGGGAGACGCACCTTGAGCTGGGCCATGGAGGCACGCTGCCAGTCGAGTAGGACCTCGAGCACCTCCTCCACCACGTCAGCTGTGAGGGTGAGTGCTGGCGGCGTGTCTAGGGGCCGGAGCCGCCCACTGCCCACCTGCACGCCCACGCCCCCGGGCCCGGAGATCTGACCCACCCGCAGGTAGGGGCCCTCGTGCTCCTCTGGGAACACAATTGGTGGTCAGGCCTGGCCAAGGTTGTCATTGGTGGTTAATGACGTCACACAATATAGCTACTAGCACATGACTGGTCACGTGATAGTGGCCATCTTGTCCCTAACTATCCCTAGATAGAGCACCACACAAGGGGGGAGGACAACAGAGGACAAACAACAGGGGTGTAGTGAAGGAACAGACACAAACTAAGGGGAACAATGGAAAAGTTGAAGAAACATCGGAAGAATGAACACTGAAGAACAATGTTCCCTGGCGGGGAGCGTGTTATCTCACCGACGCCCAGCAGCTGTAGTGTGAGCTCCGGGGTGGGTGGTGGGCAGAGCAGCAGGTGGTGGTGGGTGGGCGCCAGGGTGGGCGTCACCAGCACCAGCCCACCCCGGGTGCAGGTCCGCTGCTGCTCCGGGACGACCCCCGCCCACAGCTCCACTCTCCGCCCAGAACTCTCCACCTGCGGCACAAGTCACTTCATGTTACCCGGTGGTGGAGGTCGTCTTGTTAAGGCAGTGGTCACCGTGTGCACCACCTGGAGGGACTGTGTCCCCCCCCCCTTCCCCCACACCCTTCCCCCTCGGATTAACTTTAGGATTAACTTTGTCATCCTACGCTGGACGCGTTATAGTGAATTTATGTCCATTCTACAGTAAGGCGACCAAAACTGAACTGCATAATCTAAATGGGGCCTAACCAGAGCAAGATATAGCTGACGAACCACACCAGGTGTCTTGTTACTAACGCTTCGATTAATAAATCCCAGTGTCCTATTCGCCTTATTACAAACATTCATGCATTGATCTTTTGGTTTTAAATTCTTACTAATCATAACTCCCAGATCCCTTTCACAATCTAACTTCGCAATCTCAACACCGTCTAGCTCGTATCTTGTAACTCTATCATCATTACCTAGCTTTAAAACCTTATATTTGTCAGCATTAAACTGCATCTGCCAATCTTTTGACCATTTCAAAACCCTATTTAAATCGTGATGAAGTGATAGCGAGTCTTTTTCCGTGTTTATTTCCCTCTCGACTTTTGTATCATCGGCAAATTTGCAAATATTGCTCCTCAAACCTGAATCTAAATCATTGATATATATTATAAACAACAGAGGTCCCAGGACAGAGCCTTGAGGCACTCCACTTACAACAATTTCCCAGTCTGACTTAACCCCATTTATACTAACTGTCTGTTTCCTTTGGTATATAGCCATGCCCTAATCCAGCTTAATATAGCACCCAAAATACCATGAGCCTCTATCTTTTTTATCAGTCTTTCATGTGGCACTGTATCAAAAGCTTTGCTAAAGTCAAGGTACACAACATCACAATCCTTACCACTATCAACTGCCTCAACTATGCTGGAATAAAATGATAGGAAATTTGTTACGATTTGAACGGCCATTTGTAAAACCATGTTGGGAATCATTTATTAATTAATGTTTTTGAAGATGAAGACGAATGGTATTTGCAATTATCGATTCAAGTAACTTTCCCACAAAAGCCGTTAAGCTAATTGGTCGATAGTTTGACGCAAGTGATCTATCTCCTTTCTTGAAAATTGGTACCATTAGCAACCTTCCACGACTCTGGCACTATGTCTGGCTAATGATTTATTAAATATGGTAGACAACGGCTCGCAAAGCTCCTCTTTGCAGTTTTTAAGCACCCTGGCAAACACTTCATCCCGTCCTGGGGATTTGTTTGGCTTGCGTTTCACTATTTGTGTAATAACATCCTCCCTGGTAACTGCTAAACTAGGCAACCTGTCCTCGTCCCCACCCACACAGACTTATTCGGTTGAAAACATGTTGTTAAGTTCCTCTTTAGTAAATACAGATATAAAATATTTATTAAAAATACTACTCATTTCTTCATTATCAGTTATCTGACCTGTCTCAGTTTTCAATGGACCTGTCCTTTCTCTAAGCTTTCTTCGATATAACTGAAAAAACCTTCTTGTCTTCGCTTGCCCTGCTATGTGAACTTGATAGTTTCTTTTTGCCCTCCTTATCTCTTTTAAAATTTCTAACCGGTTGTGCAAATTCTTCTTCTAAACTGACTTCCCCATTCTTAATCCTTTTCTACCACGCTCTCTTTTTACCTTATAATATCCTTCAGATCCTTTGTTATCCATCTCAGGTCATTTGTATTCCATCTATTCAATATCTATGGTATACTACGTTCCTGGGCTTTGGTTAGAATACTTTTAAATAAGTTATATTTTGACTCCACATCGAAATCCCTTTTTGCGTCACCCATCGCTGGGTTCATGTCTCGTTTCCACACATAATATTAGGTGTAGAGGGTAGAGAGTACTGGTAGTGGGGAGGGTGTAGAGGGTAGAGAGTACTGGTAGTGGGGAGGAGTGATGGTACTGGTAGTGGGGAGGGTGTGGAGGGCAGAGGGTACTGGTAGTGGGGAGGAGTGATGGTACTGGTAGTGGGGAGGGTGTGGAGGGCAGAGGGTACTGGTAGTGGGGAGGAGTGATGGTACTGGTAGTGGGGAGGGTGTGGAGGGCAGAGAGTACTGGTAGTGGGGAGGAGTGATGGTACTGGTAGTAGGAGGGTGTAGAGGGGTAGAGAGTACTGGTAGTGGGGAGGGTGTGATGGTACTGGTAGTAGGAGGGTGTGGAGGGTAGAGGGTACTGGTAGTGGGGAGGAGTGATGGTACTGGTAGTAGGAGGGTGTGGAGGGTAGAGGGTACTGGTAGTGGGGAGGAGTGATGGTACTGGTAGTAGGAGGGTGTGGAGGGTAGAGGGTACTGGTAGTGGGGAGGAGTGATGGTACTGGTAGTAGGAGGGTGTAGAGGGTAGAGGGTACTGGTAGTGGGGAGGAGTGATGGTACTGGTAGTAGGAGGGTGTGGAGGGTGTGGAGGGCAGAGGTACTGGTAGTGGGGAGGAGTGATGGTACTGGTAGTGGGGAGGGTGTGGAGGGTAGAGAGTACTGGTAGTGGGGAGGAGTGATGGTACTGGTAGTAGGAGGGTGTGGAGGGCAGAGGGTACTGGTAGTGGGGAGGAGTGATGGTACTGGTAGTGGGGAGGGTGTGGAGGGTAGAGAGTACTGGTAGTGGGGAGGAGTGATGGTACTGGTAGTGGGGAGGGTGTGGAGGGCAGAGAGTACTGGTAGTGGGGAGTGATGTACTGGTAGTAGGAGGGTGGAGGGCAGAGACTGGTAGTGGGGAGGGTGATGGGGTAGTAGGAGGGTGTAGAGAGGGTACTGGTAGTGGGGAGGAGTGATGGTACTGGTAGTAGGAGGGTGTGGAGGGCAGAGAGTACTGGTAGTGGGGAGGAGTGATGGTACTGGTAGTAGGGAGGGTGTGGAGGGCAGAGAGTACTGGTAGTGGGGAGGAGTGATGGTACTGGTAGTGGGGAGGGTGTGGAGGGCAGAGAGTACTGGTAGTGGGGAGGAGTGATGGTACTGGTAGTAGGGAGGGTGTGGAGGGCAGAGGGTACTGGTAGTGGGGAGGGTGTGGAGGGCAGAGGGTACTGGTAGTGGGGAGGAGTGATGGTACTGGTAGTAGGAGGGTGTGGAGGGCAGAGGATACTGGTAGTGGGGAGGAGTGATGGTACTGGTAGTAGGGAGGGTGTGGAGGGCAGAGGGTACTGGTAGTGGGAGGAGTGATGGTACTGGTAGTAGGGAGGGTGTGGAGGGCAGAGGGTACTGGTAGTGGGGAGGAGTGATGGTACTGGTAGTAGGGAGGGTGTGGAGGGCAGAGAGTACTGGTAGTGGGGAGGAGTGATGGTACTGGTAGTGGAAGGGTGTGGAGGGCAGAGGGTACTGGTAGTGGGGAGGAGTGATGGTACTGGTAGTAGGAGGGTGTGGAGGGCAGAGAGTACTGGTAGTAGGGAGGGTGTGGAGGACCCAGATGGAGGGGGCCAGGTGGTGGTAGTGGGTGACGGGGGCCAGGTGGTGGTAGTGGGTGACGGGGGCCAGGTGGTGGTAGTGAGTGACGGGGGCCAGGTGGTGGTAGTGGGTGACGGGGCCAGGTGGTGGGTGACGGGGCCAGGTGGTGGGTGACGGGGCCAGGTGGTGGGTGACGGGGGCCAGGTGGTGGGAGTGGGTGACGGGGGTCAGGTGGTGGTATTGGGTGCCGGGGGTCAGGTGGTGGGTGACGGGGCCAGGTGGTGGGTGACGGGGGCCAGGTGGTGGTAGTGGGTGACGGGGGCCAGGTGGTGGTAGTGGGTGACGGGGGTCAGGTGGTGGTAGTGGGTGACGGGGGCCAGGTGCTGGGTGACGGGGGCCAGGTGGTAGTAGTGGGTGACGGGGGCCAGGTGGTGGTAGTGGGTGACGGGGGTCAGGTGATGGTAGTGGGTGACGGGGGCCAGGTGGTGGGTGACGGGGGCCAGGTGGTGGTAGTGGGTGACGGGGGCCAGGTGGTGGTAGTGGGTGACGGGGGCCAGGTGGTGGTAGTGGGTGACGGGGGTCAGGTGGTGGTAGTGGGTGACGGGGGTCAGGTGGTGGGTGACGGGGCCAGGTGGTGGGTGACGGGGGCCAGGTGGTGGTAGTGGGTGACGGGGGCCAGGTGGAGGTAGTGGGTGACGGGGGTCAGGTGGTGGTAGTGGGTGACGGGGGCCAGGTGGAGGTAGTGGGTGACGGGGGCCAGGTGGTGGTAGTGGGTGACGGGGGGCCAGATGGTGGTAGTGGGTGACGGAGGTCAGGTGGTGGTAGTGGGTGACGGGGGCCAGGTGGAGGTAGTGGGTGACGGGGGTCAGGTGGTGGTAGTGGGTGACGGGGGCCAGGTGGTGGTAGTGGGTGACGGGGGCCAGGTGGTGGTAGTGGGTGACGGGGGCTAGGTGGTGGCAGTGGGTGACGGGTGGCCAGGCAGTGGTTGACGGGGGGCCAGGCAGTGGTTGACGGGGGGCCAGGCAGTGGGTGACGGGTGGCCAGGCAGTGGGTGACGGGGGGGGGACTCACCTGCACCTTGTAGACAGTGTCACCGTCTCCGTCCATCACTTGCTGGTACCCGAGCTGGAGGAAGGTGTTCCCGAACTGTGGGGGCAAGATGTCTCTCATTACCTCCAAGATGTCTCTCATTACCTCCAAGATGTCTCTCATTACCTCCAAGATGTCTCTCATTACCTCCAAGATGTCTCTCATTACCTCCAAGATGTCTCTCATTACCTCCAAGATGTCTCTCATTACCTCCAAGATGTCTCTCATTACCTCCAAGATGTCTCTCATTACCTCCAAGATGTCTCTCATTACCTCCAAGATGTCTCTCATTACCTCCAAGATGTCTCACATTTCCTTAAAAATGTCTCACATTACCTCCAAGATGTCTCTCATTACCTCCAAGATGTCTCTCATTACCTCCAAGATGTCTCACATTAACTCTAAGATGTCTCATATTTCCTTAAAAATGTCTCTCATTACCTCCAAGATGTCTCTCATTACCTCCAAGATGTCTCTCATTACCTCCAAGATGTCTCTCATTACCTCCAAGATCAGGGGGAGGGGTGGTGGCTGAAACAGGGGAGCGCACCTCAGCAAGGGAAAGCATTGGAGAGAGAAGCGAGGGCTAAAGGAACCTCCATAGCCGGGCCGAGGGCTCGACCACCGAAATGGGAGGGGATGCAGTGGTGGGTCGGAGTCAGAGGGTGGGGAAGAAAGTGACACATTCTTACCTGCTGGGGAGGAAGAAGGAGAGGGGCCAGGCTTACGTTTCTGACTTAAAGAAACAGGTGTGCCAGCAGCAACGTACTGGACGACAGACTCCATAGTCTCAATAGGAGAGAGTGAACGGTTGTGAGCAACATGAAGATTGCTGGGAGGATGATGGGCAACAGCCTGGACAGACAGGTGGTGTAAAGGGCAAAGAGACAAGGAGGGAAGGGTTGGAAAGAAGGATGGGGGGGGGGGGTTACGAGAAAGAAGAGACAGGAGACACTGCAGACTGGGAAGGAAGGAGGGAAACTTGTCCGAGTCCAAGGCCTGGAAACGGTTGTGAGACTGAGAAATTACGGAAGGGCGAGGAGAGGTGGAACGCAACACATGAACATAAGATATGCTAGGGAAAAAGGAGAGATGGCGGACTTGGTGTCTCGCCTCAGGAAAAGACAAACGATCGTGGTGCTTCAAATTGAGGATGGCTTCCTCAAATTTGTATTGTATACACGCGCAGGAGAAGGTGTGGTGGACGTCACCGCACCTGAGGCAGTGAACAAATCCACAAGGGCCGTGATGAGGGTACAAACCTATGCACGGGATGTTCCCAACTACGCCATGGTCAACTGTGCCCCGACATGGTAAAAAGAATTGCAACCTGGAGTGCTATTGCCCTCACCAGGATTCCGAAGCTTCTCTGATGCCCAATCGGGGTTTCACACAATTCCCCCATGCACCTTGGCTCTGTCAACCAAATGTTCCACCTCTACGCCCTTCAATACACACAGAAATCCAAATAGTGTGATATATCAAATGAACAAATCCACAAGGCCTGTGATAAGGGTTGATATATCACGCTATTGTGATTTCTGTGTGTATTGAAGAAATGGCATACAGATAGAACATTTTGTTGACAACAAGGGTCACACTTCCTTGTCGTTTGTAGTGAAGCTGTCTGCCCGTATCCTCAGTTTCATTCCTTGTTCCTTCACTGTTTTTCTTCTGGTGTGGTTGCCAGCAATTTACGATGAGTCTTCGCTTTATTTGCTGTAATTTCGTAGTCTTTCTGTCTCTCGTCTCAACCCGAGGTACTCATTCATGGCACTCTGGTATCTTTCTCTGCTCTCAAGTGTTCTGATATTTCTGTAGTTTCTCCATGCCCTTGTACTTAGTTGTTTTGATAGCTTACATCTGATTAAAGCATGGGTTTCTCATCGGCATTTAGTTTTTCTTTTTGGACCAGGACAAACTTGTCTGCTGCCTCCTTACACTTCTGCGTAATGTAGTCCATCATGTCTTGGGCCGTCTTTCCTCTGAGCACTGTTTCCCAAGTTACATCTGTTAGAAATTTCCTTATCTCCTCATAGTTTCCCTTCCAGAAAGCCGGCCTTTTGTTTTCTGGCCCCTTCCTTGAGTACATTAACCCTTCTTCAACCAGATACTTAAACACCAGTACACTGTGATCACTTATTCCCAAGGGGGCTTCCACGCTGATTTCCCTCATGTCAGAGTCTTTCAAAGTGAATACGAGATGAAGCCTCGCTGCTTCGTTGTTGCCTCTCATTCTTGTGGGTCCCTTGACTGTTGGCTTAATGTTTCTTGTTGCCACGTCCAATAGTTTAGCTCCCCATGTTTCTGTGCCTCCACTGTGGTACTTTCTTCTCCCGGTCTACCTTATCTTGAAGTCTTCCGTGAAAGGAAATCGGGGTCGATTTCTACAGGCGACAATCGCCTTCCCTTCAATTACAGTAGCATTTAGAAAACACCAGAGGCCCTGGCACAAAGCCCAGTGCTAGTATACACTATACATGAGTATGAATGACTTTGAAGTTCATGTATTCATAAACAAACAGGCTATAACTATGATGGTTTAACCCTAGGAGTTACTATGGTAGATATGCTTACCTGGCCGATCCTGAAGCTGAGGTTGTGGGTGTGGCTGGCCACCACCAGGATCACCTGGTCGGCCTCCAACTCGAAGAGGTCGAGCAGCAACTCCGTGTAGCCCTCAGCCTCCGAGTGTAGGAAGATGACGGCCCTCGGCTGGTGGTGTGTTAAGAGTACAGTTACACATACGAGTGTGATGCCCTCACACTCACTACGTACACACGGGTGTGATGCCCTCACACTACGTACACACGGGTGTGATGCCCTCACACTACGTACACACGGGTGTGATGCCCTCACACTACGTACACACGGGTGTGATGCCCTCACACTACGTACACACGGGTGTATGATGCCCTCACACTACGTACACACGGGTGTGATGCCCTCACACTACGTACACACGGGTGTGATGCCCTCACACTACGTACACACGGGTGTGATGCCCTCACACTACGTACACACGGGTGTGATGCCCTCACACTACGTACACAAAGGTGTACACTATCTTCATCACCATAACCATTTTCACTACCCATTATTTTCACCATCTTCAGTACACACTACCTTCACAATAACCATCTTCACTACTCACTGTCTTCATCACTATCTGACTCACTTTAACCTAAATGAATTTACTTAATCATTTGAAAGTGTCAAAAAAGAGTAAACTCATCTGCCCGTAGTAGACAACACGGGTAACAGTAAACTTACTAGTGACTAAAAGAATGTAAGAACTCTTGTATATATAAATACATAAATATTATAAATAAATATAAATAAATAAATATATAAATAAATTCTGCCCGAAACGCTGCGCGTGCTAGTGGCTTTACAAGACTGTAATTACCATATTTGTATCCTCACATTCCTTATGTACATTCTTGTATATGCATAAATAAATAAATCAATAAAATAAATAAATAAATAAATAAAAATATCAGAGGTATCTGACTCACCAAGGATGCTATCGAGGGACAAGTGACCGCGCGGGACGGTCGGGGGAAGCAAGGCCCACACACACATCACTACGGCACAAACATCCCAGATATAATTTCAGACTATGGAAATCGCAAGGGGGGGGGGGGGGGGGGGTAGGGGGGGTATGAGGGATGGGGGGGGGGGGGGTCTAGAGGCCTATGTTTTTTAAAGTGGGCAGTGGAGTCGACCCCGTCCAACCTGTGGTTCGTCCAATCCCTGATCACTCCCCCCTGCAAAGTTGGATGAGTCTAGCCCCGAGTACATGGCATCCAAGCATAGAAAGACATTGTTAAACAGATTGAGGTGGTATATACCCGTGCAACGGAGGACTGGTCGAAGGTGGAGGAGATGGTCAGCTCGGTGTCGATGCGTCGGTAGTTGCCTTTCAGCTGGTACTCCACCTCGGACTTGGGAACACCTTTGGTTTGCCTGAAGTATCTGAGGCTGGCGCCGCCTCCGGTGAGGTCCTCCTCCAGAACCACTCGGGCTTCGTTCTTGGTCGCATCCGTCTTCCAAGACATTTCTGCAAGTATGATAGAGTGTGCCACCTTCACTGTGGGTATTGGAGCGTGGCCGGGGTGGGCATTCCATAGTGCGTGTACAGTAGGTTGAGTGTACCTTCCATAGTGCGTGTATAATACGTTGAGTGTACCTTCTATAGTGCGTGTACAGTACGTTGAGTGTACCTTCCATAGTGCGTGTATAGTACATTGAGTGTACCTTCCATAGTGCGTGTACAGTACGTTGAGTGTACCTTCCATAGTGCGTGTACAGTACGTTGAGTGTACCTTCCATAGTGCGTGTAGAGTACGTTGAGTGTACCTTCCATAGTGCGTGTACAGTACGTTGAGTGTACCTTCCATAGTGCGTGTATAGTACATTGAGTGTACCTTCCATAGTGCGTGTACAGTACGTTGAGTGTACCTTCCATAGTGCGTGTACAGTACGTTGAGTGTACCTTCCATAGTGCGTGTAGAGTACGTTTAGTGCACCTTCTATTGTGGGGGCATTGTAGCTTCCTTGTGAAATTATAAGACAACCCGTCCTCTCACTAGGCTGGTTAAAGCATTCTGTCGGAAATCCGACACACATGTTAAGATAATATAGTTAGCCATTACCAAATTTAAAGAAAATGGGAGGTTTCGTAACGTCATCACAATAACAGGTATATATTAAACTCCAATTATTCTTTTAAACCGCAGTCTACTGTTTAAACTTAATAAAATAGTATTCACTAGGACTGAATATAAATAAATACACCAAAACCACAGGCTCCCTTGCTTATGTTAAATAAACTTAGAATACCTTTTTGATATTCCAAGAGTACGACTTAATCAAACTAGAAATGCTCTTCAAATCAAGGGACCCAGAATGTGGAATGACCTTCCCAACCATGTTAAAGACTGTACCTCTCCCAACCAGTTTAAGATAAAAACTAAGTACTACCTAATTAATTCCCTGTAACCTACCTTACCCCTATATTGTCAACCCATGTCTGTTATTTGTAAACAATGCTGTCTGTCAATCAAATTGTATTTTTGCTGTTTTTTCTGCCATGTTCCCCCCTTTTTTATTTTTGTATTTTTCTCAACACATTTTATACTTTAATCTCAATTAGTATTAAGTTTTAGTCTTTAGTGTTTTTCCTGCCCGAGACGCTTTGCGTAATAGTGGCTTTAGGCATTGTATGTACTAGCTCTATCTATAAATTCATCAATATTTGTATCACCTCTTGTATGTATGTACTTTACCTGAATAAACGTTTGAATTTGAATTTGAATAGTGACCGAATATTATTGGAACACCGCTAGGGAGAGGGCAGAGCAAGTCACGATCTCACACAGATACACAGAGCTTGTAAACAAAACATGGAGTGCTCCCAGAGATTTTGCGACACGCTTCTCACACGAGACTCCTGGTTCAATCTTGACGACGAGCGGATGTCTGGACACCAACTTCGTCTGGGGGGGCCGCGGGATCACTTTCTGTTTTTGCTTTTTGGATTTGATACTGTCGTTTGGCATTCTTCTTCAACGGTCTGGTTGTATGACGCCTGGCGCACATATCGCCTTGAGTCATGGGATTGTTGATAGATTTTTTGGGGGGCATGTTGTGGTTGGTTCTCCTGGCGGAGTGACGGTGTCCGGCTTGGCCGAGAAGTGCCGGGAATTGGTGGGTCTTGGTGGGCTCCCGGTGTGCCCTCAGACGTGGTGGGCGACTGGCTTCTGCTCTGCTGGAGGGCACTGGATGACTTTTGCGTTTTAGCTGGGGGCCGAACTTTGGTTTTGCTATCCAGTGTTCTCTGTGTGGGGCGGGGCCGGTGCTTGTCACTCTGGGGAACTCCTGGACCTCCCCAGTGTTCTCTGTGTGGGGCGGGGCCGGTGCTTGTCACTCTGGGGAACTCCTGGGGCTCCTCAATCATCTATCCGTTTGCGTTTCTTGGTCGTGAGGCATATTAGTTTCCAGTGATTGGCGTCACTTATTTCACGATTAGGCTTGGCATTTTACCTTTCCGGGCTTCGCGATTAATCCATCACGGGCACGCCAGGGTGCATTCGATCCCACGATCGTCGGCGCCCCTAAATCAACAACAACAACAGCAACTTCACACACGATGGACTATTGTATCCTAGTGACTCGCCACAGCAACCTCTACAACAACGGGAGTACCATAGTATCCGAATTGTGTAATATCTATAGTTTAGGAGCCCATTACTCTTGGATAAATATCATTTCGGTTACACTGTGGGGCGACACCCCCAAACATAGTAAGTTTACTCATCTTAACTACACATACAAATATCTCATGTCACACCTGTATTATATACGTTATTGTCAATTTTTACATTGCATTCATTTGGCAGGTAAGCTTGTGGCCTGGAGTATTAGTGGAGCTGGTCACCTGATAACCCGTGGCTTCTTGTATACCCTAGCTGCTCCACAGACACCTCACAGTGCTAGACGCCATCACATTTTTTTTTTTTTTTTTTTTTTTTTTTTTAGATATATACAAGAGTTGTTACATTCTTGTACAGCCACTAGTACGCGTAGCGTTTCGGGCAAGTCCTTAATCCTATGGTCCCTGGAATACGATCACCGCCGCGAAGAATCGTTTTTTCATCCAAGTACACATTTTACTGTTGCGTTAAACAGAGGCTACAGTTAAGGAATTGCGCCCAGTAAATCCTCCCCGGCCAGGATACGAACCCATGACATAGCGCTCGCGGAACGCCAGGCGAGTGTCTTACCACTACACCACGGAGACTGTAATATATGGCACAACTAAATATGAGTATGGGTATATGGTATATGAGACGGTATATATAGGTATATGAGACATGGCACAACTAAACTACATGTGACCCACCAAACACAGATGTTGGGACCACATGACGCCTAATCAGGCCATAGCAACTATCACAGTTAAGGCCACCAATTTCCCTTATATTAACACAGTAGATAACTGAAGTATTAACCAGAATACTGTAGTTTAATTACCACTATACAATACAATACAATACAATACAATTTTATTTAGGTAAGGTACATACATACAATAAATATTTACAAGGATTGTTTGACTTATAGGTAGAGCTAGTACATACAATGCCTAAAGCCACTATTACGCAAAGCGTTTCGGGCATGAAATATGTGGTATATGTGGTATAATTTATATTAAGTAAGGTGTACCTTACATTTAATAATTCCAGCGTGTATAACTTATTATATAACCACCAGTTGTGATATAGGCAGCACACATGCCAACAACTATGTGTAGCAGGTAAATTCTGGCAGGCTGAATTTAAAATACAGTCCACTTGGAATCATAATTCAATATTGAAGTAAATAAAAAAATAAAAAATAATGATCATTAATTAAAAAAATAAAAAATAATGATCATTAATTAAAAAATTAATTAATTACTGCCTGCAATTATTACTTCACACATGCGTCCCCAGAATCACTCAACTAACATACTGTGTATTAAAAATGGGTTTGTTCTCATATATAAATTAATATTATTATACATAAAAAAATCTATGTATAGTTAGGCATAGGCTAGGTTAGATGTTTAGGTTCTGTTGGCGATTATTTGTGTTTGAAGTACATGCGTGAAGGTCTTACTGTACCCGGCAGTACCCGGGTCCCTGGAGGGAAAGCAGTGTGGTTGTGGGGTCTTACTGTACCCGGCAGTACCCGGGTCCCTGGAGGGAAAGCAGTGTGGTTGTGGGGTCTTACTGTACCCGGCAGTACCCGGGTCCCTGGAGGGTAAGATGTGTGATGGTGGGGTCTTACTGTACTCGGCGGTGCCCGGGTCCCTGGAGACGTCCAGAGTGGCCTCCAAGGTGGTGGTGGCCGCAGGGTCGTCGTAGGTGAAGCCAGACGGGTCGTACAGCTCAAAGGGATACTCGTAGAGCGTTTCGTAAGCGGAGCTGGCCACTGGAGACGGAGACTAGAACACACACATGCAATTTATATATACATTTTAACCTACAATAGCAACCAAATGTTGATATCAGAATATTTCATAAACCTTAAATTAAAATCTAATTAGTACTAGGATAACAATCAGTACGTAATGGGGCAATTATTAACATCAGAGTACCTCCGATATACTTCTAAATTGACATATTGTCCGGACTATAATTATACCCGCCAAACACACACCGAAACTACGACGTTGGCGCAACGTTCGAACAAGTTTTAAGCCCTCCTAACCAGTTATAACAACCAATATAGCAAGTTGTAACAACGTTCTAATACGTCATAAACACGTTAAGCCAAGATGTAACAACTTTATTACAAGTTGTAACAAGCGGAAAATAGAGACAGTTTCGGTTTGTGTTTCCAGGGTAGTACCAGGACATTTAGTAACTAAGTGTTTTGTACTAGAAGATGAAGAGTGTGATCAAAGCCTTACTTCAAGAACCGTCCGCTGAACGAAGAACTTGTATTTCTGTCTATTGCTGTTCCTTCTGGACGCTTCTACCTGTAGCTTCAGCGGGGTGGTTCTCTTCTTCTTGTGCTGCTGAGTGTAGGTGAGGGAGCCGCTGTGGCCGCTCCACCAGTCACTGCTGCCTGCCCACCACCACAAGTTACAACCATTATTGCAACAACATTTTTATTAAGTTCACAAATGTCTTTATTTTGTATGTGTGTGTGTCTTTAATCAAGATCTTCTGTGGTGGTTGGTAGTAGTCTGACCTGTGTCACACTCTGGACTTGTTACTGTAGTGGTTGGTAGTACTCTGACCTGTGTCACACTCTAGACTTGTTACTGTGGTGGTTGGTAGTACTCTGACCTGTGTCACACTCTGGACTTGTTACTGTGGTGGTTGGTAGTACTCTGACCTGTGTCACACTCTGGACTTGTTACTGTGGTGGTTGGTAGTTCTCTGACCTGTGTCACACTCTGGACTTGTTACTGTGGTGGTTAGTAGTACTCTGACCTGTGTCACACTCTGGACTTGTTACTGTGGTGGTTGGTAGTACTCTGACCTGTGTCACACTCTGGACTTGTTACTGTGGTGGTTGGTAGTACTCTGACCTGTGTCACACTCTGGACTTGTTACTGTGGTGGTTGGTAGTACTCTGACCTGTGTCACACTCTGGACTTGTTACTGTGGTGGTTGGTAGTGCTCTGACCTGTGTCACACTCTGGACTTGTTACTGTGGTGGTTGGTAGTAGTCTGACCTGTGTCACACTCTGGACTTGTTACTGTGGTGGTTGGTAGTAGTCTGACCTGTGTCACACTCTGGACTTGTTACTGTGGTGGTTGGTAGTGCTCTGACCTGTGTCACACTCTGGACTTGTTACTGTGGTGGTTGGTAGTAGTCTGACCTGTGTCACACTCTGGACTTGTTACTGTGGTGGTTGGTAGTACTCTGACCTGTGTCACACTCTGGACTTGTTACTGTGGTGGTTGGTAGTAGTCTGACCTGTGTCACACTCTGGACTTGTTACTGTGGTGGTTAGTAGTAGTCTGACCTGTGTCACACTCTGGACTTGTTACTGTGGTGGTTGGTAGTACTCTGACCTGTGTCACACTCTGGACTTGTTACTGTGGTGGTTGGTAGTAGTCTGACCTGTGTCACACTCTGGACTTGTTACTGTGGTGGTTGGTAGTACTCTGACCTGTGTCACACTCTGGACTTGTTACTGTGGTGGTTGGTAGTAGTCTGACCTGTGTCACACTCTGGACTTGTTACTGTGGTGGTTAGTAGTAGTCTGACCTGTGTCACACTCTGGACTTGTTACTGTGGTGGTTGGTAGTAGTCTGACCTGTGTCACACTCTGGACTTGTTACTGTGGTGGTTGGTAGTGCTCTGACCTGTGTCACACTCTGGACTTGTTACTGTGGTGGTTGGTAGTACTCTGACCTGTGTCACACTCTGGACTTGTTACTGTGGTGGTTGGTAGTTCTCTGACCTGTGTCACACTCTGGACTTGTTACTGTGGTGGTTGGTAGTTCTCTGACCTGTGTCACACTCTGGACTTGTTACTGTGGTGGTTGGTAGTACTCTGACCTGTGTCACACTCTGGACTTGTTACTGTGGTGGTTGGTAGTACTCTGACCTGTGTCACACTCTGGACTTGTTACTGTGGTGGTTGGTAGTACTCTGACCTGTGTCACACTCTGGACTTGTTACTGTGGTGGTTGGTAGTTCTCTGACCTGTGTCACACTCTGGACTTGTTACTGTGGTGGTTGGTAGTACTCTGACCTGTGTCACACTCTGGACTTGTTACTGTGGTGGTTGGTAGTACTCTGACCTGTGTCACACTCTAGACTTGTTACTGTGGTGGTTGGTAGTACTCTGACCTGTGTCACACTCTAGACTTGTTACTCTGACCAACAAAGACGGTAACTGTCTTCAGCGACAGTTGAAACCATCAGAGACAAACTATATAATCAACAGATGACATGAAAGAAGTGGTGAGGTGTAGAGGGAATACTTAAGCTGTACAGTTGTAGAGGGAATACTTAAGCTTAACAGTTACAAGATAAACTTACTGAAGATGAGGCGGCCGTGCAGGAGGTGACTGAGTGAAGGCGAGTTGAGTGCCAGCTCCAGGCGAGTGTCCTTGCCCTTCAGCACTGACCCCGTCATCTTGACCTCAGGCCAGAGGTCAGGGAACTCCGCCTCCAGCTGTACCTGTTGACAACCACACTCATCATCACACACACGCCCTCACTGTTGACAACCACACTCATCATCACACACGCCCTCACTGTTGACAACCACACTCATCATCACACACGCCCTCACTGTTGACAACCACACTCATCATCACACACGCCCTCACTGTTGACAACCCACACTCATCATCACACACACGCCCTCACTGTTGACAACCACGCTCATCATCACACACGCCCTCACTGTTGACAACCACACTCATCATCACACACGCCCTCACTGTTGACAACCACACTCATCATCACACACACGCCCTCACTGTTGACAACCACGCTCATCATCACACACGCCCTCACTGTTGACAACCACATCATCACACACACACCCTCACTGTTGACAACCACACTCATCATCACACACGCCCTCACTGTTGACAACCACGCTCATCATCACACACGCCCTCACTGTTGACAACCACACTCATCATCACACACACGCCCTCACTGTTGACAACCACACTCATCATCACACACACCCCTCACTGTTGACAACCACACTCATCATCACACACGCCCTCACTGTTGACAACCACACTCATCATCACACACACGCCCTCACTGTTGACAACCACACTCATCATCACACACGCCCTCACTGTTGACAACCACACTCATCATCACACACACCCTCACTGTTGACAACCACGCTCATCATCACACACGCCCTCACTGTTGACAACCACACTCATCATCACACACACGCCCTCACTGTTGACAACCACACTCATCATCACACACACCCTTACTGTTGACAACCACACTCATCATCACACACGCCCTCACTGTTGACAACCACACTCATCATCACACACACGCCCTCACTGTTGACAACCACACTCATCATCACACACGCCCTCACTGTTGACAACCACACTCATCATCACACACACCCTCACTGTTGACAACCACACTCATCATCACACACGCCCTCACTGTTGACAACCACACTCATCATCACACACGCCCTCACTGTTGACAACCACGCTCATCATCACACACGCCCTCACTGTTGACAACCACGCTCATCATCACACACGCCCTCACTGTTGACAACCACACTCATCATCACACACGCCCTCACTGTTGACAACCACACTCATCATCACACACACCCTCACTGTTGACAACCACACTCATCATCACACACGCCCTCACTGTTGACAACCACACTCATCATCACACACGCCCTCACTGTTGACAACCACACTCATCATCACACACGCCCTCACTGTTGACAACCACACTCATCATCACACACACGCCCTCACTGTTGACAACCACGCTCATCATCAAGAATGATAGGGGGCGGAAGAGTCCTACTATCGAAGATAAGTTTCACAACTCGAAGGGGCTGATGGCTCCGATCACGAGAGGCTCGAGTGAACGTGTTCACCTGGAGGACAGGTTGGCCTTAGGCTCGAGGATATGTTTAATATCCTCATGGCAGTCTTTTAGGTCATTAACACCATTTGCACTATGGTACAGGAGGAGAACAGTGCCAACACTGGCATTTAACCGAGAGTTTTTGAAGACCCAAACAGGGGTCTCCCTAATGCAGGACAAGGCGGCTAAGTGAGTAGCTGCATCCTGAGAAGGAACAGAGACGTCACGTGTACTGAAACGAGTGGGATTAAAAGTAACAGATGTATCTCCCGAATCAACAAGGTGTTTATGGAGGGAGAAATCGTCAGATGGTATAGAATCCAGATGGTGGAGATGATAGTATTTAGCCCACGAAGCAGGACAAACAAGGTGTGGTACATATTAGTATGAGAAGGAATCGTGGGAGTGCGGCCGTGGCGGGGACGGCGTTGAGAACCCCGGGAGAGAGAGGGGTTAAAAGGCGCAGTAGTCACAATGAGAGACTGAGCCGTGCCAGGGGACGAGGTAGTCACCACTGGGGGCTTGGAGCTCGACCCAACCACAGAGGAGGGAGGGGAGCTGAGTTGAGTAGTCAGGAGAGTCAAAAGAGGAGCTAGGTCTGGGCCCGATGTAGCGAGGCCACAGAGCCCGGTCTTCCAACACAGTCCGACTCGGGGGCTTGGTCGCCCACCCCACGAGCTTGAGAAGTCATAAGAGAAACAGTATTCAGTGACATGAAAACTAGAGGTAATACTTTCATTCACGAATATGGCCCCGTACCCACCACGGAGCCACAGTTAAAGGATAGGACACCCAACAAGAGACAGGTCTTGCCGGGGAGGGGGGGCCCGAGGGGAGGGGGGTCCCGAGGGGTGCGGCGTTAGTATACTCCCAATAATCGCCACCTTATTGACAATAACAGCGTCCCCCTCGCTCGCGACGTTGGGTACCACAGTTGTACGGGTGAGAGAGTGAGCCGTCCCAAGCACCCAGGTGTCAAAACAGAAGATGTCCGGAACAATAATCAAGACTGGGAAAAGGTCGGCGGGAAGTGACAATGAGAAAGGAGAAGAGAGGGGAGGGAAAAATGCAACATAAGAAAAAGGAAAAGATATCCGGCAGAATTCGAGAAGACAGCAGCAGGAGCATGAGGCTTCTAAAGGACAGACAACTGTCCTAATGCTAATAACTACAACTACAACACCTAACAGGCTAGTAACTATAACACCTAACAGGCTAATAACTACAACTACAACACCTAACAGGCTAATAACTACAACACCTAACAGGCTAATAACTACAACTACAACACCTAACAGGCTAATAACTACAACTACAACACCTAACAGGCTAATAACTACAACTACAACACCTAACAGGCTAATAACTACAACTACAACACCTAACAGGCTAATAACTACAACACCTAACAGGCTAATAACTACAACTACAACACCTAACAGTTTAGTAACTACAACTACAACACCTAACAGGCTAGTAACTACAACTACAACACCTAACAGGCTAGTAACTACAACTACAACACCTAACAGGCTAATAACTACAACTACAACACCTAACAGGCTAATAACTACAACTACAACACCTAACAGGCTAATAACTACAACTACAACACCTAACAGGCTAATAACTACAACACCTAACAGGCTAATAACTACAACTACAACACCTAACAGTTTAGTAACTACAACTACAACACCTAACAGGCTAGTAACTACAACTACAACACCTAACAGATTAGTAACTACAACTACAACACCTAACTGGCTAATAACTACAACACCTAACAGGCTAATAACTACAACTACAACACCTAACAGGCTAGTAACTACAACTACAACACCTAACAGTCTAGTAACTACAACTACAACACCTAACAGGCTAGTAACTACAACTACAACACCTAACAGGCTAGTAACTACAACTACAACACCTAACAGGCTAGTAACTAACGCGTAACAACAGGCCATAAAGGAAGACACTTGAGGTAAAGATAACCCTAATGTTTGGAGAGGAGTCATCTATCGCCATGATAGACGGTTGTTTACTGACCTGTGGTTTACTGATCAATAGACCAAACTATGGTAGACTATCATATCTTGAATTATGGTATTAAGAAGAGCAATTATAGACGCCTCTATAATGATGAATATCGTATAATGTGTGATGAATAATGTGTTGTGATGGTGTACATTAGTGATGATTGTGTGTGTGAGGGTAAGTGAACCTTGTCAACCTGGGGGTAAACTGAGGCGGTGTACTGGAGGAAGGGTTTACCTCGTCAAACTTGTTGTGGAGGAGGAGGAGGAGGAACCTGTAGTCGTGGAGGAGGCGGTGCAGGTGGTGGTAGGTGAAGCGGTCCGCTGACTTCACCAGCCTCACCTTCTGCTTGATGTCTCGCTGCACCTCCGTCACCAGTCTGTAGGGAGACACCGTCATGGTGATGTGGTCGCCGGCCACACTAACACGCCGTCATGGTGATGTGGTCGCCGGCCACACTAACACGCCGTCATGGTGATGTGGTCGCCGGCCACACTAACACGCCGTCATGGTGATGTGGTCGCCGGCCACACTAACACGCCGTCATGGTGATGTGGTCGCCGGCCACACTAACACGCCGTCATGGTGATGTGGTCGCCGGCCACACTAACACGCCGTCATGGTGATGTGGTCGCCGGCCACACTAACACGCCGTCATGGTGATGTGGTCGCCGGCCACACTAACACGCCGTCATGGTGATGTGGTCGCCGGCCACACTAACACATCGTCATGGTGATGTGGTCGCCGGCCACACTAACACGCCGTCATGGTGATGTGGTCGCCGGCCACACTAACACACCGTCATGGTGATGTGGTCGCCGGCCACACTAACACGCCGTCATGGTGATGTGGTCACCGGCCACACTAATACATCGTCATGGTGATGTGGTCACCGGCCACACTAACACGCCGTCATGGTGATGTGGTCGCCGGCCACACTAACACGCCGTCATGGTGATGTTACGTACTGCTCAACCAGTGTGTTTATCTCAGTACACCTGCTTGTCACACACTTGTCTCTCACCTGTGTCACACCCTTGTCTCTCTCCTTTGTCACACCCTTGTCTCTCTCCTTTGTCACACACCACACGTGTCTCTCTCCTGTGTTACACCCTTGTCTCTCTCCTGTGTCACACCCTTGTCTCTCTCCTGTGTCACACCCTTGTCTCTCTCCTGTGTCACACCCTTGTCTCTCTCCTTTGTCACATCCTTGTCTCTCTCCTTTGTCACACCCTTGTCTCTCTCCTGTGTCACACCCTTGTCTCTCACCTGTGTGTGTCTCACCCTTGTGTCACACCCTTGTCTCTCTCTCCTGTGTCACCCCTTGGCTATCACCAGTGTCACACCCTTTTCTCTCTCCTGTGTCACACCCTTGTCTCTCAACTGTGTGTGTCAAACCCTTGTCTCTCTCTCCTGTGTCACACCCTTGTCTCTCTCTCCTGTGTCACACCCTTGGCTATCACCAGTGTCACACCCTTGTCTCTCTCCTGTGTCACACCCTTGTCTCTCTCCTGTGTCACACCCTTGTCTCTCACCTGTGTGTGTCTCACCCTTGTCTCTCTCTCCTGTGTCACACCCTTGTCTCTCTCTCCTGTGTCACACCCTTGGCTATCACCAGTGTCACACCCTTGTCTCTCTCCTGTGTCACACCCTTGTCTCTCTCCTGTGTCACACCCTTGTGTCTCACCTGTGTCACACCCTTGGCTCTCTCCTGTGTCACACCCTTGTGTCTCACCTGTGTCACACCCTTGTATCTCTCCTGTGTCACACCCTTGTTTCTCTCCTGTGTCACACCCTTGGCTCTCTCCTGTGTCACACCTTGTGTCTCACCTGTGTCACACCCTTGTCTCTCTCTCCTGTGTCACACCCTTGTGTCTCACTCACCTGTGTCACACCCTTGTATCTCTCCTGTGTCACACCCTTGTATCTCTCCTGTGTCACACCCTTGGCTCTCTCCTGTGTCACACCCTTGTGTCTCACCTGTGTCACACCCTTGTCTCTCACATGTGTGTGTGTCACACTCTTGTCTCTCACATGTGTGTGTCACACTCTTGTCTCTCACCTGTGTGTGTGTCACACTCTTGTCTCTCACATGTGTGTGTGTCACACCCTTGTCTCTCACATGTGTGTGTGTCACACTCTTGTCTCTCACATGTGTGTGTCACACTCTTGTCTCTCACCTGTGTGTGTGTCACACTCTTGTCTCTCACATGTGTGTGTGTCACACCCTTGTTTCTCACCTGTGTGCGTGTCACACCCTTGTCTCTCACATGTGTGTGTGTCACACTCTTGTCTCTCACATGTGTGTGTCACACTCTTGTCTCTCACCTGTGTGTGTGTCACACTCTTGTCTCTCACCTGTGTCACACCCTGGTCTCTCGCCTGTCACACCCTTGTCTCTCTCCTGTATCACACCCTTGTCTCTCACCTGTGTGTGTCTCACCCTTGTCTCTAACCTGTGTCACATCTTTGTCTCACCTATGTGTGTCTCACCCTTGTCTCTCACCTTTCTCTCTCACCTGTGTGTGTCTCACCCTTGTCTCTCACCTGTGTCACACCCTTGTCTCTCACCTGTGTGTGTCACACCCTTGTCTCACACCTGTGTGTCTACCTGCGTGTCTACCGTTCTGTTTACGTAAATTCTGTCTACCCGAGTCTGTCTATACATGTATATCATCTGTGTATAAAACAAATATATCTCTCAATTAAATCTTACCCTTGTCTCACTGTGTGTGTCTCACCACTCAGCCACCTGTGTCACATCTTTGTCTCTATGTGTGTCTCACCCTTGTCTCTCAGCCACCTGTACCCTCCCACTCAGCCACCTGTCCCTCCCCATTCAGCTCACCTGTCCCTCCCCACTCAGCCACCTGTACCCTCCCACTCAGCCACCTGTCCCTCCCCACTCAGCCACCTGTCCCTCGCCACTGCAGCCACCTGTTCTCCCCACTCAGCCACCTGTCCCTCCCGACTCAGTCTATACCTGTACCCTCCCCACTCAGCCACCTGTATCAAACTCAGCCACCTGTACCCTCCCCACTCAGCCACCTGTACCCTCCCCACTCAGCCACCTGTACCCTCCCCACTCAGCCACCTGTCCCTCCCCATTCAGCCACCTGTCCCTCCCCACTCAGCCACCTGTACCCTCCCCACTCAGCCACCTGTCCCTCCCCACTCAGCCACCTGTCCCTCCCCACTCAGCCACCTGTACCCTCCCCACTCAGCCACCTGTACCTCACCACTCAGCCACCTGTACCCTCCCCTCTCAGCCACCTGTACCCTCCCCACTCAGCCACCTGTCCCTCCCCACTCAGCCACCTGTACCCTCCCCACTCAGCCACCTGTACCCTCCCCACTCAGCCACCTGTCCCTCCCCATTCAGCCACCTGTCCCTCCCCACTCAGCCACCTGTACCCTCCCCACTCAGCCACCTGTCCCTCCCCACTCAGCCACCTGCCCCTCCCCCACTCAGCTACCTGTACCCTCCCCACTCAGCCACCTGTACCTCACCACTCAGCCACCTGTACCCTCCCCACTCAGCCACCTGTACCCTCCCCACTCAGCCACCTGTCCCTCCCCACTCAGCCACCTGTCCCTCCCCACTCAGCCACCTGTCCCTCCCCACTCAGCCACCTGTCCCTCCCCACTCAGCCACCTGTACCCTCCCCACTCAGCCACCTGTACCTCCCCACTCAGCCACCTGTCCGTCCCCACTCAGCCACCTGTACCTCACCACTCAGCCAACTGTACCTCCACACTCAGCCACCTGTACCTCCCCACTCAGCCACCTGTACCTCCCCACTCAGCCACCTGTACCTCCCCACTCAGCCACCTGTACCTCACAACTCAGCCATCTGTACCTCCCCACTCAGCCACCTGTTCCTCCCCACTCAGCCACCTGTACCTCACCACTCAGCCACCTGTCCCTCCCCACTCAGCCACCTGTACCTCACCACTCAGCCATCTGTTCCTCCCCACTCAGCCACCTGTACCTCCCCACTCAGCCACCTGTACCTCCCCACTCAGCCACCTGTACCTCCCCACTCAGCCACCTGTACCTCGCCACTCAGCCACCTGTACCTCCCCACTCAGCCACCTGTACCTCACCACTCAGCCACCTGTCCCTCCCCACTCAGCCACCTGTACCTCCCCACTCAGCCACCTGTACCTCGCCACTCAGCCACCTGTCCCTCCCCACTCAGCCACCTGTACCTCACCACTCAGCCACCTGTACCTCCCCACTCAGCCACCTGTACCTCCACACTCAGCCACCTGTACCTCACCACCCAGCCACCTGTACCTCACCACTCAGCCACCTGTACCTCACCACTCAGCCACCTGTACCTCACCACTCAGCCACCTGTACCTCACCACCCAGCCACCTGTACCTCACCACTCAGCCACCTGTACCTCGCCACTCAGCCACCTGTGCCTCCCCACTCAGCCACCTGTCCCTCCCCACTCAGCCACCTGTACCTCACCACTCAGCCATCTGTACCACCCTACTCAGCCACCTGTACCTCTCCACTCAGCCACCTGTACCTCCTCACTCAGCCACCTGTACCTCCCCACTCAGCCACCTGTACCTCACCACTCAGCCACCTGTACCTCACCTGTAGGTGTATATCCACCGGGGCGAGGCAGCGGTCTGGGAGAGGAGGGCCGCGAGCTCCGTCGTGCCTCCCTCCGTCCGACGGACCATCTTGACGGTGTAGCCGCGCGGGTCGCTGATGAGGGAGCTGTTGATGGTGGCGGAGACCTGCTCCCCTCCCTCCATCACCCTGCGGGGACACACAGGTCTTACTGGTCATCATTCACTGTCATACAGGTCTTACTGGTCATCATTCACTGTCATACAGGTCTTACTGGTCATCATTCACTGTCATACAGGTCTTACTGGTCATCATTCACTGTCATACAGGTCTTACTGGTCATCATTCACTGTCATACAGGTCTTACTGGTCATCATTCACTGTCATACAGGTCTTACTGGTCATCATTCACTGTCATACAGGTCTTACTGGTCATCATTCACTGTCATACAGGTCTTACTGGTCATCATTCACTGTCATACTGGTCTTACTGGTGATCATACTCTGTCATACAGGTCTTACTGGTCATCATTCACTGTCATACAGGTCTTACTGGTCATCATTCACTGTCATACAGGTCTTACTGGTCATCATTCACTGTCATACAGGTCTTACTGGTCATCATTCACTGTCATACAGGTCTTACTGGTCATCATACACTGTCATATAGGTCTTACTGGTCATCATTCACTGTCAGACTGGTCATCATACACTGTCATACAGGTCTTACTGCTCATTATACACTGTCATACAGGTCTTACTGGTCATCATACACTGTCATACAGGTCTTACTGGTCATCATACACTGTCATACAGGTCTTACTGGTGATCATACTCTGTCATACAGGTCTTACTGGTCATCATTCACTGTCATACAGGTCTTACTGGTCATCATTCACTGTCATACAGGTTTTACTGGTCATCATACACTGTCATACAGATCTTACTGGTCATCATACACTGTCATACAGGTCTTACTGGTCATCATACACTGTCATACAGGTCTTACTGGTCATCATACTCTGTCATACTGGTCTTACTGGTCATCATTCACTGTCATACAGGTCTTACTGGTCATCATTCACTGTCATACAGGTCTTACTGGTCATCATTCACTGTCATACAGGTCTTACTGGTCATCATACACTGTCATACAGGTCTTACTGGTGATCATACTCTGTCATACTGGTCATCATACGGTGTCATACAGGTCTTACTGGTGATCATACACTGTCATACAGGTCTTACTGGTCATCATACACTGTCATACAGGTCTTACTGGTGATCATACTCTGTCATACTGGTCATCATACGGTGTCATACAGGTCTTACCGGTCATCATACACTGTCATACAGGTCTTACTGGTCATCATACGGTGTCATACAGGTCTTACTGCTCATTATACATTGTCATACAGGTCTTACTGGTCATCATACAGTGTCATACAGGTCTTACTGCTCATTATACACTGTCATACAGGTCTTACTGGTCATCATACACGGCCATACAAGTCTTACTGCTCATCATACACTGTCATACATCTAGGTCTGTTAGAGCATCTAGGTCCAGCAACATTGTGTTCTAGGTGACATTAATTTTAGTGGAATAAACTGGATTAACAGAACAGGGAATTAGGAAGCAGATTTTCTAGAATTAATTGGCGATTGTTTTCCTTACGCAACACAAAAGGGAACCAACGCGGGAAATAAATATTTTAGATTTATTGTTAACTAACAGTGGAACACTAATTCATAACATCGAAATAGGGAGTGAGTTAGGAAACAGTGATCAAAAAGAAATCAGATTTAGTATAAAATGGAATAGATCTGTAGGAGAAAATTCTGTTAAGTGCCAGATTTTCGAAATGCTGATTTTAATACTGATTTTTTATTTTAATAATAATAAGAAATTTTTTGGGATCAAATAGATTTGGGCATGGGGAGTGAGCGGGTCTTGGAGCGAGACGTGAACCCAGCGATGGGTGATGTAAAAAGTGATTTCGATGTGGAATCAAAATATAACTTATTTAAACATATTCTAAGCAAAGAACAGGAACGAAGTATAAATTATTCGCGTACCACCCGTGTTAAAAGTTTATCTTTATCTACCCTGTAAATTCCTCTGAGAATTTTGTAGGTAGTAATTTGCAACTATTACTAACCTATCAACGGTATAGGTTAAGTAATAATTGTAATTAAGAAGCAATAAGATGCTTATCCTAACATACTAAGAAGGTTAGGTGAGGTCGGTGTTTTCTATGAAGCTTTTCAAGGTAAATTAAAATATTCACAATCAATTAGTATGTCACATATGCACTTATTAAATAAGCCAATATTGACTATAAGCAAGTGCGAGAACGGGTTGTATGTATGTGGTGTTCAAGATTCTAAACGATTCCTTACACAGGTTCCTGAAGGCTGTTCTGATGTTAGCCAGCCTTGCATATGCCGCAGATGTAATTCTTTTTATGTGGGCTTCAGGAGACAGGTTTGGTGTGATATCAACCCCTAGATCTTTCTCTCTGTCCGTTTCATTAGTATTTCATCTCCTATTCTGTATCATGTGTCTGGCCTCCTGTTTCCACCGCCTAGTTTCATTACTTTGCATTTACTCGGGTTAAACTTTAGCAGTCAATTGTTGGACCATTCATTCAGTCTGTCTAGGTCGTCCTGTAGCCTCCTACTATCATAATCTGTTTCAATCCTTCTCATAATTTTTGCATCATCAGCAAACATTGAGAGAAACGATTCTATACCCTCTGGAAGATCATTTACATATATCAGAAACAGTATTGGTCCAAGGACTGACCCTAGCGGGACTCCACTTGTGAGGTCTCGCCAATCCGAGACCTCACCCCTAACAGTAACTCATTGTCTTCTGTTACTTAGGTACTCCCTTATCCAACGGAGTACCTTCCCTTTCACTCCAGCCTGCATCTCCAGCTTTTTCACTATCCTCTTGTGTGGTACTGTATCAAAGGCTTTTTGACAATCCAAAAATATGCAGTCTGCCCACCCCTCTCTTTCTTGCCTGACTTTTGTTGCCTGGTCGTAGAATTCAATTAGCCCTGTGAGGCAGGACTTGCCATCCCTGAACCCATGTTGATGCTGTGTTACAAAGTTCTTTCGCTCTAGATGTTCCACTAGCTTTCTTCTCCATCAGCTTGCATGGTATGCAGGTTAGGGACACTGGCCTGTAGTTCAGTGCCTCCTGCCAATCCCGTTTCTTGTATATTGGAACTACATTAGCTGCTTTCCAAATTTCTGGCGGTTCCCCTGTTTCCAAGGGAAACTGCCAGAATTTGTTATACACTATGGAGAGTGGCAGGCACAGTGCTTCTGCTCCTTCCCGTGACTATGCAGCAATTTAGTTTGAGTCTTTGCCTTGCTTTCGATGTCATTTCCGTATTGTCTTTCTGCCTCTCTTCTCATCCTGACATATTAATTCCTGGAACTCTGGTATCTATCTCTGCTCTTTCTGTATGTGTGTGTGTGTGTGTGTGTGTGTGTGTGTGTGTGTGTGTGTGTGTGTGTGTGTGTGTGTGTGTGTGTGTGTGTGTGTGTGTGTGTGTGTGTGTGTGTGTGTGTGTGTGTGTGTGTGTGTGTGTGTGTGTGTGTGTGTGTGTGTGTGTGTGTGTGTGTGTTGTGTGTGTGTGTGTGTGTGTGTGTGTGTGTGTGTGTGTGTGTGTGTGTGTGTGTGTGTGTGTGTGTGTGTGTGTGTGTGTGTGTGTGTGTGTGTGTGTGTGTGTGTGTGTGTGTGTGTGTGTTGTGTGTTGTGTGTGTGTGTGTGTTGTGTGTGTGTTGTGTGTGTGTTGTGTGTGTGTGTGTGTTGTGTGTGTTGTGTGTTGTGTGTTGTGTTGTGTGTGTGTGTGTGTGTTGTGTGTGTTGTGTGTGTGTGTGTTGTGTGTTGTGTGTTGTGTGTTGTGTGTTGTGTGTGTGTGTGTGTGTGTGTGTGTGTGTGTGTGTGTGTGTGTGTGTGTGTGTGTGTGTGTGTGTGTGAGTGTGAGTGTGGAAAAAAATTAGTTAGTTGTTAGTAACAGTTAATTGATTGACAGTTGAGAGTCGAGTCGAAAGAGCAAAGTTCAACCCCCGCAAGCACAACTAGGTGAATACGCACTGACACTCACACATCATGCCATCTCTCCTTTTCAAAAGTACTGTTTCGAGCAAGAGTTAAAGTGTATGCATCTTACACATATATATTAAAGCTCATCTCAAATGCCATACATTTTAGGTATTTACACACTGGAAAAGTTAGTCTTCCGTTGAACTTACTTTACAATATATACTTAAGAGAAAGGTTAAGAGAGGAAGGTTAGGTGTAGAGGGAAAGAGGAAGATATAACAGATAAGAGGGATGGGGAGTAAATATTCCAAGACTACCAAATATTATTATAAATGATAGTTAATTTCTCACCTAACTTCTCTACTTAATGCATTGTGTTATTTAACTAGGAAAACTTCCCATACGATGCATGACCGAGTCAATACATTCTAACTCATCCTACCCAGACCTAACCTATCATAGGTTTCCCTCCTAATACACCCTGGTCTAATGTCACAGTATTAGGGAGGTGGGGAAGGGCAGGTAAATGGGGATTAACCTATGCTCCAGATCCCATCTTCCCTGTGCTCAGCTGAGCAAACATTTGAGGGTTATGACCGAAAAGTAAGATTAATAATTCTAACACGAATTTTCTCTATCTTTCTTATGTTTCTTTTCACTGTTGATGGTAATTCAAAGATCAATTCTCCAAAATTCATTTTTATTTCTAGTCTGACGCGACACTTGAGCGCGTTTCGTAAAACTTATTACATTTTCAAAGACTTTAGTTTACAAACACACAACTGAAACTGAATAGAGCTTTCACATCTTCGAGGTTTATATCTACATTTGGGTGAGGTGGATGAGGTGAAAAACGAACTTTCAACAATGGGTATTCAATGGGTATTAAATTCCAACACAAGACAGAACACGAAACAATGGGTATTGAATGGGTATTAAATTCAAACACAAGACAGAACACGAAACAATGGGTATTGAATGGAAGTAATTGTAGAAAGCCTATTGGTCCATATTTCTTGATGCTTCTATATTGGAGCGGAGTCTTGAAGTGGGTAGAATATAGTTGTGCATTAATTGGCTGTTGATTGCTGGTGTTGACTTCTTGATGTGTAGTGCCTCGCAGACGTCTAGCCGCCTGCTATCGCTGTATCTATCGATGATTTCTGTGTTGTTTGCTAAGATTTCTCTGGTGATGGTTTGTTTGTGGGAAGAGATTATATGTTCCTTAATGGAGCCCTGTTGCTTATGCATCATTAAACGCCTAGAAAGAGATGTTGTTGTCTTGCCTATATACTGTTTTTTTTGGAGCTTACAGTCCCCAAGAGGGCATTTGAAGGCATAGACGACGTTGGTCTCTTTAAAAGCGTTCTGCTTTGTGTCTGGAGAGTTTCTCATGAGTAGGCTGGCCGTTTTTCTGGTTTTATAGTAAATCGTCAGTTGTATCTTCTGATTTTTGTCTGTAGGGATAACGTTTCTACTGACAATATCTTTCAGGACCCTTTCCTCCGTTTTATGAGCTGTGGAAAAGAAGTTCCTGTAAAATATTCTAATAGGGGGTTATCCCTACAGACAAAAATCAGAGGATACAACTGACGATTTACTATAAAACCAGAAAAACGGCCAGCCTACTCATGAGAAACTCTCCAGACACAAAGCAGAACGCTTTTAAAGAGACTTCCTTAATCTTAAACTAATAAACAAAACAATTATTAATATTCTTTAAAATGCCCTGACCATTACAAATGTTAAAATATACATTTGCAGATGTAGATACGCGTTCATGTAAACTCTACCCCTACCCCTCTCTCTCTCTCTCTCTCTCTCTCTCTCTCTCTCTCTCTCTCTCTCTCTCAAAACAAAACAAAAACTCTCAGAAATTAAAGTGAAACAGGGCTGACGTGGAAAAAAAACCCAGATAGCGTAAGTAGATCATAAATAACTTTGTCGTCCAATAATAAGAACTGGTGATCACATATTGAAGACGGCCAAACACGATTATCAGTAAGCGATCATTGCTGGTGATTATACAAGAGGTAGAGGACGACCAAGACACACCTGAAGGCTCCGGTAACCTGGGCTGAGAATCCGTCAAGGACTAGGACGAGAAGGGCGCCATACACGTCCCCACCACCACCAACCTGAAGACGCATTGACCCCAGTCTGCCTGGCCGCACCAGGGCACCAGTCACCAGGTACTGCTCCTGTAGGGACACAGACTGGTCACCTGCAGGTCATTATTAACTCCTCAAACTCACACAATTACTTTGATAATCAACTAGGTTTTAATTCTGTAGGATGATAATCTTCATATGGTTGTGGACAATTATTTGTAAACGGTCCCATCTACCTGTTGATGAGAAAATACTCCATCAATGAATGAGGCTGAACTTCCATCTGTGGAATTCCAGCAGATGCGAGTTCAATCCCACATATTGCCATAATATTCTTATAAATTTATCATGTTGTTTTAATACCAGTGTGCCTGTATCTACTCACTTCTTTTACGCTCATTAAGTCTAAGACTAAGACTTAGACTTAAGTCACAGACTCATTAAGTCTAAGACTTAATGCACACTAAAGTCTAAGACTTAATGCACACTAAACTGCACATAATCACAAATATGTGCACGCACGCACGCGCGAGCACACACACACACACACACACACACACACACACACACACACACACACACATACACACACACACACACACGCACACGCAATATCCCAGAGATATTAGAGAGAACTTTTTTTTAGTGTCAGAGTGGTTGACAAATGGAATGCATTAGGCAGTGATGTGGTGGAGGCTGACTCCATACACAGTTTCAAGTGTAGACATGATAGAGCCCAATAGGCTCAGGAACCTGTACACCAGTTAATTGACGGTTGAGAGGCGGGACCAAAGAGCCAGAGCTCAACCCCCCAAGCACAATTAGGTGAGTACACACACACACGCACGCACGCACGTACGCACGCACGCACACACGCACGCGAGTATGAGCAAATAAGAACAATGAACATCGAGTTATAAATATTCAGTATAGTCACCTTTGTATTGTAGTATTGGACTGTGTGTCACTTTTGTATTGTAGTATTGGACTGTGTGTCACCTTTGTATTGTAGTATTGGACTGTGTGTCACCTTTGTATTGTAGTATTGGACTGTGTGTCACCTTTGTATTGTAGTATTGGACTGTGTGTCACCTTTGTATTGTAGTATTGGACTGTGTGTCACCTTTGTATTGTAGTATTGGACTGTGTGTCACCTTTGCCCAGAACTAGTGATGGGAATAGAAAATTTACTCCAATAAGTTGTACGTCCAGATTTCCTGAAGCAAATGCTGTGTGGACTTCTAGAGCAGAGTCTCTTACCTTGCCTCTGGTACGTGTCTTTACTGCAAGTGTAGTTAACAGAACTTGTGATAAGGTCATGTATGGGGAGCCGGTCAGCACGCTGGACTTGTGATCCTGTGGTCCTGGGTTCGATCCCAGGCGCCGGCGAGAAACAATGGGCAGAGTTTCTTTCACCCTATGCCCCCTGTTACCTAGCAGTAAAATAGGTACCTGGGTGTTAGCCAGCTGTCACGGGCTGCTTCCTGGGGGGTAGAGGCCTGGTCGAGGACCGGGCCGCGGGGACACTAAAAGCCCCGAAATCAACTCAAGATAACCTCAAGAAGATGGTCCTGATTCCTGGAGCCAAAGTGTTGTACGGTTTGATAACACTGATTGTCACCCGAGTCAGTTAAGACAAGGGATATCTTGAGGTTATCTTGAGATGATTTCGGGGCTTTAGTGTCCCCGCGGCCCGGTCCTCGACCAGGCCTCCACCCCCCAGGAAGCAGCCCGTGACAGCTGGCTAACTCCCAGGTACCTATTTACTGCTAGGTAACAGGGGCATTCAGGGTGAAAGAAACTTTGCCCATTTGTTTCTGCCTCGTGCGGGAATCGAACCCGCGCCACAGAATTACGAGTCCTGCGCGCTATCCACCAGGCTACGAGGATCCCTGGTGGATTGGGATCCTTGCACTTTTTTCCTGTTGTTCTTGTCTGCTGCGAGAGGCATAAGAGGTCTACTTCTATGTCCTGTTGTATTGTTGGTGGTTCTAAAAGTGAAGAAGTTTCGGATGTGTCAGAGTGGTCTAACCTTGCTTCTTCTACTTTTAGTTCAAATTGGATGAGGGTGTTTGTTTCACAGAAGAGCCAGAGTGATGGGGACCAGCTGTTCCTGAAGGGATTTTACCAGATCTGAAAAGTGACTTCTCAGATCACCCTCATTAATCAGGATAATTCCCTCACCCATCCCTCATCTATTCAACTTCATGTCAGTGGCTTAACGCTAGAAAAAGGAGTAATAACCAGTGGAAAATTTACATATTCATGCAGCACAGGATGTTCCAGCTCAAACTGTGCTCACGGTATCTCAAACCGAACTATAAGTGTCAGAGTTCAGTGCATCACAGTCCAGGTATATTATGTGTACCTGATAAAATGCTCCAGGATGAAAGCATTTGTTGGATCTGTACTATCTGTGTATATGTGTGACGTGCAACATTATCACAGCTGTACTGGGCAGGTGTAATGTGGCTCTCACTCCCAGCAAACACAAAAATATCCTGCTTTGGCCCCTTGCAGTGTGCAAATTGCAGGATGAAACAAAAAGAAAACAGATGAACAATTAAAATTTACTATAATAGTAATGATCAAAAATGGTATCTGAACAGACTTGGCGATCATACAAGAAAACAAACTGAAAAAAGAATATGCAAAAATGAAGTGAACTGAGAAGACTGGTGAACTGAAGGTATTTACAAACAGCACTTCCACTGGCACACAACGCCAGCTGTGAGCAGGCGACGAGTGAAGGAGGCAGTGATGATTCCCAGAGCACACAAGAGACTGGCTTCAGTGGGATGATTGATGAAGATTAAGGCGCCCCAGAGGTGCCATGGGCATGAACAGATCGCGTGTGAGGAGGCGGAGCGGTGTGAGGCAGTTGCTGGGGGGTGAAACTGACTGTCGGACGTGTCTTAAGTAGAGTGGATGTTTGTTTGTGCTTAAGTGTTGCCATTGAGTCTGGTATTTTCATTTGTTTTATTACTAAATTCATATATTAGCGTTAGTAGTGCCTGTGGTCATCAGCCTATAAGTATTTAAGTGATTATTCGTGTACTTTGTCATCATTTCTTGTGATATATTATTGTGTTCCTACAATAGAGTACTCTGGTGTTCCCATTTTATCTCACAGTTGTTTTACTCAATAATACCTGGAATAGTTTTGACGTTTGATAGGCTAATGTGTATATGCAGACGCTGAGTCACAGTACTGTGGCTTCAGGTATGAACACTAACGTGGATATGATTAACTGTGACGGGAGCACGAGTAGTGCTCAGATGAGTAGTTTGTAACAGCAATTCCCTGTCAAATAATTTTCATTTACAATCATCAATAATGTCATTGTAAATTATCCTTCATTACAAACTTTGCTAATAAGATTGGCATGTACGATTGGATTGGCATACAATAATTATATTGTTATTAACAAGTAATTACTGTTAAGTTGCACATATATACTACAATGCTGGAACATTTAACTTGTATTTTGTTATTGTACAATTCACTAAGAAATTTATTTAAAATGTAAATAATAAATTTATTCTCAATTCTGAGTTTGGGTTAACCCAGGATACTTGCTTCTTCATCTTGCGCCCTGCCAAACAATAGGTCGATGTAATGTAATAACATCATACTATGATACCTTAATGAAACAATTATCTTTCAATTCATCAATACGAAAGTAAAAGTCAATAACACTAATAATAATTAGTTAATCTTAAAATTGAACCGGGAGCCGTGTGCTTCTGCTGAGGTTGACTCCCGGCCCAGGCATACTGCGCACACACACACACACACACACACACACACACACACACACACACACACACACACACACACACACACACACACACACACACACACACACACACACACACACACACAGGACAGCCTCCTGATGTGGTGGAGGCTGACTCCATACACAGTTTCAAGTGTAGATATGATAGAGCCCAATAGGCTCAGGAATCTGTACACCTGTTGATTGGCGGTTGAGATGCGGGACCAAAGAGCCAGAGCTCAACCCCCGCAAACACAACTAGGTGAGTACAGGAAGGGAGCCAGTGGCTGGGAGGACAGCGCTCTGGTCACGTAATCCTAGGGTCCGGGTTCGTAGTTATTTTTTATTTATTTATTAAATTGATTAGCAGCATCCGCCCACGCGTTGCTGAGCCACTGCAACTTTCCCTGTCCATCAGTCCTCCCCACCATTCCCCCCTCACCCGTCTCTTCGGCCTCCCAACCATTCCCCACTCCACCGTCCCCTCTTCCTTCCCACCATGCCCCACTCCCCTGTCCCTTTGTACTCCCCACCATTCTCCATTCCCCCATCCCCTCGTCCCCACCATCCCAAACTCCCCCCCTCGTCCTTCCCACCATCCACTTCCCCCCCTCCCTTGCCCCCCCTCGTCCTCCCCACCATTACCCCCTCCCTTGCCTCCTCGTCCTCCCCACCATCTCTCACTTCCGTCCCCTCGTCCCCCCTATCATTCCCCACTCCCTCGTCCGATGCCTTCCCAAATGGTCTGATGTTCACATCAGAAAATTGGGAACATCAAGTGATCTGATGTTCCCATCACTGAAATATAAGAAAAAGGTTAAAAATGAAATGAAAATATGAAAAAAATAAACTATACTCACGAAATGAACGGTATGGTAAACAACACAGCTCAATTCCAACGCAATTCACACAAAATAATTAAATCAAAATGAAAATAAATCAAAATCTATGAAAATTCAAATATCATTGCAATCAGAAACATTGAAATGGAATTGTAACATACTTAGTATACCATGTGTGTTACTTTTACATGCAACAGTTGGCGTTGTTTTTCAAGAAAAAGCATAGTTTTACCTGTCACAGGTGTGGTATTTATACTTATAATTACGAAATGAACGGTATGGTAAACAACACAGCTTAATTCCAACACAATGTCACACAAAATAATTCAATAAAAAATAACATAAATCGAAATCTATGAAAAAAATTATCAATGCAATCGGAAACATTGAAATGTTATTCGTGACATATTTAGTATAGCGTGCATGTTGCAATTATGTGCAACAGATAACGCTGTTTTTCAATAACGCATGTTTTTACCTGTCAGAGGGGTGGCATCTATATAGTAGGTATATAAAAAGACGCGCCTATTCGAATGCAACGTTGTATCAAAATTTCAAAGCAATCGGTGAAGAAATTGCGTGTTGTTCTTATGTCCAACAGATGGCGCTGATTTTCAAAAAGCCTGTTTTTTCCTATCACAGGTGAGGGTTGTATATAGTAGATATATAAAAAGACGCGCCTATTCGAATACAACGTTGTGTCAAAATTTCAAAGCAATCGGTAAAGAGGTTTCGAAGATTTCCCTCGCTTGAAAAACTCATGAAAAACACAGTTTTTCAGATAAAGCATGTTTTTTTTACCATCACAAACGTGTCATCTATACAGTAGGTATATAAAAACCTGCTCGGATGCGAATGGAACGTTGTGTGAAAATTTTAAAGCAATCGGTGAAAAACTTTCGGAGATTATTGGTTATGCACAAACGAACATTTCCATTTTTATTTATGTAGATTGTATTTTATTTACCATTGAATTAGCTCTTTTAGAGAGCAGACTGTACAAATTATATTTATCCCACCGATAAACCTCCTGCCCAAACTTGGGAGGTTTATCTTCGATTTCAACTACACAAGAATTAGCCTGTTAGTTACTAGGACTGATTATATTATAGTAAATTCCCCTTATTCAAATCTACTAATGATTATTAATATTATTTTTAATAGACCACAGCTTAGCTGTTATAGTTGTGGAAGTTCTAGGTAGCCAGGCCGGACTCGACTCAGTCACGTGGTCTATGGCGTCGCTATTGAGCAGGATGGGACAAGATTAAGTCACGTGGTCTATGGCGTCCCTATTGAGCAGGATGGGACAAGATTAAGTCACGTGGTCTATGGCGTCCCTATTGAGCAGGATGGGACAAGATTAAGTCACGTGGTCTATGGCGTCCCTATTGAGCAGGATGGGACAAGATTAAGTCACGTGGTCTAGCGTCTCTAGGCGACGCTCCACTTTAGTAACCTTCACACGTCTCAATTCACCTGCCACGAATTACACCGTAAAATCTACTACAACACTGTATTCAATATATGTATTAAATAGCTTAAATAACATTAATATGAAGGGGTGATATTAATGTGCTCACTCTTGGGTGTTCTAGGGTAAGCGTCATAACCGAGACAGTATGTAAATAAATGGAAGATCTCTGCCACTTAAATACTGAACGGAAACATTGACTTCTCAGGAGTTTATGGTGTTGATCTGAGGTGCACAAATCCACGAGAGTAACGTGTAATAAAACAAGATTCGTGTTGACAGTTGACACGTGTGCTGTTCCGTTTTCAATCAAGCCGTTCTCTTAAGGGGTCGTTAGTTCCAAATATGCCAAAAATATGCAATAAATGAAAACTCGTTCGATTTCAATCAAACTTTTTTGACAAGTTTTATATGAAAAGGGTTTCATCTGGCCCAAGTCTCAGGTCATCGTAGCATAAACAGGAAGGGAGAAAAAAAATATTGAATTATATTGGGGGCCTCGTAGCCTGGTGGATAGCGCGCAGGGCTCGTAATTCTGTGGCGTGGGTTCGATTCCCGCACGAGGCAGAAACAAATGGGCAAAGTTTCTTTCACCCTGAATGCCCCTGTTACCTAGCAGTAAAATAGGTACCTGGGTGTTAGTCAGCTGTCACGGGCTGCTTCCTGGGGGTGGAGGCCTGGTCGAGGACCGGGCCGCGGGGACACTAAAAAGCCCCGAAATCATCTCAAGATAACCTCAAGATATGACAAAAAAATTTCCAAAATGGTCAAAAACGATTATCAAACAAAAGTGTCAACCGAAATCATGTCAATGACTCTCAACTATCACAATAGCATATATTAAAAACAAATTATAATTAGTTTTATTAACAAAAAAATGGTTTAAAAAAAATTGCCTTTTTTTTTATTTTATCTCTCTTATTTGTTTATCGGGCGATTTGTATGAAACTTATACACGTGACTGCACGTGAGCATATCTGTAAGGGTGCCAATCTTGAAGGAAATTGGTTGATGTCAACCTCAGCCACAGATGGCAACACCTTAGACTTTATTTTTTACTTATTTATTTTTAAGTAACATAAACGTTCAAATTTCTCTTTCATTTTTTATTTAATTTACATGAAACTTACAACTTATATGTAAAGTTTATGTCTCTAAAATCTGAAGCAAGTGTTTTTTGCTAAGTTCATTTATTGATTTTATAAATAGCAATAAACATGATATATTTGCATAATTTTGAGGAGGGGGGGGGTTCTTTGACTATTTGTATTAGGAAAACTAAAGACGTTTTGGATAATCCCCTTCTACTGATCCTTTATTATATGTTAATGTGTCAGAAAAGTGTCATAGAATGATTATATCTGGAAGGTGTGGTTGTGAATATAAACTTGAAAATATGTAAAATTCGTTGAAAAAATAAAAAAATAAAAAATCTTCCTTTCTATTTAGGCTGCAGTACTGAAACTTAGAACAATTGCAGCCCTTTTCATATATAACTAGTCAAAAAATATTGGTTGACATTGAACAAAGTTTAAAAAACCAACTATCGTTCCGTTAACTAATCGTTCTCTTAAAATTTCGTTGCTTTTCACTCGTATGCGCGATTTGGCCAAAAATGGTCGTAATTTGAAATTCACGGTTTTCATGATATTTTGAAACATTATGAGAACTTCTTGCCCTCTTAATCTACCAGAAAACCCTTAACTTTCTGTTATGGAAAAAGAAAATAAAAAATTGATTTTCAACTATTGTTTATTTTCTAATTATGTCCATTTTCGGCTATATGGGTAAACAGCCAAATTCAGACGTAATTTATAAGTTGTTTCAATATGGCAGTCATCCTCCTCCCCGCTCCAGGTACCTGGTACCTGGGGACCTGGTACCTGGTACCTGGGGACCTGGGGACACGTCCCCAGATACGTTTTCATTGGTAACCGGAAGGAGGAGTTTGATTTAATTTATTTCATTACTGGCAATTCATTTTCATTTAGGGAAGCACTATTTAGTGTATAAGTTTTAGTGTTAAATTAAGTAATACTATTTTGGGTGTGAGAGTTTAGTTTAGTTCATTTATTATGCACCCCATACCCATTTTGTTTGCGGTAGTGGAAAGGGTTACAGAGGCACATCATGGGCTCAGGGACTATAATGGCGATGTGATAATACTAATTACTCGTTTTCCAGAACAAATTTGTGTCGTACGCCATCTCTTCAGGGCTCACTAATGTAATTTAATTTGTTTTATTAATTCAACAACAGCAGTATGTTTTTTCTAAATGTTGTATTAAGGAATGTATGAGTGACGTGGGAAGTTTCCCCCCACACATTGCCTCCCCTACAGAATATATATACACAGAAGAGCAGGAAACACCTCTAGTGTGATCCCTGTTGCTCCCCCCTTCCCTTCTAATAAAATAAATATAAATATGTTTATTCAGGTAAGGTACATACATACAAGTGATGTTACATTAATGGATTGATATATAGATAGAGCTAGTACATACAATGCCTAAAGCCACTATTACGCAATGCGTTTCGGGCAAGAAACGTACGTTTCTCTAACGTACCTGCGGTGAGCGGAAGTCGACGTTGAGGGCGTAGTGGTGGTCGGTGTTGAGGGTGAAGCGGCTCGCCAGGAGGAGAAGGAGCGGCGGGTACGGTGCCTGCAGAGCGACGGTCATTACACAAAGTTACGGCTTCATGGGACGAGAGGTAATTCTCATAGGTAAACAGCAGAGTGATATAGAAAAATAACAATAGCCTGGTAAAATATATTACTGACCTTCCTTACATTTACTCCCCATAACAGCCACTCTTTTTCATTCATTTGTTTAAGTGTTTTAGTCTCCCAGTTTATCCATTACATTATCACTCTTAATGCTAATATTATACTACACTTATTCCTCAGACTCACATCTACTGATCTTAACTCACATCAAATCAAATGAAATGTTTATTCAGGTAAAAGTACATACATAGAGGATTAGGTGCAAACATAATGTTGGATTTATAGATAGAGCAAGTACTGATGAGCTAGATAGAGCTAGTACTGATGAGCTAGATAGAGCTAGTACTGATGAGCTAGATAGAGCTAGTACTGATGAGCTAGATAGAGCTAGTACTGATGAGCTAGATACAGCTAGATAATCTTCATCATCACCTGATGATGATGAAGGTTATACATGCTCACCTGATGATCAATGTTATACATGCTCACCTGATGATGGTGAAGGTTATACATGCTCACCTGACAGTGAAGGTGATGCATGCCCAACCTGACAGATAATGAAAGTGATCCATACTCACACGAGAGACGGTGAAGGTAAGACCGGTGTCCAGGTAGTGGAGGAGAGCGCCGGGGTGTTCATACTTGAGTGCCAGCTCCAGGGCTCGTCCTCCCTCCAGCCACTGGAGGCCCACCATGCCCTTAGTGAGTGCCCAGGCCGCGTGCGCCTGCACCAGCTGCTCTGCCCACTGTACCCAGGGTATGAAGAACTGTACTCGTGCTACCACTTACAACACTCTTCATTATCTTAACTTCAGGTGAAGGCTAGCCTTTAGGCTGCTTTTAAAACTATATCAGGCACATGAATTTAATGCAAATTATGGAATGTAAGGTGCCTTCAAGCACTGGCTGGACGCTGAATGCGAAGAATGGACACAGTGGGAATAATGACTGACCTTGAGGAAGATGTTTCCCCCCGGCAGCGTGGTGAAGTAGGTGGCTAGGGCGAGGTTGAGGGCGGAGGTTGAGGGCGTCCACTGTGCTCCTGCCTGCACCTGCACCGCCTCCTCCACCCCAACATTCACTCTACCGCTCCCAGAACTCTGCCTCAAGAGAACACGTATTCTTAATACATCTGAGCATTGTACTCGTGGTGGGCAGGTTATAATGTCCATATATCTCCACCCAATGTCCATATATCTCCACCCCATGTACATATATCTCCACCCCATGTACATATATCTCCACCCCATGTACATATATCTCCACCCCATGTACATATATCTCCACCCCATGTACATATATCTCCACCCCATGTACATATATCTCCACCCCATGTACATATATCTCCACCCCATGTACATATATCTCCACCCCATGTACATATATCTCCACCCCATGTACATATATCTCCACCCCATGTACATATATCTCCACCCCATGTGCATATATCTCCACCCCATGTACATATATCTCCACCCCATGTACATATATCTCCACCCCATGTGCATATATCTCCACCCCATGTACATATATCTCCACCCCATGTACATATATCTCCACCCCATGTGCATATATCTCCACCCCATGTACATATATCTCCACCCCATGTACATATATCTCCACCCCATGTGCATATATCTCCACCCCATGTACATATATCTCCACCCCATGTACATATATCTCCACCCCATGTACATATATCTCCACCCCATGTACATATATCTCCACCCCATGTACATATATCTCCACCCCATGTGCATATATCTCCACCCCATGTACATATATCTCCACCCCATGTACATATATCTCCACCCCATGTGCATATATCTCCACCCCATGTACATATATCTCCACCCCATGTACATATATCTCCACCCCATGTGCATATATCTCCACCCCATGTACATATATCTCCACCCCATGTACATATATCTCCACCCCATGTGCATATATCTCCACCCCATGTACATATATCTCCACCCCATGTACATATATCTCCACCCCATGTACATATATCTCCACCCCATGTACATATATCTCCACCCCATGTACATATATCTCCACCCCATGTGCATATATCTCCACCCCATGTACATATATCTCCACCCCATGTACATATATCTCCACCCCATGTGCATATATCTCCACCCCATGTACATATATCTCCACCCCATGTACATATATCTCCACCCCATGTGCATATATCTCCACCCCATGTACATATATCTCCACCCCATGTGCATATATCTCCACCCCATGTGCATATATCTCCACCCCATGTGCATATATCTCCACCCCATGTACATATATCTCCACCCTATGTACATATATCTCCACCCCATACTCCTGAAGTGATAGTACTCTTCGTACCAGTGTGTTCCACATTACCACTATCTTGTCATGGAGCCATTAAGCCACTTTTTGTATACTTTTTTAAAGTCCAGAAAAAATATAGCTAAAATCATACATAAATATTCCTATGCCTAGTATAGCACATATATGCACTATATTAGGCCGTAGATAGTATGTATAGGGCCCTGTATGGTTAGGCATGATTTCATAAGTCTTCTTAGCAACAAATATAGAAATAAATCCAGTTTGCCGAAGTTTAATAATTCAAAAATGTACTTTCTGGAGGTCCAACACGACATATTTGTATTTTGACCACATGGCTGCTACAAGTACTTTCATTTTAGGAGGATCGGCTGCTCACTCCTGGGCTCTCACTCTGTTTCGAGCGCCCAACTTTCACAAATCAAACACATTCTTGTTTTATAGATACTAAATGGGGTTCCCGGTGGTGCCCAGGATAGTCTCACCTTACTTCCTTCCTATCTTGCCATTTACCACATCTCTCTCCCACCCCCCATCGCCTCTCCCTTCCCTCTCTTCATCCCTCGTCACCCCTTCTCTCTACCCTTCCCATTTTGGAGGTCAGCCTCGAAGGTTGGCGCCCCTGCACAATGATATTTGTGCCGGGAACTAAACAGTATTGAGGTAAGCATCTTGTATAGGTAACCTCACAGAGAGAGGAAGGATTACCAGCTAGCTTCTAGACTGTGTTGGAGTGCAAGCCGTCAGTGTGCACTCTAGCACGAGTCACCGTTGTGCACTCATTCTAGATTCTGTAATTCTTCAGATAGATACCTCTTGTTTGGTATCTATGTGGAGCATAAAACCAGGGCTATTAATTAAGACTACGATGGCCGACGTAGCTTCTGAGTCTTAGATAAAGCCATTAGCATGCATTTAACATGTAAGCGTGTAGGCAGAGGGAGAGAGAAGCAAGAAGGGCTTGTAGTTATAAAGCCAACGGCTCCCTTGCTTGTGTCAACACGGTGACGTCACCTGAGGCACCACGTGACCGTAGGCAGCCCTGTGATTCGTGGGGGCATCTCATGGCGTCCCTAGGACGAGCTGCGCTTTCCTCTGATTGGTTAATTCGAAGACAGAGGGAAGAAGCAGCTAGGTGCCCGGCAGCCAGGCAGCTGGCATTCTGGAGTTCGTGATTGTCTTGATAGGACGTGAAGGATTGTGCTAACGGCCAGTAGCTACAATCTCCGTCCTCGCGGCGTTACAATAAATTTTATCAATCCGTTCTGATTCCCGCTATCGTGAATTGTCGTCAAATCCAATTTGCGCGAGTTAGGAAAATTAATTTGGGATTTGAGATAAGTAAATAGTAAATATAAGTAAAGTATCACTACGTGATCACCACAGGAGCAACAGGACTGCATTGTTTATTATCTATGATAATCGTCAACATCTGTAGTCATCCATCACTAAATGACTATGGTGTGGGATTCGCCCATTGGCCGCCAGGGGGCGAGGACGTGTCTGCCCGCCCTGCAGTTGCAGCCTGGCTGGAGTGGTACTTAGGTGCTCGTCGGTGCTGACGTGGCCGGCATTGTGATGGGAGGCCCTCTACCCCCTGATGTGCGGGTTCACTCCTTGGGACTGGAATTCTCTGGCCGTGCTGGTTATCCTGAAGTGGAGCTCAAGATGTGTGACATGCTCCATGTCCCTGTGGAGGCATGTTTATATTTATATTTACGGTATTGAACTAGTATTTATGCACCGGGTGATGATCAAGTTTCTGGGGGAGGAGGTACTGTGAGTTTCTCCGGCGCTATGAGGGGCGATCCTTGCCACTGCCAGACACTGACATAGTTTTGATTGGCAAGCTTTCGAGAGTGATAGCGTCGTATTATCGTAAATCGTTCTCGATTAATTATCTGTCCATTTAACAGTAATTAATCTCTGAATGCTTAATTGGTCTGTGGTGACTGAGTAATTATGGCTAGCGAATTATTGTTTTGATTTGTTTGATTGTCTGAGAGATAAGATTGTGATTAACGTTGAGTACTTTGTTCCTGACTGTCCGGTTGACAGTCAATTAACATAATTAATCACTGAGACTGATTAGTGTAAAATATTACAATAATGTTTTGATTGTCGTCTTTGGAGACAAGTGTTAACTGAGGGGAAGTTACCGGAGTTTGTCTCACTGACCGGCCTTGCTTTGCTTACAGTGTAAATTAATTACAGGTTGCTGCAATTGCTTTAATTTTAATTTGAGTCCTAAGTAACTCTTAGACAATTTGAGTCTTAAGCATCCGTATTGTTCAGTTAGTTCATTATTCAGCCCGAAGCGACACAGATGGGGAATCAGTTGTTATACTGAGAGTGGCACAGAGAATAATCAGTGCTATACTTGCTTGTTACGGTATCCACACCATTTCTGAAGTGTGGAGGGGCGATTTCGGCGCCATTTATGGACCTGCACTCCACCTCCCAGGTATGAGGTGAGATGCAGACAACTCCATCTGTTATCGGTGGTGTGGCATCTGTAAAAGGCTCCTATTTCATATCTCAGTTAGAAGGTGAGGTCGATGATGACCTCTGGTGGGTGGCGTAACATTGATATCTCGGTTGTGAAAACAATTACAATTTCAATTCCCTCGGTGGAAGGGTGTTATTCTAAGGTCATCCAGTATACTGTCTGTCTAGCTAAGGACGTTTTATGTTCAAGAGGTGATGTAAGGAGGCGATTGCGCTGAGGTGGGAAGTTAACCTTGCGCAGTCCAGAACTCTTGACTTGGTCCTGTGAGAGTACAAAGTAGCCACCGTCGATAGTAGCAGTGTGTTAGCTGTTGGATTTATGTAGTGTTGTATGGACTGACGTACCCAGGATTTTGCCAAGAAGAGTTACGAGATGACAGTAGTGTGTCTGTTTAGAAGTGGTGCTAGTGTGTTGCTAGAGATTTCTGCCAGGGTGTTAGCTAACCCTGTACATGATTATTTGAGACCCCTGTCAGCGAGTTGCTGAAGCCCTCTGCCAGTGTGTTTCTGGAGAGCAGATGTGGGGTACAGGGACGATGTGTAGACTGGCCCATAAGAGCTCGCCGGTGATTACCATTGAGCGTGGATGACGTGTACCTGGACGTAGTAGACTTGCCATGAATTGATGAACACTGCAGATCTATTGAGCGTCCTTAGTGAAAGCGACACAGTGCAAGTATATGTAGTAATACGTAGAGAGATAATATATATATATTGGTGAAGGTGATAATACATTGGTGAAGGTGTAACTGCGTATGAACAAATCCACAAGGGCCGTGACGAGGATTCGAACCTGCGTCCGGGAGCATCCCAGACACTGCCTTAATCGACTGAGCTATGACAGGGTTAAAAGGGTTGAAACCGAAGTTCCACTGAACTTACTGGATCCCGTAGCCTCTCCGAGGCACAAACCAGGATTTTACACCCCCCCCCCCTGCACCCGAGCTATGTCAATAGGGCGTTCTCCCTCTTCGCCCTTACATCATTACACAGTGTAATGGATTACACTGGATGGAAGTGTCTGGGATGCTCCCGGACGCAGGTTCGAATCCTCATCACGGCCCTTGTGGATTTGTTCATTTGATGCATGACGTTAGTGTGATCTCTGTGTAACTTCTTGAGGTTATCTTGAGATGATTTCGGGGTTTTAGTGTCCCCGCGGCCCGGTCCTCGACCAGGCCTCCACCCCCAGGAAGCAGCCCGTGACAGCTGATTAACTCCCAGGTACCTATTTACTGCTAGGTAACAGGGGCATTCAGGGTGAAAGAAACTTTGCCCATTTGTTTCTGCCTCGTGCGGGAATCGAACCTGCGCCACAGAATTACGAATCCTGCGCGCTATCCACCAGGCTACGAGGCCTACGAACTGTGTGTTATTTATCCCCTCCCCTCTTTATTCCTTGCACTGTTACTTGCTACTGCCAATTCTTGAAAATTTATCATCGACTTGGGGTAGGATCAAGAAGAAGAGGTTATAAGATATGTTAACAGAAAAGAACCTGGTTACGGGCCCAAGCTGGCCCTAACATTGCTGTTGATTAGCTGTCTTTAAGCTGTCACTGAAGGACATTAACATTACTTCAAGATTACTTTGTTTTGTATTAGATTTAGTTCTTTTTGAATAAATTGTTATTGTTGCCTAAGAAACTGTCTTTATGCCAATACCTTCCAATATTATTGTCCCACATGTATTGCAACATATCGAGCTGTTCTTGCCATTCTTTAGTGAAGGCCGGATTCTGGATTCGAACTCGATTCATAGCCGCACACATCAAATTAAATTTGAAGTGAGAACTCGTGAGCTAGCTACCCTTAATATTGCACTTTGTAGTCGAGAAGGCACTCCCCTCACGGGAGTGTCAGGTGCGAGGGCCCTCATAGGAGTGTCAGGTGTGAGGGCCCTCATGGAGGGTGACAGGTGGGGGGGCCCTCATGGGGGGTCAGGTGTGAGGGCCCTCATGGAGGGTGACAGGTGGGAGGGCCCTCATGGGGGGTGTCAGGTGTGAGGGCCCTCATGGAGGGTGACAGGTGGGAGGGCCCTCATGGGGGGTGTCAGGTGTGAGTCGCCCTCATGGAGGGTGACAGGTGGGGGGGGCCCTCATGGAAGGTGACAGGTGGGAGAGCCCTCATGGAGGGTGATAGGTGGGGGGGCCCTCATGGGGGGTGACAGGTGGGGGGGGCCGGGGTGACAGGTGGGGGGGCCCTCATGGAGGGTGACAGGTGGGAGAGCCCTCATGGGGGGTGACAGGTGGGGGGCCCTCATGGGGGGTGACAGGTGGGGGGCCCTCATGGAAGGTGACAGGTGTGAGGGCCCTCATGGAGGGTGTCAGGTGTGAGGGCCCTCATGGGGGGTGACAGGTGGGGGGCCCTCATGGGGGGTGACAGGTGGGGGGCCCTCATGGGGGGTGACAGGTGGGGGGCCCTCATGGGGGGTGACAGGTGGGAGAGCCCTCATGGAGGGTGACAGGTGGGAGGGCCCTCATGGAGGGTGACAGGTAGGAGGGTCCTCATGGAGGGTGACAGGTGGGAGGGTCCTCATGACGGGTGAGAGGTGGGAGAGCCCTCATGGGGGGTGACAGGTGGGAGGGCCCTCATGGAGGGTGACAGGTGGGAGGGCCCTCATGGAGGGTGACAGGTGGGAGGGCCCTCATAGGAGTGTCAGGTGTGAGGGCCCTCATGGAGGGTGACAGGTGGGGGGCCCTCATGGGGGGTGACAGGTGGGAGGGGCCTCATGGAGGGTGACAGGTGGGAGGGCCCTCATGGAGGGTGACAGGTGGGAGGGCCCTCATGGAGGGTGACAGGTGGGAGGGCCCTCATGGAGGGTGACAGGTGGGAGGGCCCTCATGGGGGGTGACAGGTGGGAGGGCCCTCATGGGGGGTGACAGGTGGGAGGGCCCCATCATCCACGACGCGGCCTCTGCATCGCACAACAATACTCACATAAGAGTAACTATTATAGAACATCTGTGATAATAGTCACTCTCTCGTGTAAAAGAGAATGTCTGTGTGACTCGTTTTCTGTCTACGTGTTTGTCCGAGGCTGGTAGCCAGACGCTCGGGGCTAGTCTCTCCCGAGACTAGCAGTAGTCTTCAGAAGGGTTCTTGTGGCTAGGTGTATAATATGGGCCAGTTGCAGTCGGCCATATTGCCTCCCTTTAAGAAATATCGGCTCCAACAGCGATGCTCAGCGATTTTAATGAAGTCAGAATTCAAAATTTATTTTCCAAATAGATGTTGCTGAGCACGTTTTTAGCCGTTCATAAAATTATATTTTATGAGAGAGAAATATATCCACGTACCCCTAAGAGTTAACTATAAATTCAGTGACAAAGTTGTTAGCCTCTATAACAGAATTTGCTCCTATTTGCACTGGATTTTCTCACCTGGAAGTTGTTGGGGAAAGTGCCGAGGTGGTCAGCCTCGAGGGCAAGCTGGAGACTGCCCCACGAGGAGGACGGGTCCACGAGGGTGACCAGGTGAGAGGTCTTGAGGGAAGAGTTCCTGTGTACAGCGTATGACATCACGCCCACTGCCCGCTGTCCAACCCACATCCGGCCAGCCAGAGTGTAGGTGTCCAGGGCTAGCGAGAGCTTCCCGTGCAGGCGTGCCAGCTCCGGCAGCGTCTCCGTCGCCAGTGTCACCTGAGGGTATGTATTGCCTTGCTATAAACCCAATGTTAAAGACTCTACAGTTTTATTACCAGTAAAATTAAAAATGTAAATAAATGTCGAAAAAAACGACACCATTTCACCATTTCAATAAATTAGGCAGATAATATTGCTGTTAATTTACTATTAATAAATTAACCTTAAAGAATCTTGAATCATTCATAGAAAACTGATGATTAATCCAGTGGAATTTTCCTCGGGAGAAAACAGGGAATCATGGCCATGTAGCCATTAAATTCACCAGCTAATAATACTGTGAATTCCTCTTAAAACACCAGTCTAGCATTAGAAGCAATAAAAAAGTATTCTCTGTGACTGGATCTAATATAATTACTAACAAACTAAAGTCTACCTCCCACTGTCAGTATAAGGGCAGTATTAGAACCGACGAGGGAGGAGCGTCTCTCAAGCCGAGAGAGGCAGACGCCATTAAAATTTAACGTAAACATAAATTTAGTCTCACTGGTGCCTCACAAGCTCCATAAATGTTTCCCTCTAGACGCAGTGTTACGGCACCAAAAACGTCCCGTCATCAGCACGATCTTCGTCAACAATAAAGGAAGTGTTCTGTACCCGATTCCAATTCTATCTACCAATTGTTGGCCAGTAATAATAGATTAGAGAACACCGGTTAGAATGCTTGGCAAGCCAACCAAACGGGGGTAATTATTAATTAAGTCTTATCTAATGAATTACAATATTTGCCCTGATATAGCTGTCATATATAGGTTACGATTATTATTGTGCGTCCTTTGACAGGTGAAATTGAAGTGGAAGAAGAAATAATAACAATTACCTGGTATAACGTGTGATGAGGCTAGCCTCACCCACGACGAGTATTGGTTGGCAAGTTCTTTCATGTTCATATCTAGTTGACCAGGCCATAACCAACCATACAGATAAGACTTCCCCCATTCAAGTTACTAATCTGTGTAGTCTTAATATTGTAGTGAATGTTTACCAATTAATAATTTCAATTGATAGACTATATATAAATAATATACCCCCCAACTTGTGTTAAAAACGATTTGTGGGAATAAAATTATTCAATCCACTATAACATCATACAGTCCGTTTTCGAAACAAATTAACGTAAGAAATAAATTACTTTACAAATTATATATACAGTATAAATAAATTGTAAATAAATCAATAAATCCCACAAATCAGTTTTCCCCACAATAAAATTCATGATACATTATAGTTCTCCTGCTCCAGTTGCCCGATACATGAAGGAACAATGCAAATAATAGACTTAAAAATTAATTAAAATTAACACTATTCGCACATAATAAGGAAATATGTACATATACATGGTCAAAGTAAATTGCAACATCCGGAAGATAAAAGTCCAACATCATGTATAAGCCTTCCACTCCTCTTAAATCACTGAAGTTGGTCAAAACGAAAAAGACCAAGATGGATAATATTAGAAGCAAAATGCTGAACCTCTGAAAGAAAAATCAGTCCACCAGGAGTCATATAGTTTATAGAAAAGGGATATACAAGAGGCAAATAAATCCAGGAAACCTAGGAAATTAGATCAGCTAAAAGAAACCTAGAAAAATCTTCTTTAAACCATCATGAGAGAGAGATCCAAAGTTTTGTATTACTGACAAAAGTAAAACCAAGATAAAAGACTTTGTTTGACTCTGAAAAGATGTAACCAACACAGTTATAATTGATGATAAAACGGCAGTGATTACTGATTGCTTTGCACAAGTGCGCGCACTAGGAACACCCACACAAAGGTTTACACAAGTGCGCGCACTAGGAACACCCACACAAAGGTTTACACAAGTGCGCGCACTAGGAACACCCACACAAAGGTTTACACAAGTGCGCGCACTAGGAACACCCACACAAAGGTTTACACAAGTGCGCGCACTAGGAACACCCACACAAAGGTTTACACAAGTGCGCGCACTAGGAACACCCACACAAAGGTTTACAAAAGTGCGCGCACTAGGAACACCCACCCAAAGGTTTACACAAGTGCGCGCACTAGGAACACCCACACAAAGGTTTCAATCAGGGAAGTAAATAAATAAAATTATATTTTGTGGGAAACAATCGGGAAAGAGCATTGACAATTAAAATTGTTCCAAAGCTCCAGGTGTGGATGGAATTCAATCCTAAATCGTTAAAGAACTCCCCGATGAAGTGTGTTTACCACCGAAACTGATATTATGAACAGCTATAGACCAAGAGAATGTCTCCCAAGATTGGAAGCTAATGTCACCCTCATCTTTCAAAGGTAGTAAACTTCCTGAAGAAAATTATCGACTAATGAACCAAGCCTCACATATAGTTCATGGAGGGAACTAACAACATGGTTGGGGTTACAAATGAATCCTGTCTTAATAATCTGCTCAAATTTGTGGAATAAATAACAAACTACACAACTACAGCCTACTTCCATCAGCTGTAGAATATATGGAGGTCTCTAAAGCTTTTGGTAACGTAACACTTGAACAAATGGCAAGGAAATTACAAGTCCATGGAATAAAGACTAAATTACTAAGCTGGATATAACACAATGGTTAAAACAAAGCAAGCAAAGAGTCGCCATAAATGGAAATTAATCTGGGGGACAAAAGTGTAGGGAAGGAGGACTGCTGAACGAGGACGCCAGGTGCCGTCTTGGGGCCAACCCTTTTCCTTACCAACGCCAATATAACAGACAAGACCATCACAAATGCTACAGCATCTTACTTGCAGATGACACGAAGCTCTGAGGCCAAGTGAGAGGCACAAACGATAACGAGGCTTTGGCACGCTCCGCAAATTCCACAAATGTTCAGAGGACTGACAACGGCTTTCAAGACTGAACCATGCTAGACATTATATTAAACATCACAACTATCATAGCAACAGATGTATAAGGTCATTTGTGCAGGTGTGAAGGGATGAATAAAGTTACTTGTGTAGGTGTGTAAGGGGGTGTATAAGTTCACTTGTGCAGGTATATGGAGGTTGTATGAGGTCACTTGTGCAGGTGTGAAGGGATGAATAGTCACATGTAGGAGTGTGGGGCTTGCATAAGATCACTTGTGCAGGAATGTGGGGTGGAATAAGGTCACTAGTCCAGGTGTGTGTAGAGATGTATAAGGTCACTTGTGTAGGTGTGGGGCGGTATAAGATCACGTGCAGGTATTTGGGACGGAATAATGTCACTTGCGCAGGTGTGTGTGGCGGTACAAAGTCACTTGTTCAGGTGTGTGGGGCGGTACAAAGTCACTTGTTCAGGTGTGTGTGGCGGTACAAAGTCACTTGTTTAGGTGTGTGGGGTGGTACAAGGTCACTTGTACAGGTGTATGAGAGGCATCATACCAGGTGTGTGTGAGAGGCACCACACCAGGTGTGTGAGCAGCACCACCACACCAGGTGCAGCAGGTACTCACATCTCCAGTGATGAGGTGGGTGGGGGTGCCAGGCTGGTGGGGGTCAGGCGAGGGTTGGTGGAGAGCCTTCTTAGCCTTCATGTTGAGCTTGACCTCGCCCGTGTGTGGCGAGGTGGCCGTCAACAGCGTCTCCAGGTACACCATCAGCAGGCCTGGCTCCTCGGCCTCCTCGTCAGTCTCCTCCTCGGCCTCGGGAACTATCAGTATCCTGTCAAGGGTTATCACCAGGGGCACAATAGTGGGCAGTTATGTTTGAAGGATTTATTCGCTCACACATATTGTCGACGTGAACATCTAGAACATGTGACTGCTTGATACTGACCCGTGACCCTTGGGGCCCAGTTGCTGGAGGTCCAGGTCCCAGGTGAGGAGGTAGGCGGCCTCAGGTCCAGCTCCCGCTGACAAAGTGACATATGCCAACACAGACTCCAGGCCAGACACCGTGGAGCCAGCGTCTCCGGCCACCGTGTAGTAGGTGGCTGCTGGCGTTAACAGCGTCGCCTTCAAAATGGGTTGATTTGATTTAATTTGTGATTAACAAGAGATATATCCTCATTTTATGCAGCTGTTGTATGTGAAGGATTATATAGTGGGTGTCGAGGGTGTTTATAAAGCTGCCCATCTCGCAATATGATTGATCATACGGTGGAAATGTAATCGGTAGCCTCATTAAGAGCACATCCTCAACAACACCAGAGTGGAGAAATTAATTTCAAGCATGTCACAGGCCTGCACGGTCAGCTCCGAGGGTAACGAGCCTGTGGCACCTATTTCCTGCCCTTCCTCGATTCTTTAACTTTTTAATAAGATTTACTATGTTCAGGACATTTGATGAAACTTCAAGATACATAATATAAGCTTTGTAACATCAATCAGTGCATTGATTTGGATAATTTTAAATGCATATTATTGATTCACAAAACAGCTTAATTTGGAAGTAAAAATGTGCACGTTTAGGAGTTGAACTAGGAAATATTCATTGTCTGGACTGTATTACCGCATTACCGACTGAATTATGGATTACCGCAGAAATGTTTAGAAATGCTGATCTGAACCTCTGGAAAATTTTCCTGAAACTTTTGACTTTATACAAAAAATGTAATTAGAGTAGTAGTATTAACAGCATCTTCACCGCAATATTTATGAGAGACACAGTTTACAGTGATGGCTTGATCCAGGCTAGTTACAGGGGTGGTCTTTGTGACCCAATTAGTTGAACATGCACTAGTTCAGTGCTGCTCCTTCAACAACGCAATACAAGCCTGGTGCATAACCTGTCCGTTGCTGACGCGACAAACGTCTCAGTGACAGTAAAATATGTTATTTTCCAATATTCATGTTCAATATTCATATTTGTTATTCATCAACATATTCGTTGATGTTTTACACATACCAAAACCTTTCATTTCACTTTTACATTTCATATATTGCTTTAAGGTACAACAAAGTTCATTTAATAAAATTTAATTTAATTGTCTTTGAAAAGTATTATTAATTTTTTGAACAGATCATTTATTTGAATCTTTTTCTGTTATATCTGTGTTAATAATAAAACAATGAATATCTCTTAATAATCAACTGGAGAGGCAGAAATTATTCTTTCTTTTTAATAAAGGTTTATTGTTGCTAGTTCAATAATTTTACTTCTTACGAATTATTAGTTGTTAATAACATGTAATTCGTGAATCTGTTCAATTTGAAACAATTCGGAATATTTGCCGGTTGCCTAAACAGACATTTAAAGAAAGTTTCCAAGTATTTTGTCCTCCACGAGCAGAGATTATCGCCAATTTCGGCACAATCTTTGGTGAAGGGTCGCCACCCATGAGCTAATGTCTACTGGTCATTCAATTCCTTCGTGGTCTGTCACATTGTTCATCACGTGTTCATCATCTCTTCGTTATTTACACACAATATGTTGCGTGTGAGGTCATGGCCCAGTTCCTGCTCACAGAGTTTACACTCGAGTGCTCAGGTTTGGCAGATTTGCCTCTTGCAAATGTTAAACTAAAAAAATTGGTTCATATTTTCTTTTTACTCAAGACAGATTTCCTCTGGATTTACATTTTCAAAAAAATTGAAAGCCATTGAATTTATTACATGGTGATATTAGTGTTAATTGTATTTGCACTTCGTAAACACCAACATAATGTTAAATAAATACCTTAGCGAAGTGTTGAGCGTTGAGGAGAGTGCTGCCGGCCCGGCCCTGGACCACTCCGACCCACACCTCGTTCCTCTCCCCTTCTCTCACTCGCACCTCCTGCCTGCCAGGGACCTGCCAGGGTTAGTGCCCACCTTGATCATGCCCCCCACCCCTCACTCGCACCACCTGGGAGTGAAGGGACAACACCCAGTACAGTGTCTGGACAACACCCAGTACAGTGTCTGGACAACACCCAGTACAGTGTCTGGACAACACCCAGTACAGTGTCTGGACAACACCCAGTACAGTGTCTGGACAACACCCAGTACAGTGTCTGGACAACACCCAGTACAGTGTCTGGACAACACCCAGCACAGTGTCTGGACAACACCCAGTACAGTGTCTGGACAACACCCAGCACAGTGTCTGGACAACACCCAGTACAGTGTCTGGACAACACCCAGTACAGTGTCTGGACAACACCCAGCACAGTGTCTGGACAACACCCAGTACAGTGTCTGGACAACACCCAGTACAGTGTCTGGACAACACCCAGTACAGTGTCTGGACAACACCCAGTACAGTGTCTGGACAACATCCAGTACAGTGTCTGGACAACACCCAGTACAGTGTCTGGACAACACCCAGTACAGTGTCTGGACAACACCACACCAATCACCACCACCACACCATCAGTAGTAGTAGAAAACCAGGCTGTGGGGGGCCAGTTTTCATTTGCTCGAGAGACCCCCGTAGTCTGAGTACTTTTTCGTTAACTCGGCGACAGATCCCTTCCGTCCGAATCATTTTCCCCCTACCTCGGCGACGGATCCCAGTAGTCCAGGGGTGTTTATATTTTTCGTATTATTTATCAACTGTTCCCTTTAATCATATAATTTTCCAAAAGGGGGGATTATAAGGCTCCTTTCTGGTCTTGACTATTTCGCCCAAGGAGATTAAAACGATCGCCTCCCGTCATCCTGAAATGTGCTCACCTCGGTAACCCCGCACAGTCATCCCTAATGGTCAATGATGTCATTAGCCAGTGACTCTTCATCTTCCCCAAACAAGTCCGTTTTCCGTGATACCGTAGTTAACCCCCATTTTCATATTTATTCTCATTTTCAATATTTGTACCAAGGTGATTAGAGGGATCCCTTCCGACGGACCTAATGTGGAATAACGTCATCCTTCATATTCCCTCAATAAATCCGTTATCTGTGATGGCGTATTTAATCCCATTTTCAAGTCTATAATATTAAATCCCATTTTCAATGATTATTTCTGGGTAAAAGATTGCATATAGAACAGTAGAATGAAATTGCAGAAGGCCTTTTTGGGTGGGGCCATACAGTAACTCCTATTTACTTACCGCCAAACATCAACTTTCACTATGAGATAAACTGCAGAAAGGTCCATGTGTGAGAAGCCAGGAAATTGCATAATGTGCACACACACCTATATTTACCCATATCATTCGCAAATAAATGATAAAAACTTATCTATTGTTATTCCCTGTATCCACTTACACCCTTCAAACATGTCACCTATATAAACTGCAGAAGACCCATTCCTTCTCTCTTCTCCAAACTATAGAATGGCATATTCGTTCAAATACTTGTAGTAGAGACTAACTTAAATTGTGTGTAAAAGATTGTCTATGCCCCCAGCTTACATATTTTCCTCCGTCCCCAAATGCGAAGATCATTACTCAACGATCTGTTGAAGTCTCCAAGCGAGTTCCTCCACATCGTATACATATTTTTAATTATATAATTTTTGAAACAAGCTGTATCATCACTCGGTTGTTTCATTTTTACCCTCCTTTATTGGTAATCCCTTGTATGCCTCATTAATTCCCCTAAAAACATCCACACACACACCTCAATGTAACATAAATCCAATTATACCGTAACAAAATAAACAGTGTGTGTATATATATATATATATATATATATATATATATATATATATATATATATATATATATATATATATATATATATATATATATATATATATATATATATATATATATATGTCGTACCTAGTAGCCAGAACGCACTTCTCGGCCTACTATGCAAGGCCCGATTTGCCTAATAGACCGAGTAGTTTTCTTTATTTTCAATAAATTGTTTCTAAATAGTTTATTTCAATCATTAATATTATATTATATTAGGAACATAAATTATTGACTTAGTTATGTTAGTTTAGGTTATGTAGAGATAGGTTAGGTTAGGTAGGGTAGGTTAGGTTGGGTCATATATCTACGTTAGTTTTAACTCATATACAAAACAAAATTACTCATTCATAGTGAAATGAAAAGCTTTATCATTTCATAAGAAAAAATGAGAAAATATATAAATTCAGGAAAACTTGGCTTATTAGGCAAATTGCGTCTTGCATAGTAGGCCGAGTACTGCGTTCTGGCTACTAGGTACGACATATTTTATATATATATATATATATATATATATATATATATATATATATATATATATATTTATATATATATATATATATATATATATATATATATATATATATATATATATATATATATATATATATAACTGAAAACTCACACCCCAGAAGTGACTCGAACCCATACTCCCAGAAGCAACGCATCTGGTATGTACAAGACGCCTTAATCCACTTGACCATCACGACCGGACATAACTATCCGAGTGCCGGCGGTGGGGTGGTTCAAATAGCCTCGGCTATCACCTCATTATGTCCGGTCGTGATGGTCAAGTGGATTAAGGCGTCTTGTACATACCAGTTGCGTTGCTTCTGGGAGTATGGGTTCGAGTCACTTCTGGGGTGTGAGTTTTCAGTTGCATATGTCCTGGGGACCATTCAGGCTTGTTCGCATATATATATATATATATATATATATATACACTATTATATACGCCAGTTATATCAGAATGGACTCCTCCCGTTAAAGGTTCAAACCTGGACTGACAGGAGCACTGAAATTTCTTGACAAGTCCATTACTCTGACCAAATGGCTACTAGAATGTTAAAAGTCATTGAAAGCCGAAGCTACTTCAATGACCCAACAACTATCTGTTGGGAGCTGTGTAAGCTCCACATGCTGGGGACTTCCTGTCAGCTCTCCTTAATTTCACCTTGGGCACCCGCCTAGACCATCAAGCCCTAAATATTGGTGTTGCCCTGAACCATGCCGCCCCATCTACGGTATCACGGAAAACGGACTTGCTTGGGGAAGATGAAGAGTGGCTGGCTAATGACGTCATTGACCATAAGGGATGACTGTGCGGGGTTACCGAGGTGAGCACATTTCGGGATGACGGGAGGCGATCGTTTGAATCTCCTTGGGCGAAATAGTCAAGACCAGAAAGGAGCCTTTTAATTAATCCCTCCCTTTGGAAAATTATAGGTGATGAAAGTTGATAAATGAAACGAAAAACAAAAACACCCCTGAACTACTGGGATCCGTCGCCGAGGTAACGAAAAAGTACCCAGACTACGGGGGTCCCTCGAACAAATGAAAACTGACCCCCACAGCCTGGTTTTCCATTACCACCACCACCACCACACCATCCACCACCCCACCACCACCACACCATCCACCACCACCACACCATTCACCACCACACAGAAGTCATCAAAATACGCCACTGACTGACCTGACGTGCAGGGTTCGAGCCTGCTGGTCGAGGCTAAGGGTACCATTGTAGGCATGGGTGACGTTACCCGGCTGTCCGGTCTTGTGCAGCTGCAGCAGCAGCACGTGGACAGCTGCAGCGTCGACAGCAGCCAGGTCCACCTCTGCGCGGCCCTGCACCACCCTCCTCCACTTCCACACCAACACCCTCCACTTGAGGTCGTAGTAGCCGAGGTTGGAGGCCGTGTCCATGGACACGGTGCCGTCCAGCCAGTGCTGGTGAAGTGTGAGCAGTGGGGTAATACTTGCGGTTAATGGGTCAGGTCAATAATGACAAGTGAGTCCAAATATTTCCCACCTATATACATAAATAGCTGCTCAATAAACTTCCCTAGTAATACATTGCTATGATGACTCGTCCTCTGTTACGCTTATAAGACTAATCTTTCACTGCTAACACTTAAATAGTTATTATAAACATTATTCCTTTATTGTTAAAATATGAAAATATATTATTATTATTACTAGGGGCGCGTCACCAGGGCGACTCGGTACTTGGACTACTCTTCACCCGCCAAACACACACCGAAACTACGACGTTGGTACAACGTTCGAACAAGTTTTAACACCTCCTAACCAGTTATAACAACCAATATAGCAAGTTGTAACAACGTTCTAATACGTCATAAACACGTTAAGCCAAGATGTAACAACTTTATTACAAGTTGTAACAAGCGGAAAATAGAGACAGTTTCGGTTTGTGTTTCCAGGGCATAAGCCTCGTTATTGAAGTAAAGTGCGGAGAAGAAATCCAACACATTAAATCCATTACATTTTATGTTAAACAACTTAATGTATTTAATTTGAATCATATTGTTCTGGGGACGCCAGTTGGAGCACAACCATAATGATTGTTTACCTACAACCACAAATTCCTGCTTAACTGTCATACAGTCCTGACCTTATTTAGGGCAGTGTTAAGGTCTCCGTCTCACAGTTTTCATATTAATAGTTTGGCCACAGCATTAATAACTAGGGGTAGTGAGAGCTGGGTTAGGCTGCAAGACATAACTAGGGATAGTGAGAGCTGGGTTAGGCTGCAGGACATAACTAGGGATAGTGAGAGCTGGGTTAGGCTGCAGGACATAACTAGGGGTAGTGAGAGCTGGGTTAGGCTGCAAGACATAACTAGGGGTAGTGAGAGCTGGGTTAGGCTGCAGGACATAACTAGGGATAGTGAGAGCTGGGTTAGGCTGCAGGACATAACTAGGGGTAGTGAGAGCTGGGTTAGGCTGCAAGACATAACTAGGGGTAGTGAGAGCTGGGTTAGGCTGCAGGACATAACTAGGGATAGTGAGAGCTGGGTTAGGCTGCAGGACATAACTAGGGATAGTGAGAGCTGGGTTAGGCTGCAGGATATAACTAGGGGTAGTGAGAGCTGGTTTGGCTGCAAGACATAACTAGGGGTAGTGAGAGCTGGGTTAGGCTGCAGGACATAACTAGGGATAGTGAGAGCTGGGTTAAGCTGCAGGACATAACTAGGGGTAGTGAGAGCTGGGTTAGGCTGCAAGACATAACTAGGGGTAGTGAGAGCTGGGTTAGGCTGCAAGACATAACTAGGGGTAGTGAGAGCTGGGTTAGGCTGCAGGACATAACTAGGGGTAGTGAGAGCTGGGTTAGGCTGCAAGACATAACTAGGGGTAGTGAGAGCTGGGTTAGGCTGCAGGACATAACTAGGGATAGTGAGAGCTGGGTTAGGCTGCAGGACATAACTAGGGGTAGTGAGAGCTGGGTTAGGCTGCAAGACATAACTAGGGGTAGTGAGAGCTGGGTTAGGCTGCAAGACATAACTTGGGGTAGTGAGAGCTGGGTTAGGCTGCAGGACATAACTAGGGGTAGTGAGAGCTGGGTTAGGCTGCAAGACATAACTAGGGGTAGTGAGAGCTGGGTTAGGCTGCAGGACATAACTAGGGATATTGAGAGCTGGGTTAGGCTGCAGGACATAACTAGGGTAGTGAGAGCTGGGTTAGGCTGCAGGACATAACTAGGGGTAGTGAGAGCTGGGTTAGGCTGCAAGACATAACTAGGGGTAGTGAGAGCTGGGTTAGGCTGCAGGACATAACTAGGAGTAGTGAGAGCTGGGTTAGGCTGCAAGACATAACTAGGGGTAGTGAGAGCTGGGTTAGGCTGCAAGACATAACTAGGGGTAGTGAGAGCTGGGTTAGGCTGCAGGACATAACTAGGGATAGTGATAACTAGGGATAGTGAGAGCTGGGTTAGGCTGCAGGACATAACTAAGGGTAGTGAGAGCTGGGTTAGGCTGCAAGACATAACTAGGGGTAGTGAGAGCTGGGTTAGGCTGCAAGACATAACTAGGGGTAGTGAGAGCTGGGTTAGGCTGCAAGACATAACTAGGGGTAGTGAGAGCTGGGTTAGGCTGCAAGACATAACTAGGGGTAGTGAGAGCTGGGTTAGGCTGCAAGACATAACTAGGGGTAGTGAGAGCTGGGTTAGGCTGCAAGACATAACTAGGGGTAGTGAGAGCTGGGTTAGGCTGCAAAACATAACCAAAACCCGAGGTAAGAACTCAGGCTCAGAGTCCTTGCTTGTTGAGAAGTAAGTCCCAATAAGTAACGTTGTAATCTTTCATATTAATGTTTGATTCATCGGCAGGAGAGTTGGTGAGGCGGCCTCATGGATCACCTCGTCATACGGGAGGCCGAAAGTTAACTAGTAACCTGCTCTCTTCTACGGACGACTATTCAAAGTTTAGGCTGTTTAAGAAATCAGCCAGACAGCTAAGACGGAACGTATTTACTAACCCAACTCTGGACACGTATTTTAATAACTTAATCATTTAACTCGGAATACTTTAACATTTATTATAATTTTAATTAAAAATTACAATACCTGTTCTATCTGTATAATAACACCACCAAACACCAATGTGGAATTGTTTGGAAGAATTCAGTAGCATATGTTACAGATCATTCAAACTTAATACCAAATATTTAAATATAACATCCACTAACTAGAAATGAAATAAATATATAAACTTAGCCCACATAATCACACATCATAAGTGGCTCTTCAGCTTTGATGATTCCGGCTAGTGGTGATCAATACATAAACAACAGTGATAACAGTATTACATCAAGTGGTGCTAAACAACAGTGATGACAGTAGTACATCAAGTGGTGCTAAACAACAGTGATGACAGTACTACATCAAGTGGTGCCAGACAACAGTGATGACAGTAGTACATCAAGTGGTGCTAAACAACAGTGATGACAGTACTACATCAGTAGTGCCAGACAACAGTGATGACAGTATTACATCAAGTGGTGCTAAACAACAGTGATGACAGTACTACATCAAGTGGTGCTAAACAACAGTGATGACAGTACTACATCAGTAGTGCCAGACAACAGTGATGACAGTATTACATCAAGTGGTGCTAAACAACAGTGATGACAGTACTACATCAAGTGGAGATAAATAACAGTGATGACAGTATTACATCAAGTGGTGCTAAACTACAGTGATGACAGTATTACATCAAATGGTGCCAGACAACAGTGATGACAGTATTACATCAAGTGGTGCTAAACTACAGTGATGACAGTATTACATCAAGTGGTGCCAGACAACAGTGATGACAGTACTACATCAAGTGGAGATAAATAACAGTGATGACAGTATTACATCAAGTGGAGATAAATAACAGTGATGACAGTATTACATCAAGTGGTGCCAGACAACATTGATGATAGTATTACATCAAGTGGTGCCAGACAACAGTGATGACAGTATTACATCAAGTGGTGCTAAACTACAGTGATGAGAGTATTACATCAAGTGGAGATAAATAACAGTGATGACAGTATTACATCAAGTGGTACTTAACGACAGTGATAACTAAATTGCATCAAGTGGTGCCAGACAACAGTGATCACAGTATTAAGTCAAGTGGTAATAAAAACAGTAATGAGGGTATTACATCAAGTGCTGCTAAACAACGAGAAGCAGTTAAACACTAGCAAACTAATGGGTTGTGAGCCTCTGAGGTGATCACTAAATTACAAGGTATACAAGTACGGTACACCAATTCCTGGCTGCGCCACCAGAGAGTGCAGACGTCGGGTTTCAGCTGTCAGTAGTCGTCTGCCACTGCTGAGTGGTGGTTTGCTGTGGGGGGTGTGGAGCGCCCACTGGTCGGGGCTCCGCCTGCCGGTAAGGACGCGGCTGGTACTAGCCGTATTCGGAGGATCGACACTGTATGGCTGGATTTTTCTGCTGCTGTGGACTGGCCCGTTGTAGAGATTGCTCTCCTGGACGTCCTCCGTGTTGACGTCCCCGAGCTCCTGGGCCTCGAGAAGTTATCGCCTATCTGTGTTGCGGTGTCGTTCGCCACGTCACATGTTTACCAGGAGTTTGTGGCTCACTAGGATGGCCGCACGCTTCCTCTTCCGGCTTCGGCTGTGTCTGTGGAGATCTCGGATTCCTGGGGGCCCTTGTCGTTTGTGAGTGTTCACGGCGTGCCGGTGACCTTCCCCGAGACGGCCCTCATGTCCTTGTTTACGCGATTTGGGTCGGTGGTGAAGCACCGGTTCAACATTTTGAGTGCGGGCCGGCTGAAGAGGGTCCGGCTGGGTTCCCGCACGCTTGTCATGCGGCTCACCACCCCTATACCGTCCAGGATCTCGTTTCGTGGGCTTTCTCTGCGGACCTTTTATCAAGGTCAAACCCGCACGTGTTTCCGGTGTGGTGCTGTGGGCCACGTAGCTGCCGGTTGCGACGCTCCTCGTGCTGAGGCCCCTTCGGTTTTCCTAGAGGATGACTTTCCCCGCTTATCTGTGCGTGTGGATTCCCCGGCGGATCCTCGCTCTGTGCAGGTGCCTGGTGTGGTTCCCGCGGCGGTTTCAGCTGTCGCTACGTCTAGACCTGATATGTTTGCCCCGCCGGTGGGCTCGGGGGACCTAAGGGCGCCTGTTTCAGACCTTCGTCATTCGATAAATGCGGTACTTGAGGTTATCTTGAGATGATTTCGGGGCTTTAGTGTCCCCGCGGCCCGGTCCTCGACCAGGCCTCCACCCCCAGGAAGCAGCCCGTGACAGCTGACTAACACCCAGGTACCTATTTTACTGCTAGGTAACAGGGGCATAGGGTGAAAGAAACTCTGCCCATTGTTTCTCGCCGGCGCCCGGGATCGAACCCGGGACCACAGGATCACAAGTCCAGTGTGCTGTCCGCTCGGCCGACCGGCTCCCTTGAATCATGTGTTTTCTTTCTTAGTTTTTGTTGAGTATGTTTAGTTTGCATCCGTGTTTACTTATTTTGTTCTATTTGTCCTGTATGTATTTATGTATTGTTTATTCTGCTGTTGTCTGTTTGTACATTGTGTGTTTCTTTTATAAAAAAAGTACGGTACACCACAGAGGATATTTTGTAAGACCTCTATGACGAGTATACTCGAAAGTATTCCCCGCACCTACAGGTATACGCACTGGGAAGTTACATTAATTTTGGACTTTGATCAAGACTTGAGTATATTTTGGATAGTTAGTAAGCTGGGCTTAACTGGCCCTCCAGAGGTTGATGAGTATTACGTGTGAACCAAGACATCAACGGTAATTCTTGTATTATCATGTCCTTGTTTAGGCGCCATTTAGAAAATGCAGTTCAGCTTTGGTCATCAAATCTGAACTAATAGTTCAGATTTGAAAAAGTTCAGAATGAAAAAGCTAAAATGAAATGTACGTAATTCTACTGAACTTGTCGAGGATAGTAAGACAAAGACAAATGTATTCCTAGGTATCAGAAGCCTACTTTATTAAGAGCGAATAAGATAACCTCATTAACATTTTTATAAAAGGAGTTGAGTAGCAGGGAACATTAATACAACATACAAATAGATGAAAGGGCAAGATAACGTAGATAATAAATGTATCAAACCAAAATAACACGAAGTAAATGGATACAAAATGGTGAAGTTTAGATTGAGAAAAGTGCCTGGACAACACTGTACAGTTCTGGTGACTGGACTATAAGCTTGCTACTTACCTTTATACCACTCCGGCTTCTAGATTTATAGAACAAATTAGCGATCAATATGCAAATAGTTTTGAAATTGGTTATAACAGTCGGTCAATAGATTTTACTGCAGCTTCCTGCTTTGTCGTTATGTTCTTGTATTTTACTTCAATACTAATAGTTGACATTACTTATGGCATCTTGACAACAGCCATTGCTGCTTTACAACAACAACAAAGCCAGCTTTACAACAATAATAAAAGCTCTAAAACAATAATGATAGCTTTACAAGTGACATGTTTTACAAAACCAGTGATTGTGGACAACAATGATGGCACCTTACAACAGTGATGGCATATTTACAACAACAATGAAAGCAGCCTTACAACAATAATAGCAGCTTTACAGTAAGGGCGACTCATGAGATGAGAGTAAGGTTAGCAATGTATAAGCATACAGCAACAGGCAGCAGCTGACAGCAGCAGACAGCAGCACGCAGCGGCGCTTACCGTGATTTTGATCTTAGCCTCAGACCTGGAGACGCCGCCTGCAGCAGTGTGCTGGAGCGCCAGGTCCAGCAGTTCATCTCCCGCCTGCTCCGCGGTCACCACCACAGAGCACTGACCTTTGCCCAGGCAGTTCCAGGTCCCCACCAAGCTACAACACCACCAAGAACAGTCACAGGTGTTGTCTTATTCTTGCCTAAAATCATTGTTGTTATTATTGTTATAGGGAAAGGTTGTGGTCTATTGTGGTTTGCTCCTCAGCGGCTAGAAAATGAGTGACAAGTTTTGCAGTGCCTTGCGGAACCAATTTGAGCCCAGGAGCCGCAGACCTCTCTCTCCACACACTGAGACAGGACACACTACTCCTGCAGCAGTTGTAGGGGGAGGTAAGACAAACTTTAGAGTGGTTAGATTGTAGTGCCAACTCAAAATGGAAGGTCGTAAGGTAAACAGCCAACACAGAGAATGGGAGCAAGGGTCAGGGCCCAGTAACACAGAATGAGAGCAAGGGTCAGGGGCCCGTAACACAGAATGGGAGCAAGGGTCAGGGGCCCGTAACACAGAATGAGAGCAAGGGGTCAGGGCCCAGCTATACAGAATGGGAGCAGGGGTCAGGGCCCAGTAACACAGAATGGGAGCAAGGGTCAGGGGCCCGTAACACAGAATGGGAGTAGGGCACAGTAACACAGAATGGGAGCAAGGGTCAGGGGCCCAGTAACACAGAAAGGAAACAAGGGTCAGGGCCCAGTAGAGCACTAGTATTAGGGCCATGTTATGACCCCACATACGTCATGTAAATATTGGTGTTAGTGTATGTGGAGGTCATAGGCTCAGTGACTCTATTTTCATAAGCTTACTCGTATAGACACATTATTGTAGAGAATAACAGATGTTTAGGTTCATGCATACATATATTGTAGGTATACTTAAACGTCTCCAGCAGGTGTACCAGTTGTATATACAAATGACTTCTTATGTTTTCACACATATCGACGTATATGATTAAATACTTTGCAGTGCTGTATATAGATTATATTTTACTATGTACATCGGTATGAACTTATTGTAAATATGCTTACTGGGGTATTCTGTTCTTAAGTGGAACGAAGGGTGGAGTGACTTGCGAAGTTGGCAACACAGTCATTCTCGGGCGTCCAGGGGCCAGATTCACGAAAACACTTACGCAAGCACTTACGAACGTGTACATCTTTCCTCAATCTTTGACGGCTTTCGTTACATTTATTAAACAGTTTACAAGCATGAAAACTTCCCATTCGACTGTTGTTATTGTTATAAACAGCTTCCTGGTGATTCGGAGCTCATTAACTGTTTAATAATTGGAAACAAAGCCGCCATAGATTGAGAAAAGATGTAAAGGTTCGTAAGTGCTTGCGTAAGTGCTTTCGTGAATCTGACCCCAGGACACTGGCAGGTCACTACTCCCGTGATTTCCCAGATAGGCTCTGACCCCAGGACACTGGCAGGTCACTACTCCCATGATTTCCCAGATAGGCAGACGTCACACGTCTAGTCCTCTGGTTGTATATTATTGTGTATTTAATTCTTAATGTTAAGTGTCCGAGAGCAATGCTATATTGCCAGGCTGAGTTATCAGTAGGTCAGATGGTCGGTGATTGTGGGTACTATGGTTTATAGAGTATTGTTAGTGTTATAGAATGTTTCTGACTCCTCTGCCCACCTTTACGTGTCATCCTTCCCAACTGTTATGTAGGATAGTGTACCTCTGCGCCGGATTGGAGCCTGGTGTCGGCTATACCTATGGATTAGTCATTACTGATATGATAGCTCAATAATTATTGATTTGTTAGTTGTTAACTGATGTGTAGGTTAACTGACTTGATAGTTGACTGTTCTTCACTAAGTGGATAGCTGATTTTCTAGTTGAGTTGACAGTTAAGTGATCACTGTTGTATATGACCACTAGTTGAGCTATGTATTGACGCTCTCTTCTTTCTGATGAAAGTATCAGCTTTAGTGTGCATCAGTTATGTATATATGTTTTACGGTGACCTAATTATATGCCCCAGTAAATTGGCGTTGTTGTAACCAGCCTTTTTTATTAATTCCCCCTAGACTCTTGATTGAAATTGCCCAGGCTTTGGTTGGCCAGCGATGCTGGGTTCATGAGGTCATGACAAGCTATCAATCAGCTCCCCCTAGGGGGAAGGGGGGGGGGGAAGAAGGTTCTCTACACCTCCCTCCTCGAAGGCAGTAAAGGAAACAATAAGATCAGGAGGTTGGATTCCGCAGCCATGGGATCACCACCCACTAAGCTGCCTCTCTAGGCAAGAGGGTACCTCTTCCTTAGAAAGACTCCCCTTTTTATAACAGTGGCGAATCACTGATGAAAACTCGGGAAGATTGCTAATTTTGGTTACTGTGTAATGACTGCATGCTGCTCCAGTAAGCAAGAGTCGTCGTTGTTGTCCTTGATATAGATGCCGCCACGGGAGTAGTACCGTATGTGACCCCTATGTACATGGGTTTTATCGCAAAGCCATTCAGTTCTATGAACGTCGCCTGTCGGCGGAAACTATCGCGCCTTGTATGTTCTGGGAGCTCCAGGAGTCTCTCGGTAGTAGGAATGGCAACTCGGCTTTCATTTTTTTGTTTTGGCAAAAATTATTGCTAAGCTGCCACCCGTTTTAGGAAAAAATCACGTTGTAGAGAGTTGTCCGTAAGGTAATATGTTAATTAAGGGTGTATCACGCGTCTGGCTGTGTCAAACAGCAGTTCTTGCATCCGCTTATAGTCGTTTATAGTTGTACTTTATTTACCATTAGCTCAATTACAACGAAATTTAACATTCTTATTCTTGAAATAGAAATAAGAAAGAAAACGAGTTATTGGCTTGCTGCTCCGCTCCCCCGCCTCAGTTCTACTTTGTGTTTTTGTTATTTTTAGCAAGGTTACTAGGAAGAGGCCAGCCTTGGGAGTTGTTGTTGTTGAGAGGCTATGCACAGTATATTCCAACATTATAGTGTTGCGTTACAACACTCGCGTTACAACACTCAAGCCCCAACCCCTGGACAGTGTGTTGCGTGAGTGAGCCTTACCCGCCAGCCACTTTCAACTATCTTTAAAGTGACAATCTGTACCAACTAGGTATAAAAGATGAATTGGAGGCTCACTGGGTGGGTGTGTAGAGTTGCTGGCTTATGTGTGGCATGGGCCTCTGCCAGGAGCCACACCCAGTGTGTGTGAGTAGTGGAATGTGAGGCTTAGCAGTAACTTTTGGTTTTTGGAAAAGTTACTGCTGCATTCTTAAAGGATTATCATGGGGAAAATTCGAGGCAATTCGCGCCACTGCGTTCTTAAAGGATTCTTATGGGGGAAATTCAAATAGTTTTTTCAGAGTTCAGTTTAATGAAAATATTTCAGTCTTAGATGTCGCTAAGTTGCCAGAATTTCCAGGTAAAGATTGTCAGTTTTTACACTTTAAACCCGAAATTTTTAAGAGACTCTTTTCTGAGAATATTGCAGAGTTCATATAATCATAGGAGTTCGTTAAGGAAAATAGCCCCCCTTAGCAGTAACTTTTAGTTTTAGATCCACTTACTGCTGTTTCACCCACTTAAGACCGAAATTTGAGACCATTTTAAGACTTATGGTGAGCAAAACATGCAGATACTTATATATAACCTGTGTATATAGTGTAATAACAGCAAAACTATTTGTTTATTGTTTTATGAACATAATAATTGAATCACTATTATGCACACCATAATTTTGAGAACAGCGATGGTTCACACATTTTATTACATAAATATATCACAGTTCACTGTATTGAATAATATTACTGCAAAAAACTAAAAAAATCAATCACATTGAAATAATTAAGTAATAATATATTTGTGGCAACTGCCGCCTGACAGCTCGAGCGGAGAAGACCTCGTCTGATGAAAGCTCTGTCAACACCCCTATTTTGCCAGACTTCCCTGCCCTATTGTGGCTAAAATATGCCACATACGATTTTTTTGTTAATTTTTCCGTGATCAGGGAACAAAAATGAACACTTTTATAAGATGAAAGAATTTTTTGGATTTTTGTTGTTGTTGCGCCTGTGGGTGTTAAAGCCATTTAGACCCCTAGAGGTTTGAGGGTTAAGAACGTAGTGGCAAGATTTGTTTCGAATTTTCCCCATAAGAATCCTTTAAGAATGCAGCAGTAACTTTTGCCCTGAATTTCCCCTATAAAAATCCTTTAGGAATGCAGTGGTAACTCTTAAAAATAAACAAAAGTTACTGCTAATCCTTACATTCCACTACTCATACACACTGGGTTTGGCTCCTGGCCGAGGTACACACAAACACACACACACACACACGGTTGGGTCGAGCCAGCCATTGAGGGAGGGTCGCAGGGTCGCACTCTAGATAAAGGCCAACATTTTTGGGTTAATTAAGGCTACAGTGATGGATCATAGATCTTGGGGTATCACAAAAGTGTATAACCGCCGCGAATAGGAAAAAAAATTACAGTGCAATCCCTAGAGCTTTGTGTTAAACAGTGAATTCGCCAGACAGGCCACGTGGGAGGGCCCATGAGGCTTTGTTTACATTTGGGCTCCAGTGATCAGTGGTGCAGTAAATTAGTGAACTGTAACACAACGATACAGTGACCGACTCCAGAGCTTTGTGTTAGATAGAGAAGAACCGCCAACATCAGTCTACTAGAACTTAGTGAATCACCACGTGGGAGGCGACGACGGATCACCATCGTCATCCATACATCGTCATTACTCATCTAGTTGTGTGAGCTCGGGAGACTGACTGGTAGGTACCCCTCTCTGGTCAATTAATCAGGTGTACAGAGTGAGGTAAAATATTATCAAATTCATGCTCAGGATATCATATTTATCTAAAATCTCAATGTGGCTCATTTGGGTAGAGGTTAACGCTTACGGGAACTCGTGATGCACGCACGCACACACACGCACATGCACGCACGCACGCCCATGTACGTATGCACACGCACATGTGCGCACACGCAAAAACAAACACACACACGCACACACACACAAACGTTCAGTCAGGGGAAAGAGGATTAACACCTTTTGTGGAAAGGGGATAAGACCTCACTATAATCCACCCCCTCTTACCCCCATCTGACCTGATCTGACCTGGTCGC